TGGTCATTAATAAATGTAAAATAAATAAATAAATAAATAAATAAATAAAATGTAAAAGGGATGTTTACAAAAGAACGAACACACCACGTTTTGATAGAGAAAGCCTTGTCCTCAAGTATATAAACATCACAATGGGGGAGACTCGACGTCAAAATGGATATCAAGAAAGCTATTTCTATAGATTGTCCTAGTACTTCAGATTAAGGTCACAGCGTAAACATACCGCTGACCGGAATCCCTAGAGTCTGCTAATATTGCTGCTTAGTTACCAGAGACGACAGAAGTTTGAAATACATATCGGATATAATACCTTCAAGTTGTGTATTGCGTTGTGATTTCTAGCATACCTAATAAACACTGCATTGCACGTGATAATTTCAATGAGTGCAGCGTGTTTGAATGAACCCCCAGTTACTGGGGGGAATCTGCATAAGAGCCAGTAGAAAAAATAAATTTAAAAAAAAAGTGAATTACAATAAATTATTACGTTTAATTAGTGAAATGTAAGGTTTATAATAAAAATAAAGTACAAGGATGTAGATTAATTACTTCATTGTTATTTTCAGAGAGCAGTATTTGGTGTAAAAATAGCAAACAATAGTCATTGTCAATTGTGACGTCATTGACATTGATGTTTTCTTATTATAACGTCGCGATGTAGCAATCTTTCTCTCCACTTTCTTTTGGTGGCAGATTGGATATCTGTGAAAGAAAATCCATTTCTTCGTAAAGAAAAAATAAAAAGGTAATAAACATAATATTCTTGAATACCGTTATCGGCAGTGGGTTGAATAGTTTTTATATTTTTTACTCGTGCTCTACACTCGTGAATATTTGTGTTTTACGTCCTTTCAACATTTATGTTCATTTATAGGACACGCCAGGTTCTGGCAGTGGAGGAAAGTCAGAGAATGTGGAGATAAACCACCGACCTGCGACCAGCACCTACTCGTAAATAATATCAAAATATTCACAAGATTTCTGTGTGTATCTTGGATATGCAAAAATAACAAGGATTTATGTGCATACATGCATGTATGTAACTCGCTCACTAAGTCGCGTGCCTGCATTTATGAACCTTTCCCCCTAACTGTACATTCTACGGGTGTTCGTATTCATGTTGACCAGACGACGCATCTGGGAAGAGAGATAATGAATGGATTGTTGCTTGTGTTGCTTGTGTCTATGTCATTCGATACTCTCGTGAGTTATCCCGTGATAGTGAATATCTGAACTAGAATGGCTGAAAACTTTGATGGATTACGTGTGCAACCGTCAAATCGCCAAATTAACAGTAAGATATACCGTGAGCTTCAATTCACTGTTTTCAGACATCTCTGAATAGATATTACGAGAGGATTGGGGACGGGAAAATAAAAGGTCCTCCCCGTAGCTCGGAGTGGGCGTATTAATTCATTATTCTCCAAAATCTCAACCAATGTTTAAATTTCCTTTTTATATGATCAAAGTTTTACCCCTAGAGTTCACTCTAAATGAAAATAATACGGGCGGACCTGCAGATTTTACAAAACACCATTTCCATGCATCTGTATTTCAAAAAAAAGAAATAATATAAAACATAAAATAAAGCTTCTTTCTAAAGACCATTAGTCCTGAATGCCAAAATGTTGTCTCTGTTTCTTTGTTTACTTCAAACCTGCCTCTTTCTTCACTGATTTTGGGTTATGCGGCAAATAACATATCTATACCTGAAAATTACACTTATAATGGACATTAGCCGATAGACTAGATAAGAAAAAATACAACAAGTTATTCAAAGAACGGAATGAACATGTCACAATAAGACTTGGGGAGGGGGATATAAAATGCACCAGTGAAACTCATTCTCAAAAGCCATATTTAAATTCAAGAAAAAAAAACTAAAAAATAAAGTAAACTACATATATTCCCAAAACCATCGAGAATACGTTTGTTTTCATTTTGGTGCAATGTATATAATTTGTTAGGGGTAAAATAAACACCTTCGTTTTAGCAACAAAAATAATGTATTTTAACAAATAAGGTCTTTATTCTTAAGTTCCATTATCAAACAGGTATTTTATATACCATTTGCAGTAAATTGAACGTCAATTCGATAACTTGACACTAGCTATTCCTTACCCCTGCAATCCAACATTTTTATACCGCTGATATATACTAGCGGAAAAAAAGTAAATGTGCATGCGGAGAATTGTTATACATGAAAATTCACACACATGACCGAGTATGACACATACACACTACCCGTGTGTCATTGACAGTTATTCCCGCGCAGTTTGCTCTCTATAGGCGTTGACCAGTTTGAACGTTTTTCTCGTCCAGCCATCCAATTCGACAATGAAAGTTTATTTTCTAACTGTTGGGTTACTCTGTTGAGACCAGTGAACAGTAAAAACAGCATTATAACGTTTTAATTTGTGATTAATGCTATGCCGAGGCTCAATGAAAATGACCGCCTCCGGGTTATTGGTATGCTTCAAGCTGGTATGGGCCAAGCCGTTGTCTCTACACGTTTTCATGTCCATCGAAACACAATCCGGGATTTGTGGAGCCGACATCAACAGTTTGGCCACGTCGGCGATCGACCTCGTGCGGGACGTCCACGTGTGACGTCACGACAACAGAACAACCATATTCGGCTTGTCCATTTGAGAAATCGCTTCCAAACGGCAAGTTTGACAGCACGGATAATCCCTGGGTTGCTACCAATAAGCCCGAGAACTGTACGGAACCGATTGCGTGATCGAGCTATCCGTCCGCGACGTCCTGCAATCCGCCCAGTTCTTCTGCCACGTCATCGTGTAGCACGTCTGGACTGGTGCAGAAGGCATCTGAGATTTACTCGACGGGATTGGGCAGGCATTTTGTTTACGGACGAGTCGCGAGTCCACCTGGATAGTAGTGACGGCCGTTCCAGAGTGTATCGACGCGTTGGAGAACGTTTCCGTGACGCGTGTGTGGTACAACGACGTTCTTTCGGCGGAGGCAGCGTTATGATTTGGGGCGGCATCACAGCCAACGGGAGAAGGCCTCTGGTGGTTGTTAACGGGAATTTGAATTTGAACACACAGCTCGTGTCGCCATGGACTTTCTGGCCCAGCAGAACGTTGACGTGTTGCCCTGACCTGCTGTATCCCCCGATCTGTCGCCCATTGAAGACGTCCGGGATGAAATGAAGCGCAGATTACGGGCATTACCTAATCAACCGGTGACGTTGGCTGATTTGGCTGTAGCGTTGGTACAGATCTGGAATGCCATCCCACAAGCAGTCTTGAACCGTCTGATAGGCTCCATGCGTCGACGTTGCCAGGCTTGCATTCAGGCAAACGGTGGACATACCAGGTATTAACTTTGTGAACTCAGTATTGACCCCTGCTGTGTTTACGTCACTCCTGAGCGGAACTTATTAATTCCATAACGTGAAAAATGGAATGCAACTGTTAATAAATAACAAATAAATTGTCCCTAAAAACCTTGTTGTTCTACGTCATACACATTTATTTTTATAACACATTTTAGGCATGCAGTTTCTTTTTTCCGCTAGTATATTAAGGTAGACAGTCCCATCTCATTTCCACTTTTCTCTCCGAAAAGACGACAATATATCGACCTTACATATATGCAATTCTCGTTGTTTCGTCTTTTCGCTCCGAAAAGCCAAGAATCAACTTACTTTAACTCTGGTTGTTTCGTGTTTTCGCCCAGGAAAGACGAGAATTAACTACCCTTAACTCTCTTTGTTCCGTGTTTTCGCCCCAGAAAGACGAGAATTAACTACCCTTAACTCTCGTTGTTTCGTGTTTTCGCCTGTGAAGAGGATAATCAACAAACTTTCATTCTACAATTAACTCATCTTGATTCTTATCGTTTCTCTTTTTAACGAGAATAAATTACCTTATTTTCGTTGTTTCGTCGTTTCGCCCCCAAAAAGACGAGAATTGGCGGAAAGACGAGAATCAAAGACCTTAATGCTTTTTGTTTGTTCTTTACGCCCCGAAAAGTCGGGGATCAACAACTTTTTTGTTCTTTCACCTTTTCACCCGAAAACACGAAACAGCGAGAATTAAAAAGTAACAAAATCTTGTCTTTGCTGGGCGAGAGGACGAAGCAACAAGATCAGCCAGCGTAATTATGTACTTTATATTCCTAAAAAAGCTAAATATAGATTGTGGACCTTTAATTCAAGTAACGATACTTTGAGGTTATTTTATGACCATTTTGATAGCATATCCTTTATCAGCCTGAGACCTTGCTATCAGCCCGAGGGCCGCATTATTGAGGGTGGATATAAGGTCAAGGGCTGATAGAGGATGTGATGTTAAAATAGTCATATTATAACTTTTATATCACACAATTTGAAAAACAAAATAAAAATCAATTAATTTTACAATTGTTGTTGTTGTTGTTGATATCGTCTGTGTCAGTAACCGAAGCGTCTGAACGTAAAACTGACACCCGGAGTGAAGAACCCTGATAAAGTGATGATGATATTTAGCGATCGGCCCGGATCGGTGTCAAAAATGTTTATCAGTCCGGGACTGATATGTCAACGCAAACAACACGTGTATCACATGGGCAAAATGTACATTGTCCGAGATAAAAGTGTGATAAAGAAAATTATTAACATATCAAATACCACAACTGATAACTCAGTGGATAAACTCCCAGCTTTAGTTAAAATTAAAATACAAGTACCACCATCTTCAGTAATACAACAAACGTTTTATAAAGAAATCATAGATTTGTTTTATTTCATAGACAAATATATAACGTTAGCTAAAACTGACAAATATTTTCTTTCACAGAAACGACAAACAATAATGAAAGTAATTGATAATATTTATTTCATTTGTTAATGTCACACATATCATTTCACACATACAGTAAAATACAGATATGATATGGTTAAGAAAAAATAATCGAATGTGCAACCCCCTTTCTACAGGCAATATATCAGGCAATTCATGGATCAAGCGGGATAACTCTAACATCCAGATGCGACTTGGTCTGTCCTCGGTAGAAAACCAACCTCCTGATCATGGTATACAGGTAATGTATGATCACATTCTGAGTTTGATATTGAATTTAATCGGTTGATAAGTATCAGGACTGATACACAGCTAGACTACCTAGACTACACGAGGTAATAAGACTACACAGAACGAGACACACGATAATCATGACCTACTTATAGGTACGCCGTACAGGGCCCCTTGCAGTGTCAGTACTCGAAAGTCCAGTGTCCTAATTCGTGACCCGTCAGATAATGTAAACGTCAAATAAATTATAGCAAAGCTGAAAGAAGGAACTCAAGTAAGTATGAGATCTTTATATAAAACAGGTAAGCTAAGTGTCATTGACTATATTTCCTACATATGCGAATGTCGGCAACGCGATGACTGACTGGCAAACCTTTTCTTTGTTAACTTACATTTGCTTGTATTTCTTTGACAGCTAGGACGGTAAAGTGACGTCATCATGGCCCAGTACGTCATAAACAAGCTGGAGTCATTTCATGGCGATTTGTCCTTCAATGGCGTCCCTTATGAGGCGTTCGAACGTACAGGTAAGTCCTTCATTGGAATAGCATACGTACAGATGAGTGTGTCGGTAATGTCATTTACATACAGGTGAGTATTTCACTGATATTACTTACGTACAGATTGAGTCCTTCTGTGGTATTTACTTACGTACAGGTTGAGTCCTTCTGTGGTATTTACTTCCGTACATGTAAGTCCTTCAGTGGTATTACTTACGTACAGGTTGAGTCCTTCTGTGGTATTTACTTCCGTACATGTAAGTCCTTCAGTGGTATTACTTACGTACAGGTTGAGTCCTTCTGTGGTATTTACTTCCGTACATGTAAGTCCCTCTGTGGTATTACTTACGTACAGGTAAGTCCTTCTGTGGTATTACTTACGGAAAGGTAAGTCCTTCTGTGGTATTACTTACGGAAAGGTAAGTTCTTCTGTATTATTACTTACGTACAGGTAAGTCCTTCTGTGGTATTACTTACGTACAGTTAAGTCCTTCACTGGTATAACTTAGGTACAGGTAAGTCCTTCTGTGGTATTACTTACGTACAGGTCAGTCCTTCAGTGGTATTACTTACGTACAGGTAAGTCCTTCAGTGGTATCACTTACGTACAGATAAGTCCTTCTGTGGTATTACTTACATACAGGTCAGTCCTTCAGTGGTATTACTTACGTACAGGTAGGTCCTTCTGTGGTATTACTTACATACAGGTAAGTCCTTCAGTGGTATTACTTACGTACAGGTAGGTCCTTCTATGGTATTACTTACGTACAGGTCAGTCCTTCTATGGTATTACTTCCGTACAGGTAGGTCCTTCTGTGGTATTACTTCCGTACAGGTAGGTCCTTCTGTGGTATTACTTACATACAGGTAAGTCCTTCACTGGTATTACTTACGTACAGGCAAATCCTTCACTGGTATTACTTACGTACAGGTAGGTCCTTCTGTGGTATTACTTACGTACAGGTCAGTCCTTCTATGGTATTACTTCCGTACAGGTAGGTCCTTCTGTGGTATTAATTCCGTACAGGTAAGTCCCTCTGTGGTATTACTCACGTACAGGTAAGTCCTGCTGTGGTATTACTTACGTACAGGTAAGTCCTTCTGTGCTATTACTTACGTACAGGTAAGTCCTTCTGTGGTATTATGTACGTAAAGGTAAGTCCTTCTGTGGTATTACTTACATACAAGTCAATCCTTCTGTGGTATTACTTACGTACATGTCAGTCCTTGTATGGTATTACTTCCCTACAGGTAAGTCCTTATGTGGTATTACTTACGTACAGGTAAGTCCTTCAGTGGTATTACTTCCGTACAGGTAAGTCCCTCTGTAGGTCCTTCTGTGGTATTACTTCCGTACAGGTAAGTCCCTCTGTAGTATTATGTACGTAAAGGTAAGTCCTTCAGTGGTATTACTTACGTAAAGGTAGGTCCTTCAGTGGTATTACTTACGTACAGGTCAGTCCTTCTATGGTAATACTTACGTACAGGTAGGTCCTTCTGTGGTATTACTTACGTACAGGTAAGTCCTTATGTGGTATTGTGTACGTAAAGGTGAGTCCTTCTGTGGTATTACTTACATACAAGTCAGTCCTTCTGTGGTATTACTTACGTAAAGGTGAGTCCTTCTATGGTATTACTTACGTACAGGTAAGTCCTTCAGTGGTATTACTTACGTACAGGTAAGTCCTTCAGTGGTATTACTTACATACAGGTCAGTCCTTCTATGGTATTACTTACGTACAGGTAAGTCCTTCTGTGGTATTACTTACATACAGGTAAGTCCTTCAGTGGTATTACTTACGTACAGGTCAGTCCTTCACTGGTATTACTTACGTACAGGTAAGTCCTTCTGTGGTATTACTTACATACAGGTCAGTCCTTCTATGGCATTACTTCCGTACAGGTAAGTCCTTCAGTGGTATTACTTACGTACAGGTAAGTCCTTCTATGGTATTACTTACGTACAGGTCAGTCCTTCTATGGTATTACTTCCGTACAGGTAGGTCCTTCCGTGGTATTACTTCCGTACAGGTAAGTCCCTCTGTGGTATTACTCACGTACATGTAAGTCCTTCTGTGGTATTACTTACGTACAGGTAAGTCCTTAAGTGGTATTACTTACGTACAGGTAAGTCCTTCACTGGTATTACTTACGCACAGGTTGAGTCCTTCAGTGGTATTACTTACGTACAGGTGATTATAAGTCCTTCTGTGGTATTACTTACGTACAGGTAAGTCCTTAAGTGGTATTACTTACGTACAGGTAAGTCCTTCTGTGGTATTACTTGCATACAGGTAAGTCCTTCAGTGGTATTACTTACGTACAGGTCAGTCCTTCCCTGGTATTACTTCCGTACAGGTAAGTCCTTCTGTGGTATTACTTGCATACAGGTAAGTCCTTCAGTGGTATTACTTACGTACAGGTAAGTCCTTCTGTGGTATTACTTACGTAGAGGTAAGTCCTTCAGTGGTATTACTTACATACAGGTAAGTCCTTCACTGGTATTACTTACGTACAGGTTGAGTCCTTCAGTGGTATTACTTACGTACAGGTAAGTCCTTCTGTGGTATTACTTACGTACAGGTAAGTCCTTCTGTGGTATAACTTACGTACAGGCAAGTCCCTCTGTGGTATTACTCACGTACAGGTAAGTCCTTCTGTGGTATTACTTCCGTACAGGTAGGTCCTTCTGTGGTATTACTTACGTACAGGTAAGTCCTTATGTGGTATTACTTAAGTACAGGTAAGTCCTTCTGTGGTATTACTTCCGTACAGGTAGGTCCTGCTGTGGTATTACTTCCGTACAGGTAAGTCCCTCTGTGGTATTACTCACGTACATGTAAGTCCTTCTGTGGTATTACTTACGTACAGGCAAGTCCCTCTGTGGTATTACTCACGTACAGGTAAGTCCTTCTGTGGTATTACTTCCGTCCAGGTAGGTCCTTCTGTGGTATTACTTCCGTACAGGTAGGTCCTTCTGTGGTATTACTCCCGTACAGGTAAGTCCCTCTGTGGTATTACTCACGTACAGGTAAGTCCATCTGTGGTATTACTTACGTACAGGCAAGTCCTTCACTGGTATTACTTACGTACAGGCATGTCCTTCTGTGGTATTACTTACGTACATGTAAGTCCTTCAGTGGTATTACTTACGTACAGGTACGTTCTTCACTGGTATTACTTACGTACAGGTAAGTCCTTCTGTGGTATTACTTACGTACAGGTAAGTCCTTCAGTGGTATTACTTACGTACAGGTAAGTCCTTCACTGGTATTACTTACGTACAGGCAAATCCTTCACTGGTATTACTTACGTACAGGTAAGTCCTTCTGTGGTATTACCTACGTACAGGTAAGTCCTGTGGTATTATGTACGTAAAGGTAAGTCCTTCAATTGTATTACTTACGTACAGGTAAGTCCTTCAGTGGTATTACTTACGTACAGGTAAGTCCTTCTGTGGTATTATGTACGTAAAAGTAAGTCCTTATGTGGTATTACTTACGTACAGGCAAGTCCTTCACCGGTATTACTTACGTACAGGTTGAGTCCTTCTGTGGTATTACTTACGTACAGGTAAGTCCTTCAGTGGTATTACTTACATACAGGTAAGTCCTTATGTGGTATTACTTACGTACAGGTAATTATAAGTCCTTCAGTGGTTTAACTTACGTACAGGTGAGTGTGTCAGCGATGTCGCTTACATAGAGTTGAGTATTTCACTGGCATTACTTACGTACAGGTGAGTCCTTCAGTGGCATTACTTACGTACAGGTAAATTCTTTATTGGTATTACTTACGTACAGGTATACAGTCCTTTAGTGGTACCACGTGCATACAGTTGAGTCCCTTTGTGGTGTTATTTACGTACAGGTAAGTTCTTCTGTGGTATTACTTACGTCCTTAAATAGTGATAATACGTAGATGTTAGCGTCGGTAATTGTCGCTATTTTTTTCAGTTGCCACCTAGCTTACTTACAGCGGTTTCCAATATTTTCCTTTTTTACATATTTCGTTTTGCCTCCCTCAATATAGTGCCATTCCCCTTTATTACGCCAGCATCTCGTCGGACCTTGAGTTTAAGACAGTATAATGGAGGTTTTATGTAGTTAAACAATCGCTCTTTATCTCTACACACAGGTCACTGGTCACTATGGGGCGTGATGAAGATGTTTGAAGCAGCCCGTCTGATTGGTCTGTACAACGGTCTGTTCCACTTCCGGTCGATGGAAGAGAAACACAAGGGTTTGGTGATTGTCACACAGACCATCCGACTGAGTCCTGATCTGCACCGAGACTACTCCCTCTTCACCACCCTCAAACAACGGTACGTCATGGATATCGTTGAGATCGGTCGAAGGTCATTCTCTTTCGTAAGCAGACTGACCAATGAAGAAACTGGAAAGTTCCTTGGAGAAGTTCTCCTAAAATATGTCCTAATTGACAGGCGTACACGGAAGTCGATTCCACTACCGGATTCTTTTTTTGAAAAATATTCCGAAGATGGAAAGAAAAAAGTAAAAGTTGTCAACCTGTCCATTCCAGCTTGTCCTGATATGGGTAAAAATGTATTTCGGCTTAAAGTGCTTCCTCTGCATAGCGACACTGACCGGAACAACCATGTGAATCAGTCTGTCTACTTCCGGTTTTGTATCGATTGTGCTACAGATGCGGCTCTAGCCGGCAACTATCGTCATTTCACGTCAGACATGTGTTGGTATCCTGTTGTCGAGATGAATGTTTATCATGCGAACGAGAGTCTCGTCAACAAAGAGTTGATCGTCAACACGTGGCAAGATGATGACGACTTCCGGTTGATCTTCTTCATCATCAAACGCAAGAAAACTGTTCTGTTTAAAGCGTCCATGTTGTTTTATCCTGAAATGTCTAAGAAGAGACGGAACTCGCGAATGTGAGGAACAAAACAATAGTTTATTAACTTCATAATCTTACAATAGGTCAAAATGTTACAACAGTTATCAATAAAGAACACTTAATATCGATGTGACTTGATGATGGTTTAAATGAGGCTGTCAGGGGACTGATAACGGCCGGTACAATTTCTGCTGCCATTTTCATCATATAATATTGTTATTTGTTATTTGCGGAGCATTTTGAAAAGGGGCGGGGGGCGGGGGGGTGAGGAGGGGTGTACATGCCTTTAATAAGCACGTTTTTTACTTCTGAATTTAGTCGACTAAGTCGATAGTTTGAAACTTTTTCTTCGGTTGGTAAATATCGACCATATGCAGGTCACTGGTCATTTGTCTGATAGTGTAAGAGTACATATCATACACCACTAGTCATTTAAACGTCATACTTAATCATTTCACCGGTTGTGCTATGTGAATCTGCAATATCGAGTATGTATAAATATGTGTGTTAAGATCAATACACTTAAAGGTAGGACATTACTGATGATTTAAAGATTAGAATGTATATAAGTCTGACATCTTACAACATAATCCATGTATGATTACATCAGATAGAGAGTCCTAGATTCACATCGCCAAAGAAGAAGATTTCCATTTTTTCGGCATTTTACTAACTCCGTTGTGCTTGGACTTATTCTTACCCGACATCACTTTCATTCCATTGTGATTTCAAAATNGGGGGGAGGTAAATAAGTCCTGAAAGAACAAATATACAACTGCGTCAGCAGACAGGGACGAAATTAGAACTCCAATGCTCAACAAAACAACTAGTCCACATGGATTAATTGTATCTTTCCTTAGATAAGCAGTTTATCGGTGAATCAAACGAAAATTGGAAACAAATGTCAAATTTCTCTCTACATCAAAGGTTTACCATATCAATGTCTAAAAGAAGTGAAAAATTACACATTTTGAAGTAATTATTACAGATACGTACACAATGTCATGCATGGGCCATAATTACACGTCCTTGTTACCCTCAGACGGAATAAAAACTGAGGAAATATTACTTCATAAATCACCACAAAGAAACCGGAGTCGGATTCGAGGACTTCAGATCAGGTAAACGGTTTCTGCACCACATGTGGTGACACACCGTCATGATGTCTCGAAAAATCAAGGAATGGGTATTTAAGTAACATCTTAGTCGTTTTATCCTGCCACCTTAACATCATATATGATATAGCATTCTAGCCTAGTGTTATGTTCAGTTTACATACACGTAAATATTTATTTATTTTTGAAGACCGATTGGTTTGGTTATATTTTTTAACGTCCTATTAACAGCCAAGGTTATTTAAGGACGTGTCATCGTGTGTGTGTGCTGGAGACAGTGTATGTTGATGAATTTGCCTCCTTGTGATAACGCTGATCTGATGCCAAATTTAGAGTGCTTCCTCACTGAAATACCATGCCGAAGGCACCAAAACAGCATTCCACCCGGTCACAGTATACTGACTCCGATAAACCAGTTGCTGCGATAACCCTTAATGCTGAACGTAAAGCAGGGAAAACAACTACCATTTTTAAGGACTTTGGTATGTCCCGGCTTGGCGACACAACCCAATGCCTCCTCCACTTGGGCGAACGCTCAACTCTATGGCCAAAATGAGGAACTGTTGATGACCGATGCTTCTCTTAAACCTATTATGTACTGAAAAATCATGTGTTCATTGATTTCTTAAAATGGAAATACTTTTTACGATAGACATCCTTGTAAATCTTTGTTGACTAATTCCCAGTATGATAAATGTGCAACTTGTGTAATACTGACTGTGAGTGTCACAAGCTGATATTATTTACGGTGTGCCGAGTTAAGTTTATATGGAAAGAGAGAAAGCGTCAACAGAGAACGTTATTGTAAGTAATTGATTTACCTTTTATAAACAAGGCATTATTAAATCAATAATTGTGTTTTATTTACACATTGGTCGTTCTGATCCGTACACTTTGGTGTGTTACATGTTGCAAACATGTTTCTATTTATCCGACGTAGTCACCTGAACCGTGGTAAGGGGTTTATCAGTTCATGATAAATCCAGTTTCATTTAAATGTTACACATTCTTTTGAAATACATATGTCCGAGAAAAATAATCTAGCTATTTAAGCCTGATTCGAAAATAAACAATATTCCAGGGATGCAGAGAGCGAAGTGAGCGTAACCCATGGATATAGAGGATGCCAGGCCGGGACATACCAAAGTCCTTAAAAATGATGGTTGTTATTCCCTGCTTAACGTTCAGCATTAAGGGAAATGACAACAACTGGTTCACCATTTGTCATTATAATGTGACAGGGCGGAATGCTGTGCTGGGCGCCTTCGGCATGGTATTTCAGTGAGATAGCACTATAAAGTCGGCATCAGATCCGCGCTATCACAAACGATCCAAATAACTGATGACATGTGCCGTTTGGAAGGCTTCGAAAGTAAGACAGTCTTGAAAGTAAGCCGAACATACATGTCTTACCGTCTAAATGATATTGAAAACCAAGATGGCCTTGTTAATAGGCCGGGTTCGAGGGGAAAAAACTGGGATCCTTACTAAAAACGAAAATAAAGCGCGCTTATTTCAGAACTTTTAGGGTATGTACTAATAACTCAATATCAATTGAGAATGCATTCTCCTGGATATATAATAGCTAAAAACAACTATGAACATTATATCTTATCTCCAGCTTAGGTTAATGAGCCATCGATTCAAATTGTTCCTGTTTAAAAATCAAACAGATAGGTAACATCGTTTGTAAATACACAGGGATATCTAATTTATGCATCCCACCTGAGCGTTTTTGATTGGTATTTTTATTTTTCACGGCGAATGTAACTACTTATAAACAAATATGAGATAGTTTAACCCCTAGAATGTATGGTATGTCGGGCAATAAGTACAGAAGTACGGGTAATGGGATAAGGTAAGGTGGGTAAGTCGCTGTAGCGTGTTTCTGTGAGGGGGATACTGTAACGTAGAGAGTGCGTCTCATTACCTTCCTTTGTATCTGTTACTCAGGTCACGCGGAAGTCTACGTGACCCAGTGCACGTGGCGTCAAAATCTAGAATGAAGGTGAAAACTTAAAGGTCGAACTCATTAAGAAACGAACATCTTCCGCATCCCTTTCGTTTGTTTATCAGTACGTTTTAACACTTTTTTTTCCCATTTAAGACTTACGTTGTTTCAATAATATCAACGCCGACTATTATATCATCGTGTAAATAAAAGATCATAAATCAGGAGGGGCGACATGAAACGCCGTTACCGCGGGATTCGAACTCACCACCTCCGAATTCTAGAGGATGCCCTTATCAGTTGCGATAGTGGTCATCCGGCCCAGCTCTTACACACCTCCTTCCTTTTTGTAAATTTTTGCCGCTATTTGCAAACCAGCTTCAAGTATTGTCTTGATAACCGCTTACTTACTTCTTGAAAACAAGGGTTGGTCACATTCACTATCGTAACAGAAGATGGAACTAAAAGTAAAAGAACCAGATTGGAATTTGAAGTACAGAACTCCAGACTCTAGACGGACCTCTTAAAAGAGCTGAGCTAACTATTTACCGGTAGTAACTCGGCCCCGTTCAGCTATGGAAGAAACAAGAGGAAAAAAGTGAGCTGACGTTCGATTGGCTAATGGAGAACTAAGCAAAGCTGTGAATGAAAGAAGCATACGTAAACTTCACATCTGCCTGAATATGAACTCTAGTAAATTACAGTAAAACGTCGTTATACTGCCAACGTTTGTCAAGATAAATTTAAGCGTTATATTTAACGAAAATAAATTAGGTAAATGCATGAAGGAATCCTTAAGGAAACAAGAAAAAATGAATATTGAAATATGTTGGCGGTAAACGAGGTGGCAGATGTAACAACGGGCATTATATCGAGGTTCGGCTGTATATCAAGACATCGGCTATTGGTGATATGTCTATCAACACTTGCTATTTTACTCTTATTTCTAGGGATTTAGTTTTGGTTAATAAGGTTTGGTCACGAGTCAAAGAAAGAAAGGGATGATTTGCCCTAGTTCTGTACCGTGTCACGACCCTGGTTTCAGTTACAATTGTCCGGTGATGTGGATAGACATTAAAATCAGACTAAATCCTATAATAGTGTCGTATTTTATCATCTCTTTTTCACATAATCATGTGTCGATCATCTGAAATGGAAAAGAGGCGACTAAAGGGGTATTTAAAGTTGTCTAACATAACAATTTATTCTTTATCGAATGAAAACTTTTTTTCGATTTCGCATTTACAAAGAACTGGTATCCAATTTACACTCCTGAATATTTTATCATTCTTACCTATCGTGAAAGAACAATGCTATTTTTATGATTAACTTCATTTTAATTTTTAGGATAAATTACCCCGTGTGTGACCTCTGCTTCTGTGTGATTGGCCGTTTTTATATTCACCCCAAATGTTTGGTATTCATTCTGTTGTTGTTAAAACCAGACAATAAGATCGGACTTCTAACACAGACGACAACTCTGAATTTATTTCACAGAAAAGTATGGACATTTTTTTCTCAAAAGAAAATTAAGTTACGCAACTAGTTATTTCATCACTTATAACGAAATGTAGATCGAAAGTTCGAAAGAAATCTTGGTCGTAATTAAAAACAACTGTTTTCGACAGAGAACAAAAAAAAAAAGGAAAAAGGAAAACGTTTCTGTGATTGGAAGAATTTATTTCCAAACGTCTTCTGTGACCAAGGCAGATTTGGACGCAAAACCAACATGGTATTCCGATTCCAATATCGATGGTTGGTAGTCCTGGCCAGTTTTGGACTACACTATATCTCGCTAGGTATGGTACAGGGCTTCGGAATTATCTACTCGGAACTCATCTACCAGTTTGGTACGAGTAAAGCGGAGACGGGCTGGATTCCCTCTCTAGGATCTGGGCTCTTACTTGGCTTTGGTGAGTAAAGAAGAGAAGGAAGTAAATAAATACATAAACAAACAATTGGGGAGAAAATGAATGGAGTGTGGTCAAATAGAAGCGGAAATATGCTTATGTAAAACAGCTTCTTAACAAATACATTTTGAAAAATTATAAAAGGTTTTGGCTCATCCTGTAATGAATATAGAAAGTTGACATTTGTAACATATTAAATATTCATAAAAAAACAGGATTAGAATATTGAAGTGTTAACAAACCGTAATTAGAATTCAGAATCGATAAACCTGGGACAAAATATGTATTTATTATTGCGTTAATAAACGAGTTAAGCATATATCAAATTTGTTATCATCTTATTTTATGACAATGTAGATATTAAATACAGAATATTAAAGTTCAGTACAAACATAATCTAACCCCTTAAAAGATATTGAGAATATATTTGTTTTGCAATAAGTATATCTCATCAAAAACGTTAGAAACACTTTTTTTCCCCAGGAAAGTACCTTCCTCAAATTTTAATAATAAACCCGTATTTATTTTTATGTTGATACGTAATTAGTTCATACTATAAAAGTCCTTTATTAAATCAATGTCTTCATTTTATCGCTGCAATTGATGTAAATTTTAAAAAAAATGCGGATAAATCACGACGGAAATATTACATATGAATATTGAAGTGTAAACAACAACACGCTGAAATTATGAACTTTCGGATAATCCATATAATACTTGCTATTTCAAAACATTTTAACATTCGCAAAACACATTTGACTATTCGGCGTTTATTTCATTTTGGTTTATTTCATTTTGCAGAGTTATAGTATGTAGATTCTATGTATTAAACAATTGTTGTTGATGTTGTTAAAAATTATGCCCAAATGATATTGAATTAAAACAAAACTTAATTGAGTAAAAAATATTAATGTTAATCCAAATAAGATTTGACCTATATTCGAACATGCGGTATCTACCCACTGTAGATTGTAAACAAAATGTTGATTTTCAGATTGAAGATCATCAACAAATTCATTTTTCCACATGAATGAAAACACTAAATAACAGGATTGTCCATCTGAATGGAAATGTCTTACCGAGAAGTGTAATCGACGGCCGGGTGGGGCGAGAACCTCTGATACCATGAATATGTACTGAGCTATACAAAGTGACTTTTAAAAACATTTAATGACCCAAATAATCATTGATCATTAACATAATAGGTTGTTCTTAGGGCAATTATCACGCAATGTACACCTATATATATATATATATGGGTCAAAGAAGTAATATAGACGGTAAAGTCCCATATAACACTGGATCCTAATGGAGGTATGTCAGTAGGATACGAATTACTTAAAATAGTATATGGGGCAAAGAAGTAATTCCAACAGTGTGGACAAGTTAAGGTTGTCAAATTTTCGGAGCTATATTTTCAATTATAGTGTATCAGTTATATCTCCTTGTAATATGATGGATATGTACATGTAACTGTTCTGTTTCACTGTGTCTTGATAAAGGAGCGGATCGCTCCGAAAATTTGACAAACTAAACTTGTCCACACTGTTGGAATAACTTCTTTGCCCCATATATATATATATGGGGCAAAGAAGTAATATAGACGGTAAAATCCCATATAACACTGGATCCTAATGGAGGTATGTCCGTAGGATACGAATTACTTAAAATATTATACGGGGCAAAGAAGTAATTCCAACAGTGTGGACAAGTTTAGGTTGTCAAATTTTCGGAGAGATCCGCTCCTTTTTCAAGACACAGTGAAACAGAACAGTTACATGTACATATACATCATATTCCGTAGCAAATTGGAGATTTTTTCACATTTACCGGGCCAGATTTCCAAATGCACATGTTCCACGTTTTTGATATCCCTCGTTGACTCACTTTATATGACAGTGCATCTTGCGCAAGAATTGGTCCTCTACATCAGCGTTCCTTGTCCGCGATGCTCTCAGCTTAATTGCTGTCTTCGGCTGTCTTTAGCCGAGGGGACTGTTGGTTTTATATATTATGATGACGGCATCAGTCATAAAATGTTAAAAATGGTATCCAATGAAATATCTGCACCCCTCACACTTCTATTCATCCTGATTCATGGAAACTTGCCCATGTGACACCTATTTTCAAAAAGGGGGAATCTGAATTGGCAAATAACTACAGACCCATTTTTTGACTTAGCTGCATTGGCAAACTTTTCGAACGAATAATTCATAAGCTCATCTATAACTATCTCTTCAGCAACAAACTTCTATATACTTTACAGTCTGGCTTCTTACCAAATCACTCTATAACTCACCAACTCATCGAACTCTATCATAGCATACCTACAGCACTGGAGAATCGTGAATATACTGCTCTTGTTTTTTGTGACTTTTCTAAAGCTTTCGACCGAGTCTGGCACAAAGGTCTATTAATTAAATTAGAAAAATACGGGATAAAATGCAAACTTTTAGATTGGATAAAAAACTACTTAAGTAACAGACGCCAGTCAGTGGTACTAAAAAATGCTATATCTTCTGAAGTATCTATCAAAGCCGGAGTTCCTCAAGGTTCAGTGTTAGAGCCACTTCTTTTTCTTGTATACATCAACGATATTTCAAATACATTACTATCAATGACTAGACTTTTTGCTGACGACACCGCATTAGCACTCTCTTCCAAAAATTTACACGATATAAAACAAGTTATAAACTACGACATGGAACAATTAAACCTTTGGTCAAATAAATTGTTAATGAATTTCAACCCAAATAAAACCGAAATTCTCTTGATTTCCAACACAAATATACCTTCTAATCCACAATTTCTTTTCGACAACACACCTACCCTATGGTTAAAAACCACAAACACCTAGGAGTCATTATTAGTAACAACGGCACATGGAACTCTCACATCGAACATATACTAACGAACACTACAAAGTACATTGCAACTTTAAGGAAATTAAAATACATCCTAAATAGAAAAAACTTGGAAAAAATATACCTTGTTTTTATAAGACCACTATTTGAATATGCCTGCGAAGTATGGGACAATTGTAATATCACATTTTCGAATAAATTAGAGAACATGCAGTATGAAGCAGGTCGAATAATAACTGGATTACCTATTTATACAAAAAAAGAATTTATTTACAGAGAGCTCGGATGGAAATCATTGATAGATAGACGCAGGATTAGAAAATTATCCATGTTTTATAATATTTATCATGATAATGCTCCCTCATTTCTTAAATCTCTTCTACCACCTATTGTGTCAAACTTCTCCAACTATAATCTTAGAAACAGGAATAACTTTCAGAACCCATACTATAGACTGCAAATCACAAAATCATCCTTCATACCAAGTACATCAGACTACTGGAACAATCTATCTATAGAAACAAAGTCATCAGCATCCATTAAACAATTTAAAACTCTTATTCAGCCTCAAGTCACTACCCCTTCTTATATTAAATGTTTTCTTGAATATCCATTTGTCTTTTGTTGCAATAAAATTGATTTAAACTAAACTAAGGTATGTCCGTAGGATACGAATTACTTAAAATAGTATATGGGGCAAAGAAGTAATTCCAACCGTGTGGACAAGTTAAGGTTGTCAAATTTTCGGAGCTATATTTTCAATTATAGTGTATCAGTTATATCTCCTTGTAATATGATGTATATGTACATGTAACTGTTCTGTTTCACTGTGTCTTGAAAAAGGAGCGGATCGCTCCGAAAATTTGACAACCTAAACTTGTCCACACTGTTGGAATTACTTCTTTGCCCCATATAGTTTGTGAGATGGAAGAACGCGAATTTCTAAATTTTTAAGAAAAAAAAGCAATATAAACAAAAAACACGAAAGTGATTTTTTTTTCATTTTTTTTTTTCGACAAAAACAGAAGTATGTAATGGGGCAAGGGATTGGGAATTTGTTTATGAAACACCAATGAGATATTTCGACAAGTTGATGAGTTAACTAGTTACCCGATGACTAACTATACCAGTAAATATAGACATGGTGAGAGCACAAGGAATATTAAGTTTAGTACATATGCCATAAATGCTTCAAAATATAAACTGATGTTGGAAGACAAATAACAAAAGTAACAAATGTTTGCACCACACGCCAAAATATATCGAAACATGTAGGGGAGAATAAGACAGGGTTCCGTGCTTAACCCTTAGTTTAATACAAACGTCAAATACAGAATTATACATGTTAGAGGGAATGAGGCAGGGGTCCGTGCTTAGCTCTTATTATTATAGAAACGTCAAAAACATAATTAAACATGTTAGAGGGAATAAGACAGGGTTCCGTGCTTAACCCTTATTTTAATACAAACGTCAAATACAGAATTACACATGTTAGAGGTGATGAGACAGGGGTTCGTGCTTGGCCCTTATTATAATACAAACGCAAAAAACATTATTGAACATGTCAGAAAGAATGAGACAGGGATCCGTGCTGAGCCTTTATTATAATACAAAAGTGACAGCGAAACGTCAAAAACATAATTAAACATATTAGAGGGAACGAGACAGGGATCCATGCTAAGCTCTTATTATTATAGAAACGTCAAAAACATAACTAAACATGTTAGAGGGAATGAGACAGGGATCCGTACTTAGCCCTTATTTTAATACAAACGCCAAATACTTAATTCAACGTGTTAGAGGGAACGAGACAGGGATCCGTGCTTAGCTCTTATTATTATAGAAACGACAAAAACATAACTAAACATGTTAGAGGTAATGAGACAGGGATCCGTGCTTAGCTCTTATTATTATAGAAACGTCAAAAACATAACTAAACATGTTAGAGGGAATGAGACAGGGATCCGTACTTAGCCCTTATTTATACAAATGCCAAATACTTAATTCAACATGTTAGAGGGAATGAGACAGGGACCCGTGCTTGGCCCCCTTATTATAATACAAAAGTGACAGCGAAACGCCAAATACTTGGTTAATCATGTTTGCGGGAATAAGACAGGGATCGGTTCTTATCCGTTATTATGCTATATGAAAAGTAAACTGGAATGCCTAAGAATCATGATAGCAGCGCATCGTGTCTTTAACAGGAATAGAGTGATATTGGCCTAAAAATATATCTCTATGACGCAACATCAGACGTAACGACATAATGAGAAAAGATGCTTATAGATGATTTATAGAAAACAAAAACTGTACATATATCTTAATGCAGTCAAAATATCACGTAAGCTGAAAATCGCAGTCTCATAAGATTTGAAATTTATTTTCAGGATTATAAAATAAAAACGTAAGCTTTCTTTTATACAATTGTCGACTGTCACCGTGGCTGTTTACGCAGAGAGAAGAGAAGTCACTAGAGAACGGAAGAACAAGAAAAATACCTATGTGGCACTTTGAATGCACAGCTGTTCATATATAAAAGCACTGAAAGTTGTATTTCTTTGTGATGAATGTGACACTAGTGGTAACATATTACATAAAGAAATAGACAAATTTATATTTCAAACGTTATATATATAAAAAAAAAAGTAATATTTTGATGAACTTTTCAATTATATATAATTATTCATAAATTAAGGGGGAAATCCCCACATTATCTTATTTGAAATATGTAAAATTATCACTTATTTTTAAATATACCGAATACTATTATACCACCATCAATCATTTTCTTTATTAATGAGATATAATACCAAACAATATATATACCATATTTTCAATACACAAGAATCTCGTCGGAATTTAAACCGATATGAAACAACAGTCACCAGAATCTCCTACAAATTAATAATAATGGTCTACAAAATATTCGTAAATAGGAGTATCCATCGCGAAGTAGTCTTGGTTAGCCTAGTGAAAAGATTTATAATTACATGGACCATAAGTACATAACCATTAAACTCATCTTACCATACGTAATGGCAGAAACCTTACTCTATCCTGTTTTAGGTTAATAAAGACTTATGTAGGTCAGTGAAGACATCAGGCGTTTGCGGATGAGTTCAGTTTGTCTTCATTTCATTGTCACCACCTTCGCTAATACATTTGATTCACTTAGTTCCCATTCTGTCTGTTCTTGATGGTCAGATATATCCATTAAATATCAGTTGTTATCGTAAAATCATGCCCCGATAATTACTGGTATGCCCAGTTATAAATCATTGCACATGTATAAAACACTTTAAACATGTATTTTATGTTTTAAATGAATGCTTTTATGATAAAAAAAAATGTCATGTAGTGTTTGTAATTTTCTCTTTAATTTAAGCATTTGGAAAAAAAGTATTTTGTTGTATAATTTAAACATCATGCCTCTCTGGGCTCTTGAACAACCCTTTTTCTTTTTTCTCCCTTTTTATAATAAAAAAACCTTAAACCGACGATGTCTTGAGCTACTGCTTTGTTTTTTCTCTGTTTGCTTTTTTCTACCTACTTTTCTTCCTTATATCTCATTTTTAATTCACTTATTTCCATGACGTATGCCATTTACATTTAAATACTTATCTGATTCTTCGTTGTTTCATTTGATCCACAGGTCCGGTGTCCAGTATCCTGGTCAAGCTGATTGGTTGTCGCGGGGTTGCGGTCATGGGGGCATTGTCCATTTCAATAGGAATGTCCGCCAGCATGTTTGTCAATGACGTACACGAACTCTACCTGACGTATGGAATTATAGCAGGTTCGCATGATATCTATATATTACAATCATTTAGTGTTAAACGTGTATGATATTTTATCGTAACACATAATTATAGTCGTTTCAAAAACAGATATCATCATAATGATTATTTCATTATTGTCTTATTGAATAAATCAACAGTCACATAAAGCAAGCCATACACTAACTCATGCATCGTGTAAGCGCGTTTTGTCTGCGTTTTGCCTGCAAAGAATATGTTAACAATTCATAGCGTGAGTTAAAGTCCAAAGTTCATTATATGTTATTTTTTAATTTGGAATTACCCACCTCCTGTACGATCGTGGAACTTGTTATGTTGGCTCTGGAATCTTAAGATTTACAAAATGTAATACCACAGAGAATATTATGTGGTAAAAATCTTTAAACAATGTTTTTTTCCTGTACATTTGAACAAGAGACATTATGATGGGTGCCATACATATGGTGAAAAATACTTATTCTTCCGGGTCACATTTTGTGTTTTCTAAATAAAAAACGAAAATTGACAACAAAATCAACTAGAGCAATGACACTGTTTGTAATGTATTGAAGAGAATTTGAGGAGATTTTGGTCTGTCAACAAAACAATTCGGTTTTTATATCATTTGTCGATCTACGATTCCATATTCATGAACAAATGATCAAAATTTTGCTTGCCAAAGGAAACAGACGTTTACGAAAACTCGCAAAATAGTTTTCAATTCCTGTTTGTGTTCAAATCAAACTTAGTCTTTATTATTCCTACCAAACTAATTAATCTTATACCGAAATGATCACAATACTTTGAGTTTGAAAAAATGTATTAGATCGAAATTTTAATTTTATCTTTGATTTTTTTCAAATTTATTTTCACTGAAATTATATGTTTGTATAACAATTGTTTATGAACATCAAAACAAAAGTTTCCGTTTTTTAATCATTATGGAGCCACAAACAAGCTTGTAATAAACCCAATCAATTAAACTTGTTGTTTTTTTATACACTAGTGTATCACTTTAAGGGGCACGTGGTTGTGTAAAAATAATAATTAAAACTCCTGGATGTAAACACGAACTGTATATCGGGTTTGTGTGACGGCGTGTCATGTGCTAGTACTAGAAGTGTCAAGATGACCACAATCCGTGATACAAACATGAAACCTACAGTAGGGGTTCATTACCTCTGCGTGACACCATGCATGATTGTATAGACCCTACACATTCCATTTCAATATTACTTACTAGCATAAATAAAGAGAGGGCATACCATTTATACACGCCAAATTAAACAAACGTAGTATCTGATGTTAATTATTTTCAACTATGACATACCTGTTCGGTTGAGCTTCCTTTCAAGAAATAGTAAAACCGCACTTAGGTCAGGGTATATAGGCATTTCATTGTAGTAGAACAGAAAATACTGTCCTCTGTGTGGTAATTGCATTACAACATTAACATTTCAAACGGAAAAATAACCTGTCACAACAATATACATAGGTAGCAGTGTACAGTGGCGTACGGTGGCCATGTGTGATATTTTTGTACAATGAATAACCCATGTAATATTACATGTATCAAAGTTTTAAAATAAAGCAGCACTAAAATTGGAATATACATGATCAAGTGGACTATGTGGGCTTCACATTTAAAACAAATTGAATTTGGTTTGAGACTACATGTTGGCCCTTTACAAATCTGTGTCTACACAACATAGGCTAGCTTTTCATGTAGTCTATTTTTGTACTCAGCACAAGTGTAAGTATTGTGAATTATTCAGTTGAACGACCTATGTTAAAACGTGAGTAATTCTGTTACCGAGTTAGTGATATTCAATTTAAGACAGGTTTAAAAAAAAACTATTTGCGTGGGTCAAAGTTTGGGTTAACAAACATGTTTTGGGGTTTTTTTGGCGTTTTTTTAATTTTGGTAATCATGGTTTTCACAAGTGCCAAATCTGGGGAAATCACTATTTGAAAAAAATATTCTTAGTACTGTATAAAGTAGTTTATAAATACATATATATATATGTAGATGTGATGTGCAGGATAAATCCGCTATCCATGTTTATCTGAGACATGCCCTTCATTTTTAGGATCAGGCCATTTCTACTGTACTCTGCTACCATAACCTTCTACATTACAGCTTTTTCGTTCATATCAAATATAACGTTTTAACCTTTGCTGGAATATGTGTCGGTAAGTTACAAGTATCACACTCAGTGAATACAATGATCAAGTAAGTATGTGATATTTCATTAGTGCGGGTGTACTCTAGTTATGTATTAGTAACATCATGGCATGTGTAGAGATTCACCTGTGAACGAATCAGACATTTTGCTAGGATCAAAACAGGGTATTCTAAGTAGTCACTTTTGTGAGTTTAACAGACCAACATAGACATTTGACTGGATGTTGACTGCATCGCAGGGTTGACTGACGAGATCTACAGGCTGACGAAGATTAGGGGTAGGTTTGTGATCGCCATCTTCGTCTCATTGAAAAATGTTCTTCCGGGTTGTGGAGAAATGAAGGCAGATGTTGCATATTAGGTGCATCGGTGTTCCTTCTTGCATCTTAATCAATACCCAAGTTCTTGCTTTTGAGGACCTTACATTGATTAAATTTGGCCAAGATGTGCATGGCAAGTGTTGTCTATGGGGCAAAGGACGCTACCTTCCGGAACAACTGGTCATATGGTCTTGTTCTTTTCATTGATCGCCGTGTAAATCAATCTTTTGCTTATACTTTTGGTTTATAATTGCGTGATGACTATTACGTATATTGTATTCTCTCGTCATGTACTACCCAACATATTCGAACTTGTATGGTAAGTTTTATATTTATAAACTTTGTACTCCGTAGGTATCGGAAACGGTATGGTATTCCATTCGGCGGTGGTGGCTGTCAATTCTCATTTTGAAAAATCACGACTGGCCCTGACGATTCTAACCATAGGGTCCCCCGCCTCCCTCCTCACCACACCCTTCCTCACTACGATCTGGATTGACACTTACGGTTGGAGAGGCACGTTTCTCCTCCTGGCCGGTATCAGTCTCCAGGGAGTCGTATGTGGCGCCCTCTTTCGGCCGCTGGAAAACAAGTCACCAGGTAATAACGATGTTTGTACATTCAATACACTAGCGATCGCTGTTAAATCGAATTAGCATCTTACTCAGGGAAAAAAATACTATTTTCCTTTTTACGCTGCTCATGCATGATGTCATCGTTCATTTTGAGGTCAAAACTGGTGTGCTTATTTATTGTGATATCTCAAAATTTACAGGGGTGAGGTAAGGTTGTTCTGTATACTGGGACATTTTTCGGCAAGTCAAAATTTCGTCCTTAACTGGTAAATGCCTTTAACAATTGATCACTATGCTTGTTATGCTATTTACTCATGTTCGCTCTAATGATAAACTCGCTTTAACTACGAAGGGTGAAAAATCGAACGTTATATTGCATACCGTAAAATATCGTTATCATGTTATATTCTTTACATCATATACATACGTGGAGGCACGGTTGTCTAGTGGTAGGAAGCCGGGCTCGTGACCGAAGGGTTGCGGGTTCGAGTCACGGCACGGCACTGTGTTGTATCTTTGAGCAAGATACTTTACTCCGCTTGTTCCAGTCTACTCAGCTGTAAATGAGTACGTGGTTGGGCAGCGCTAGAATTGGTGAATGCTAGCTGTTAGCGCCGAAATGGCAGCTTCGGCTGTATGCTGCCCAGGGAGTTGAGAAAGATATTGGCTGGTTGCAAAGGCCCTATAACCATGGATATTAATTTGTGAACCGCTTTGAGACGACCTACGAACTAGTATGGTACAACAACGTAAATCCTACTTTGGTTAAAGTTCATTTCAATTTTTCCTCACAGCCGAGAGCGATGAGACACCGGTTAAACTAGCATCCATCAAAGTGGAGTTGAAAGCCATTTTCAGTATCTCGGACTTTGTCCTGTTCTGCCTGTACTCGTCATTCGGAACTCTAGGATATATGGTTCCCTACGTTCTAGTTCCAGCCATGGCGGCGGAGAAAGGCGTTTCCTCTCTCGATGTCCCGTTTATCACCACTGCAGCAGGGTTGCTGGGTAGGTATATCTTGTACATATGTATGTCTACTCTCCGATGTGTTGTAAACATAAGGAAATAAAGAATCTGAATCTGAATCTGTAGGTACCAAGTACTGAGTAGGTTTGGCAAACCACGTATGGTGCAAACAAAAATTTACCCTTCCGGAGTAACTGAATTCGCCTCCGATTTTAGCGGTCTAAATGTCTTTCCTGCTGTTTTAATGAGCAGCAACTAATCCAATGTTGCATTAGACAAATACACTATTGACATATTAAGGATCCTTGCCCCACTGCACAGTGGTTTTTCCAATATACAGTAACATCCCCTAAACTTCATCCTGGTCTAAACACTTTGAATTTATACACTCGGAACAATGTTGTTGATTTATATTTTGTTTATTTCATATCTATTATTTCTCATAAATGTCCATCCACTAAAACGAAGGTAAATCGTGTGCTTAACGTCCTATCGACAGCTAAGGACATTTAAGGACGTGTTTCCATGTGTATTGTTTATGCGTGAATGCGTGTGTTGGTGCTGGTGGCATGTATAGTGGTGTACCTGCCTCCTTGTGAAAGCATGGATATGATGCCATGTTTATAGAGCTACCTCACTAAAATACCATGCCGAAGGCACCAAGCTTAATATTCCGCCCGGTCACATTATACTGACAAAGGGTGTACCAGTTGTTGCCATAACCCTAAACGCTAAATGTTAATCAGGGAATAACATCTACCATTTTTAAGGACTTTAGTATATCCCGGCCTTGGAACAGAACACATTGCCTTCCTCATCTAGGCGAATGTTCAACAGTAAAGCCAACAGCGAGGCATTGTCAAGCAAAGCAATATGAAACAAAAACAGTTGGAAGTAGAGAGAAAAAACAAATATCGCAAATACTGTAATGAGTGCAGCAAATTCATTTTGGGTTTTTTTGCGTCCCAAAGTAGATGGCACAAACGCAAATCCCCGATTCTTCATGGGGTTCCCACATTAGTTGCTTCTTATGATAATGCAGTGTGTTACAGCAGGTGCATTCTTTCCCCCGACCTGCATGTGTGACAATGGGTCATTATGTCTCACGTTATATTTAGGAATGTATGTAGGTTAATGTAGATATGAAATACAATCAACATGGCTCTAGCAACGGTTGATACTAAATATCTTGATACCGTGATGACAACTGTAACATTTCCGTTAGGTAAATCTTTGCTATATCCTGTACACTTGCATTTTCTGATTATTTTTCTTTTCTTCTTTCCGTCATGTGATGTATTAAGAACATCAACTATGCTTTCTGACCAGGTATCATTGCCCGACTCGTAGCGGGAGTTATTGTTGCCAAAGGCCTCGTCAACACTCTACTACTGCATGGAACAGCCCTTCTGATTGGTGCAATTGCTACTGCCGCCTGCGCCTACTTTTCGAGTTATCAGATGTTCCTGATATACGGCGGGATACTTGGCATGTTCACAGGTACCCGTAGCACATATGCACTGTTTTTATTTTTACAATAGCAAGATAATTACATATGATAAAAGAAATGAAAACATCAATTACACTTTCCCTTTAAATATAAACTTGATTTATTTATTTGACAATGAGTAGTGAAAGGCGAGTGCGTTACCAACTGCGCCATCTGACCACCCAAAATTTCCCCTTTGACATAATGTGATATGATATATAATACAAAGTCATAACGACCAATCGATGTAATAAGTTCATGCAGGGTCACGTGGTAGTCTGAACAACCCACAACCCAGTTATATCATACAGCGTGATATGGTAGAAGTTTGGTAAATGGTCTATGTGCCAATAGAGAAATGTAAAGTTGTATCATTTGGAGGTCTTTTGTCCCAACAACAGACTCGTATCCCATTTGTATTCCCTGAGCAGAGACAGGCTGTTGAAGAACTTGGCAATGGTAGAATTATTCACCCCGTAGGGAAAGACAAATATAGTATGGCATACGTTTTGGGGTAAATCCAATTTGTTACATGTCATTCTAATATTGAATGCTTTGTAATGTGTTTTTTTTAAAGTTCGGTGTTGACTTACAGGGATATTTGGAGCTCTTCTCTCTGTCATCACAGTGGATATCGTAGGGAAGTCCAATCTCAACATGGCGTTTGGCACGCTGTCTTTCTTCCACGGAATCACATTTACACTGGGAACACCCATAGCAGGTACAGTCGAACGTCGGTATTATGAGTGTGAATACAAAATTAGATCGGGGTATAATATCGCCTGATACATTGATCGTATTTTACTTGCTCTTTTTCACGATTATAGAGATTTCTTGATTAGTAAATCTGCTTCTTTTCCACAATGATTTGACGTCAGATCCGTTATTGTTGTATATAGACACCCGTCAACCCGTAGTCTATAATGATAATATTTTCTAAAAGCTGAAAATGATTCTGAGAGAAATTATAGACAATAATTTTAATATTTCAATGTTAAAGATGCCATCAAAGGTTGAACGAGACAAACAATTTCTAAATCTATCCGTCCCGAAGTACGTTCTATTCTTCATAATCAACATGCTGGTTATAAAAATAAGTCACAACAGTCGATTATAAAGGGTTAACTGTGAAAGGCATATTACAAGGGAGACAGAAAGACTGGTCCTCCCGTTTAAAATGTAATGATTGTGTAAGGAACGTATGGTCAAGACGGATGCGTGCGAAAACCACCTTCTTTGTTATTGTTTCTCAATAGCCAAGATACCGTTCTGTAATGACCTCTTTGACAAAGTGTAATATATTATCCGTAAATGTATTCCATGTTAGTTGCTATTTTAGAGAGTTTTCTTTCCTATAATCACAATTCATACTTCAGATCATCAAAGTTGCACTTCAACTTTCACTGTTTTTTGTGACGTAGGTTGGATAGCAGATGTGAGCGAAGGTTACGGGAATGGTTTGTATTTCGCCAGCGCTGTGTTTGCTATCGGAAGTGTAATTTCTTTCTGCATCTACATCCGACGAAGACGCAATGCTCGATCTCTGAAGAGTTTGATCAACCAAATATCCATTCAGAAGGGTTTAAACCTTAAAGGTAACAAGACGCGCCCATTTGTGTCATCCATTGTGATAAATCTGAGACAGGGGATGGTTAGACGTCTTTCTATAATCAGCGGAAGTAGTGGTGGCAGCCTCCCACAATGACGTCATTCTGCTGCAGGCAATAATAGAATATGTGGTAATGCATGCTTTAGACACTACTAAACTGGTAAATGTGACATACTATTATACTACCGAATAAATGTCAGTGGTCTTTCCATTCCTCCTGTGTCCCAATTGTACGAGAACTGAGTATTTAAATCAGTATGTGTATGAGTAAGTTTGGAATTTCCATGTTAAATATTTATAGATATTATTTGAAGTGGAGTTTTTGTAATATGAATTGATTAGTTTGATTATTGAATTGATAATATATATTGGTAGCTACATATAGTTTTGATATTAATAATACAATATCAATTCCAGGCTACGAAAATGTTGATGGTTTTGATGGGTAGTAAAGAAGTACCAAAAGTAGATATATTCATTGTTTTTATATTGACAATATGAGTTTACCTTAAGTTAATTATAAATCGCAGGCGTATGTTAACGTGGTATTCGTTATCATATTGATCTAAACAATGTTTACTCAAATACGTAGGTCAGGTAATCCATTTTCGTTAAATAACGAAGACAGGGTTTTCAATCAGAAAAAGCTTAATCTACCGACGCCGAAGAAATGTTAGGATCGTCTTCATGACCAGACAACATACAAAGGGATTCCAGTGTCCACGATTAGTAAACACACTGTTGGTGATCTACATATCTTCCTTGATTTGATAGGAGATATCACGAGGGCATAAGCCTGGGATATTGAGAAGCGGTATTCGTGCAAGACTGTTGAAAAAAGCATATGTTAGACGTATTATCAAAGACAAAATAATTTGAAAAAAAGAAAAATTGATGATATACATATTCTAAAAGTACGATTTATTTTTGGAAAATACGGTTTGCGGAAAAAATACATTTATATTTCATTTTGCATTCGGTTTTTTTGTTCACAATAACCTCAGGTAATCCAGTTCATTTTTGCCCATAAGATATTGAATTCTTTGAATTTGTTAAAACACAGCTGTGATGTCATCCTTTGTTAGTTGCGTACTATATCCAACAGAATCCTTAGGCATTACCTGTAGCCGTCCAATAAGTTAAGTATATCCGGTATTTATATTTCCATAGTCAGATTTCCCATGCACTATATTTTTTCCTTGAAAGAAGGTTTGAATCACGGAACACTCTTTTTATATGAAACATCTATATAGATACATACACATCCAAACACTTTACTGAGAGACATATTTCCAGCATTAAATGTAATTTCCTTTGAATTCGTAATTGTCGCAATAACACTTTGGAGTTAAGGGCATTTTTTTCTTCTTTCATATTATCCCTTGAGATGGTCGTGTATAATCCCAGATAAATAGCTGTGATATATCTTTGATGAAAATATTTTGAAGGTGGTGTTGAATTTTCTCACGTTAATTGTGTGGTTTAATACCTTCATTTCATTTTTTCACAGATATAATCCCAGGAATATACTGTATACTGTACTTTTTTCAATAAATAAATCACATTATTTGAATTTAATCCATTTCAATACTGAATGCTGATGCTCAAAATGTACTGCACAGGGACTGTGTTGGGAACGCACCTTCACTGTTGGACGACATTATTCAAATGAGACTAAATTCTACTCGGCCATATTTCACACATCTGTAATGCATGCATTTTTACAAAAACATGCAAAGTATGCTGAAAGACATAAGGTTGATTGCACATACTGAACAGATATTGAAACTGTTCAATATTAACACAAAGAGGGGGGGGGGGGGGTTAAGTATGATATAAGCCTCAAACTGTCTATTATGTAAAATATTGGACATGATAGACAGTTTTCGGCTTAAATCCTTTACAAGGAACTAATATTTTAACACTGTAACAGATACCAAAAGTGATGTCTGTCACAGTGTGAAATATATTACGTATATAATTTTTCGTCGTTTTGCTTAAAAAGTGTTGTACATAAAATTCACTCGAATTGCAGAATATCCTGATATTTTTCACTCGTACTTGGCACTTGTGAAAAGTATCGTTTTGTTTTTGTTTTTTTGTCATCTTTGCAAAAGAAATATTGAATTCAACGGGATACCATTAAATTTCCATTACTTACACTGTAACTAACCTTCGTAGACAGGCGGTAGATCGTAGCCACGTGTGTCCGTTTACAACTAATTAAGTCGCCAAATCAGTACTTACAAGAACATGATTGCGAGATCCTATAAACTTGTGTAATATATTGGCAACTAATTTTTGCCTGCATCAGATGAGTGGAATTCCTTACGATATATTTAGCCACCTTTCACCAACTTGTCCGAAGTTCGATTTTCCAGAAAGATCAAGTAATAAATTATTTCCTTATTGTAAAATAAATTAAGTTCAATGAACAGATCTTAAATAAAATAAAAATGTATATATGAATTTGTAATTTGACGAGTAGGCTATCTGCCAGTTATTACGTGATTTACTAGATAAATTAGCCATCAATCAGTTTGAGATTTTAAGTTCAGTTAAGGCCAGTTCTGTTCAGATAATTAGTAAACACACCAGTGAGTTTGCATGGTTATCTCCTTTAATTAAGAAAAGGTTCTCTTTTGATTACTCGTTAAATGCCTATTACTGATCTACTGGCGAGTAAAGGTCTAGCTCCTAGAACCATTTCTGTTTGAATTCCTTTTATTATTATCAAACATTTCTTTTTCATTATGAAATGGAACCGTAATAAAAATATAACTCAACATTCAAAAATATGTTAAGCTGTTGTTTCGATCATATTAACAATCTTTTACGCAAACGTAAAGACGTTTTTCATGATTATTATTTATTTAGTTCAATTAATAAAAGATAAAACTACCATGTTTGATATGTTTTCTTCTGTTTCTTTAATCTTAATATCTATCGAAATAAAATTACAAAGTCTAACAGAGAATCTTCGATCTACCTACGCTGAAGAAATGTTAAATTATCAAGCAAATCTTTTCTTTCAAAAAAACTCACTCTACCAACGCTGAAGAAATGTCAAATTAAAATCTAGGAATTATTTTCAAAGAAACCTCAATTTATCTGCACCAAAGAAATGTTAAATTACGATGACAGGGTTTCCAATCAGAAAAAACTTAATCTACCTACGCCGAAGAAATGTTAGGATCGTCTTCATGACCAGACACCCTACAAAGGTATTCCAGTGTCCACGATTAGTAAACACACCATTGTTGTCTACATATCTTCCTTGATTGGATAGGAGACATCACGAGGGCATAAGCCTGGGATCTTGAGAAGCGGTATTCGTGCAAAACTGATGAAATGTTAGGCGCATTATCAAAGACAAAATAAGTTGAAAAAAGAAAAGTTGATGATATACATATACTAAAAGTGCTCATGTAAAACGAACAATTTTCGGAAAGGACGGTTTGGGGAAAAATACATTTATATTTCATTTTGCATTCGTTTTTTTTGTTCACAATAACCTCAAATATATTTTTATTTTGGAATTTCATAACGATTTTAATGGTTCCGCATGGCCATATCCATTTGATTTGAGAGCATTATGCTTCCTCATAGCTAGTATATAGAAAGTAAGCTCCGCTTCACCTAGATATGTAAAAGGAACTTAAGATGATATGTCATTTCGTAGCATTTAGTTGGGTTGCAAAAGAGATTTTGATGTTATAATGCCGGTGATTTCGTGTTTTTATTTCAGCAATTAGTTATCATTGACTGATTTAATGTGAATACATATCATCGTTTGTGATTTTTTGCACCTTAAGTGTGCTCCATAATATTCCCTATTAAACATTCGGTGACCTACAAACATATACTGGAGTAGACAGGAGACAGCATGACAGGTGTTACATGTGGTTCAGACAACGCTAACCTGGTCCCACCTTCAACTCTTGTTTTAACATGGCCGCTTTTTTTTTTTTTTTCTTTTTTGGTGTCTCCTCAGTTTTGTCTAGTTCGAGTTCCAATTCTATCGACATTCTATGATAAGACACCAATATCGGATGTCGCACTATAACAATATTTAATTTGTATCAGCGATTCTAATTATAAAACGACTCATATCCACTCTCACCGTAGTGTATCTTTCGACTTTTTGAACACGACGTAGATCTAGCCTATGGCCAAATAAATGAAATTGTAAGGAAAGCTTAAACTGAGGAGGATGGGTCAACAACTAGTATAATCCATTTAGTTTCATATTTACATCAAATTATCATGCAATTACCATCTCCAAACGGTGAACTGCAGGTTTAAACTTGCTCCTATCGAAGCCATAGCAAAACGATTCACAGATATGCTAAAATACCTACCTCAAAGACTTTGATATCAATCAATATATTCGAAGATGATACTTCCTGGCGGGGAGAAGTCGTCCAGGGGGCAGCAGTGTACAAGCAAACTGCATCGAGGAAACAACAGCAAAGAGAACAACGCTTAACATATGTACCCGACGAATCACCAGTTGGCAGTTGTCCACACCCCATGAGCTGATGACATGCTAAAGGCCCAGTTCCACTGCACTTGCGTACGAATTGCGCATAAAATTTTCTTTGTGCGTGATTCGTCAGTGATGTGCGTAAATCACACGTGTTTCACACGTGGAGCATCAGTTTTTGTAAGTGATTGTACGCGGAGACGGGTTTGTGCGCGATCGCCGGTTTTGAACGGTTCAAAAAAAATTCCACGCACAACGTGCGCGATTATACGCAGTTTATGCGCAGTTTGTACGTAGTTTGGACGTGGAAGGTGCGTGATATGTGCGTGTTCTGTCAGTGTTCCGTCAGTGCTTGTGCGTCAGGAACTGGCTCCCAGCACGCACATCACTGACGAATCACTTACAGAACACGCACATATCCCTTACAAAACACGCACAATCCACGTATGTTCCACTTACAATCACTTCCCAAAATTATTAATTTTATCGGGTTTGGGCTTGTGCGCTGTTGTGCGTGGAATGTTCGTTCTTTGTCAGTGATTGTAAGTGATACATGCGCAGTTTATACGCGATTCATCGGTGATTCTGACCACGCACAACCCCAGAAAATGACTAATTTCTCCACGAACAATCACGCACAAACCAATTTTATGCGAGATTTATGCGTGATTTATGCGTCATTGGCAATGGGACTGGGCCTTAACACTGTACCCGAACTTTCCGGGCGTGGATAGGCTTGCTCAATCTTCCCAAAGGAAAGAAGAACTAACGATGATCAATTGAAATAATTGAAATCAATATGTAAAATATTGCTTTAACCTTTTGAGACATCTTCTGGATGTGTCTCATAAATTGATCTGACCGTATTACGAATTGAATCTTCAGAACCTCTGGATATTGACAAAGTATTTTTTTAAACGCTCTGCTTTGTCAAACTGATGCTTAATAAATGGTTTTGAATTACTATTTTCAAAGCGTAGCTGTCCTACGTAGTCGATGATGCCTGATAAGACATTTTGTTTCATGTTAGTTGTGGAAGACTATAGGCGCTGACATACAGAGTCATTTCTCAGATGACAATCAATTGGGGATTCATATTATGAAGAATGGAATAATGACGTCATGTTACTGTGTCATCAAATACACGGACATAATGAGATCTGTAAATGTAAGGGATGGAATAAGGACGTCACGATACTGTACCATAGCGTCAAAGGAACAGACACCGTGTGAATGAAAACTGCAATGGAAAAAAGTGCTTGCATCAAGGATGGAATAACGACGTCATGTTACCATAGCGACAAAGGAATGCATATGTGAGGGTTTGAATAATGACGTCACCTTACCATAGCGTCAAAGGAACAGACATAATGGGATTTGTAAAAGATGTATATGTAAGCGATGGAATATTGACATCATGTTACCATAGAATAAAAAAAAGACATGGATAACATTCTGAGTTTTCATCAGGCACAAACAACCAAGAAAGTCTACTTATCTGATATAAACTTTGTTGTCTATGCATAACTTAAATTTACAAACCCAAGTGTTTGACTAATGCAAGGTAGTAAATTAATTTAATTGACAAGCATAACACCCGTATGAATTTTAATCAACATTTTATTATTTAACAACATTTGTTTGATCTTTCTCAGACGAACGAAACACAATTTGACACATCTTTAAACCAGGCAGTAAATCAACATCCTCAGACGAACGAAACACAATTTATACATCTTTCAATCCAACAATAAACATCAAACAAATCCTCACCTCTTACTCCAAATAATATGTTTTTGGCTTCAGTGTTAATTGCCTCCAAATATGTTCTCCAAAAGTTCTATCATACACAATCAATCACTACTCGGGAGTTGTCGTTCCTTACACTACCTTACACTCGTGACAATCGGGAACCGTAGGCACTTTCCGTAAACGATTACGGAAAGTGCCGACGGTTCCCGATTGACACTCGTGAGTGTAAGATACACAAGGTCCGAAAATCGATTGTCCATGATTCAATAGTGGTTATTATGTTTTTTTGAAGTCTGAATATTATCTGATTACCAATATAAAGGCGACAGAGATCTTAAATATTGAAGAGAAATATGTTCATCTAAAATTTAGAAATTTTAGTGGCTTTAGAAACATTTATGACACTAAAAAGGTAACGAATCCTAGAAACCCTTCTTTAATTATAATGCCAGTCAAAATTGTCAGAAAAATTAAGAAAGTGTAGGTTACCATAGAAACATAATTTTATAGGAAATATCAATTATGAAATAAAATCGATCAAAATATCAGTTACAGCTGAAACCCTTCAAATATAAGGACCACAATGAACCAAGGAAATGCACAGACAAGAATACAAATTTAACATCAGAATCCGTTTTTTAAGAACAGAAAATATATGTAACTGTGTAAACATGTGACGCACGTAAACAATTATCTACAAATGTGATACTGAACAAAACAAATTTGACTAGATCAGTATTTATGAATACAACAGTAGACCACAACCTTGTGCAGTGCTAGCCAAGGTTTAGAAGCCTGTTAATTAGCTTACAACAAATTTACTTAAATCCTCTTGTTTCAACTTCAAAACTTGACAAATAACTAGGTATTTAAAATAACCACCTCAAAAATAGACAAATAAGCAATATTCATTATTTATTTTTAAAAAATCAAAAAATTGCTTATAAGCAATATTTGTTATACATTATTTATTTTTAATTTGAGGGGAAAAAACATTTTTAAATAGACTTTCCAAGCAAGCATAATTTTGAATTACTGGCTCCAATTTTTTTTTCTTTTTTTTTTTTCCAACTTAATGTCGATAACCTTCAGGCAATTTTACATTTCCAAAGGAGTGATATTCTTTTTGAATCCGAAACACCAACTGGTTTTTTTCTCTCTCCAAATTTCGAGTCAATTTGATGTAGTAAGTATGATTGTTTTACGTTCAGGTGTCATCAACTAATTAGCACTGAACAACAATGAACACCCTTACTTGTACATAACAGAAAACAAAGGCGAAACATGGCTGAATTAAAGACATTTAGCACCATATTGAATTATAAACAGTTCTGCATTTCAACACTCCTACAGATACACTGAACTACAAATCTAATGTCTTGGTCTGTTTCAATATGAGCGGAAGTATGAGTATTGATGCGTTTATTTTCTGAAAGTTACCATTTTGAATCCAGACACTTGTACATTTTGTTTTCATTTCTATTAATTATGAAAATATCCCTGATAAAAATTTGTCTTTATTTTTTTCTCTCTATAGAGTCCTACATGTACCACACCATATGAAATATATTTTAAATTTTTGATTTGAAATCTATTTATATCTGTTTGCAGAAGAATTAATTAAACAGCAAAATAATTTGTGTCCACAATGTCCAAACCATTGCGTATATATATTAATTTTTGATTTCATAAAACAATAAATCAAACAACTTAGGAATTTGTATCCTCATTGTAAAGAAGGCTTAAATACTTTGACAGGGATTATCGAACCAGGGTCAGTGACGTAATTATCAAGGTTTAGCATTAAATGATACATCTGAACCTAATTTGTCATGAAGGGTATACAAATTTCAATTTAAAGATATGAATTTTGTTGTTGTAGTTACCGAATGAAAACAAAAAAAACACAGTGTTCCAGGATTCAAAAGTATCACCTCAATATATCAAAAGATGAAAATTAAAAGATATTTGGGATGAAGAAATAAATCAATTTGGAAATATGACTTCATTTCTTATTCTGGTAATGCAGACTGATGCAACTATTTGTTTTTCAGATTTACAAAACAGGTACATAATTGGACATTAAACACGAATACTTTGTTAAATGATAGTCATCGTCTACACACTACTTCATGTATGCATCATTAATAACAGAAAAAAAAACATGCAAAAGAAATCTGTGATCATCATACACAGTATAACAAAGATTATTACAGAATTTGCTTAAACCAGTTCAACATGCAAGATATGTACATTTATTATAGCAATATGACAGCTCCTTAAATCTAGTGTCATTTTGTCAATAACAGAGAAGTCACTATATATATCCTGCCACTTTCGTTCCCAGCAAAAGTGGCTCAACAGTGAAACAGCTAAATTAATGGGATAATTATGCATTAAAAAGGTCTATTTGTCCAAAATGCCCGGCTTAACAGTGGCACACCAGATTAATGGTGGCCACACAGTGACACAACCAGATAAATGGTGGCTGGACAGTGTCACAACTAAATAATTAATGATGGCTGGACAGTGGCACACCAGATTATTGGTGGCTGGACAGTGGCACACCAGATTATCGGTAGCCGGAAAGTGGCACACCAGATTAATGGTGGCTGGACAGTGGCACACCAGATTAATGGTGACTGGACAGTGGCACACCAGATTAATGGTGGCTGGACAGGGGCACACCAGATTAATGGTCCCTGGACAGTGGCACACCAGATTAATGGTCGCTGGACAGTGGCACACCAGATTAATGGTCGCTGGCCAGTGGCACAACAGATTAATGGTCTGGACAGTGGCACACCAGATTAATGGTCTTGCTGGACAGTGGCACACCAGATTAATGGTGGCTGGACAGTGGCCCACCAGATTAATGGTGGCTGGACAGTGGCACACCAGATTAATGGTGACTGGACAGTGGCACACCAGATTAATGGTCTCTGGACAGTGGCATACCAGATTAATGGTGGCTGGACAGTGGCATACCAGATTAATGGTCTCTGGACAGTGGCATACCAGATTAATGGTCGCTGGACAATGGCACAACCAGACTGGTGGTGGCTACATTAACAATGCTTCACTTAATTATTATTTTGTCAAATCAACTCAATACAGGTATCCCTTTTCTTTGTTTGTTATGGGAAAATGCATTGACAAATGTAAAAGTCTACAATAATTTTACATATTATTTATACTGACATTTATATTAACTTGATGTTTGTACATATTGTTAAAAGACTTGTCACATAAAAATAGGATCTAATTTGAGTTAATTTTTGATTAATTAAAGCATATTTTGTTCTCCATTTTAACTCATGCTTATTTTGTTCTTCATAAGAGGTGAAAGCAAAATGATTTTTTTTCCTCTACATTTCAGGATACTTTGTTCAACATTTTTTTTCAAATTCCAATATACACAGGTACTGTATGTTGAATACTGGGTATCATTAATTCGTTATTTAATCCTGATCTTTATCTACCAATAGATTTTAATAAAATCTGGAACATATATCAACAAAATTACATCCTTACTTTTATTTTATGCATACAAAAAAAAATATGGGACATATTTTGGTATAATCAATCTAACCTTTTAGCCAATCCTTTTAACCAACGAATACAGAAAAAATCTTCTCAAATATAATTTCATTCAATTATTCTTTTCTAGAAACTTTAAATGTAACTGAAAAGTTAACAAAAACTAATCAGATCATAAGTAAACTGGCATCTCACAGTAGCCAAGACATTTTGGTGCGACAAAAAAAATAAAAAAAATGAAAAATCACTTCACTTTTCACTGCATTTTGTGTGTGTGTGTGTGTGTGTGTGTGTGTGTGTGGGGGGGGGGGGGGGATTGTCCAAACAATTGCACTTTTGAATAAAGAGACATAAAAAAATTAGTTCTACTGATTTGAAATTATTGAGATTCTCATAGCATTTCATTAAGTAACACATTATGCATTAAACTTGTATACGTAAACATTATAAACAACAGCACAGCCATTTAGCAAAGACAAATCAATCACACATTGTTCAGTCTACCTAATGAGTATCTTAACATTTGAACACATTTTTTAATATTCTATTAAACCTGCAACAGACAGACATATTTTCAACATAAGAGTTTCTTTTCATACATGACCTGTATAATATCTGTTAGCAATGTGGGACGGTATTAAGGATATATGCTACCTAAAACCTTATACTTGTGATTTGTGTTAGAGTTATCTCCCTTGCAAACAAAATATCTTAAAACCTTTTACTTATGATATATTGCAAATATTGTGAATGTGTGTAGCACAACGACGATAATGTCTATTGCAAGAAATAAAGACATATGATTGCTGTCAGACCTCATGTGTGTGATCAATGGTTTCTTAAATGAAACTCTTCGGGAAAGAAGATTAATGTAGCAGTAAGGTAGCATATATCCTTAACCTGACATAGGTTTATTATAGGCCTTTAAGCTTTTAACAAATGAAGCTGGAGACCTTCCAAAAAGTACACTTCATATTAGGACATTCCATAAATATTTTGTATATATTGGTAATATTTTTGATTGAGATTCTATTATTGCAAAATACAATGTAATAAATACAATATAAAACATACATTAATGATATATAATTAATGTAATATTTCAATTAATGATTGTATATAATCTAACCACATTTACTCATTCACCCCTGAGGACACATGTGAACCCTTCCATTTCAAAGGTTGGAATAGTTCATTATGAAATTTTAGGGGTGAATGAGTTAAAACATGGTACCATGTGACAAGGATGTATATATAAAGAGTTACACAGTGATACAACATCAATAGATCCTAATGTGGAGATAAATATGAAATAGACAAAAGACAGTAACTTATCTTGTTTATCCAGCACAATTTAAAGTTCATGTACAACAACTAAGGTTGTTTTTCAATCTTCGAAAAATTTTAACTTCCAGAATTTTTTTTGTTGTACACAATATTTACAAAAGATTATCACAAATTACCAATGGTAGTTTTTTTCTCTCAAAATATTATAAAATACAACCCTTGATATCAACAAATGAAAAAATCTGTGATATGAATTGCTTTCATGCAGCCATTGAGAAGGAGGGGTTTACTCAAAATATGGGTGATACAGAAAAGAGGCATTGATTTAAAAACAATACAGAAATGTATCATTTCTCTACAAATATCACTTAAATGAGTGATTTGTCTAGAAATAATCCAAAAATAATTAATATAGAATTAAGCCATTTGTCTTGAAATAAATTCAGAAAGGGTGATTTGTGATTTTTTTTTATATAGAAATACAACTGATATGTTTAGAAATAATACAGATTACATCAAGAAATAAATATGTGATTACCCTGGTAACCTAAAAAATGAAACAACATATTCTTCTCTTAGAAAAATATTCATGAGGGCAAGTAAGCTTGACATGTTCAACTACATATGATTGACCTTACAATGTCTTGAAAAAACTTAATGATAACTAAATTGACTAGATCTCTCAAAAAGGGCAATAACTCTGTAATTCTCAAAAAGGGCAATAACTCTGTAATTCTCAAAAAGGGCAACAAATCTGTAAACGAGAAAAAACCACAACAGTGAACAACTACTTTGCAAGCTGAAAAAATGTGCAAAGTTTCACCGAAATCTAAGCAATAATATCGGACAAGTAATCAGGACATGTATTTTTTTGTTTTTTTTTACATAAAGGGGCATAACTCTGCTAAAAAAGCAAATTACAAAAGGAAAAATATATTGCGTAGTTAACAGCTACCTTGCATACAGATAGTGTGTACAAAGTTTAATTGAAATTGAAAAATCTTTGCATTACTTTAGAAAAAATATGAACTTGTGCAGACAGATCTTTGGACAGACACTCTCACTTTGTATTGATGAATTGTAGATAAAAAAGACATAAGTGATTTGTGTAAAATAATAAAGAAATTAAAATTTGTATCAAAATATGTTTTGTTTTCAATGTTGATTATTCATGTGCTATATTTTATATATCAATGGGTCTGTTGATCTCTAATAAGTTTAATATCAACGGCTCCAGATAAAACAGACGTTTTTAAACTTTACAAGTATGGGTACACGTAAACTACACATGAGGTGTCTTACCTCTCCAATAAAATATCATAACTGTGAGAGAAGTTTGTGTCAACCCTTAAAATAGCAGCTGACAGGAGTTGAAGGCTGACAAAATAATGCTATACTGGAAGATTATAGAATATGAAACAACTCTTTTAAATACAACTTTCATGAAGGAATGGCTAACTGAACTCTGGCAAGATGAAAATCGCTGTAAAATATGTTTCTAGGAGGAATACAACAATTAATTATGCATGGTTAATAAGTTATCATATGTTTACATAACATTTATAATTTAACGATATGTGCGACAAGGTACAATGATATAAGCTCAAGATGAAAATGATACAAAAAATTGTGGTATAAAATTTACCCTAATCTATAGAGAAGTACATAAAAAACAATATTGGCAAGAAAATACATACGAGTCTACTACCATTTTTTTCAGAGACAAAAATCCTGTTCTTTTCTCCTATTTTGCATACTTACGGTAAGTTATAATACTGACCTAACAATCTTTTAGCATTATTAAATGGGACACCAGCGAAAGTGTCAAAAGGGGAGATAACTGTGGGACAAAACAAGCGTGAAAACAACAAATATTATTCAGCATCCTTATATCTATTGCACGAATATTTATAACTCTCTTTACGCAAAATTACCCGTTTCTTATCGTTTCAATATTTACAAACGTAGCCCAGGTATCCGAGACAACAAACAAACACATCTTTGTCAACAATATTTACAATACAGTAAATTTTACGTCATCTTTCCTAGATCATAGATTGGATGAACGGAGAACTTGACTAAGTTTTGGACTGTACTAAACAGTCTTCAGTCAATCGTTTATACCAGAAACAGGTTCTTGCACTACCAAAATTAAATAACTGACAATTTCAGGGAAAACATACGCATCTATTTCCTATGGCTTGTGAATTTTGAGCCACACGGACATCAAAATGTTGCCAACTCATCCGAAGAAAATGAAATATGGTCATTATAACATGCGAATATTACAGGCATAATAACTTCCAAAAATTGAAAAAAAATATTAACTTAACAAAAAAATAAAATGAATTTGATACATTGCACAACATTTCTTTAAATCTTACTGATAAGTGACAAAAAACACCTGAAGAATTTATTTTGAGTGGTTATCACAATCAAGGCACTTTACCGTGTGAAATACTTCTGGCCATTCATACGATCAAGTCTGATGATTTAGCTTTGTATTTCAAAGTATTGTCTCGTAAAGGAACACTTTTGGTACTGAAAATATTAGTCAGGCAGATAGGTTACAACAAGCATGAGCCAGAAAAGGATTACTTTCAGTTTGCTGTGAAGCAACGACTTCCATTAGTTTACATGACATGTGTTTCAGGAACACTGTATTTCTAGTCAAAGTGTTGAGACTTTGTAATCCATTCAGGCCACGAAAAAAAAAAACATTCATTTTTCCAGCAACAGATTACTTTACGGTAATATTTTTAGTCAAATTTTTCCTAAGTTGGGTTCTATGATAAAAAAAAATAAAAAAAAATAAAGATTTTTTTTTTTGAGGGCACCACCTATCATATCTTTGGATCAGAACACTCAAATTCTACGGAACTAATTTTCTTTTCCCTTCCATTGGTGAGGGAACAGAAACAGCTCTAACACAATGGTACCAGAAACAAGAATATTTCTACATTGCTATTATGCATGATTTAAATCTGATCATTCATATCACAAACATCTATATACATACATATACAGTAAGGCACTACATCAACCAATCACAGAGCTCCAGTGCCAAACCTTGCTGGCAAGTCTGGCATTCCTGTATCTCGTATATCTTAAATCATTAACACGGCCAGCTGGAATTTATGAGGCAGATAGTTTACGTTATTTTGTAATCATGCCAATTACCTTTAATCAAAATAAGAAATCGTAAGGGCTATTTCAGAGTTGATTTAAAGGGAGGGGTGGCAGGTTGATTAAACATCCATACATGGAGGGTTGGGAAATTGGGATTATACTGTTGTATCACTTATTATAAGATTTTTTTAAGGAGATAGATGATGCAGTATATAAAAGAAAATTCTACCACCCTCCGTAATTAATATTTAAATATATCCAGATTACCTCCCCTTTTTAAAAGGCTTCCCACATACTTTGCTGCTTGAGTACTGCAATTTAAACATTTAGTAATTATAATTTTTATGACATGTAAATCTAGGTATTTTTTTATTATTATTTATTCATTTTGAACATTTTCAAAATAGTATTTAATACTCTGAAAAACGTTTGCAGACTCATTTCTTTTCAAAAAAAAATATATCGGACAATACAGAATTTTTGGATAGGTAAAAAAATGACTATATTCAATTTAACAAAATGTAAGAAAAAGCCAAAATGTTATAAGGAAATACAACAAAGGGAAGTAATTTGTTCATCACATCAATCATGACTTATACTGGCTGGCTTAGATTTGATCAATAATATAGGCACTGAAGCTACTCTATACTGGGGAATATTTGCTCAGTCAAATATCTGTCTTTCCGAGTAAAATCTGTATCAGATGAGAGTTCAGTTCAATGTTCACGATGGAAATACTATGTATAGTAAGCTTTGTACCAATAGTCCAAATCTCCATTTAATTTTTTTTACCTATTACGGAGCGTAAACTTTTCCCAGTATAAAGTACACAAAGGGTTGATCATATTGAAACAATACAATGTATATACAAGTACACACGTGCACGCTACAGTGGAGTTGTCTGGAGTCTAACACGGAATGTACTAAAAGTCCACAGCAATCTCCGGGGACATCGCCATAGGAACATCTTCGTCCTGAATCAGGAACGGTGAAAACTCCATGGACTCTGTAGAAAGTTTTTTCTTCTGTTTTGTTGTCATGGCAACAGCCAACGACTTTGAGTTCTGAAAGGATAGTCCTGCTTGGATGATTTTTGGCATTGTTATTCTCCTTATGGCTACAGGCGACGGGAGTTCAGATGGTGTCACATTGTCCACTGCAAATGAGGCATCACACGATGTGTCGAACGACTCGGACAAGATGGCACTAGCGCTGCATTCATTGTTGGATTTATCTAAGTGTTTAGCTAGTGCCTTCTGGGACGACAGAAACACGGAACTGGATGTGGCGAGCTGTGCAGGTTTGATCGCCATGACGTCTGCGGGTGTGTGCTGGTTGAGCATGTGATTGCGGAGACCATTGGTCGTCTTGTAGTTCTTGCTGCAGTACCTACAGTTGTATATTGTGGTCGCTTTTCTGATTTGACTGTAAATATACAAACTTTGTTGTGACTCAGAATCCTGACAATATGGTATTTCACCTTATAAACACATATTCCGACATGCTGTAGTATAGGGCACTTATATCTAGTAGAAGCTTGTTTTTTTTATTATATTCCTGAGGAATTATTTTTTGAAGAAACCCTGAAAAGTTTTATATAAAAGTGTTGAACTTTTCAGCTACAATGCCAAAACAGTTTCCTGAGTTGAAGGCAATGTGCACAACCCGAAAACCTTTTTAAAAGATAAATACTAACGGCACAAATTTTGTCTCGAAAAATATAACAGTAGCACCATTGTTAATATTATTCTGTTCATAAATGATACAAACTGTACTCGTCAGGCTTTTCTCTGTCAAAACTTAAGTATTTTGGCTACATGGCAGATGACAACGATCTAAATCAAGTTGATGTTTGTGCAAACTGATCTACCATCCCATTCAATTCAAACGCAATGAAGACTGGGGAAAGTCATGAACGACAACATAAGCTAAATGCCTGCAGTGCGTAATTTCATAGATTCATATATAACAAGAACAATTCATTCCCAAAGACTTGACTCACCCAGCTATTTTTACCCTATAATGCCCAACACGAAAACATGATATTTCATTCAACCTCATAAGCTTAACTAGTTAACTCAGGACTCTGCAACTTAATATCTAGGGACTCCATTGAAATTAAACCCAGGTAAAGGCCTAAATTTATCGAATCAAATCCAGAAATTAACACTCTGGCTGATTACTAGTTCTATGGTACAAATAACTTATAAATAACATCTGTGATAATATTTATATTTATGTCCAATCAGCAAAATGTGACATAAGTGTAATATCTGCCTTTTTACCTAAATAAATATTATCATCATTATTATCAACATATTGAGGACTTTTTGTATTTGTTTTATTTTTCAGATTTTTTTTTTTATACAATGCAAAGTACATTTGTAATAGCTGAAAATCTCACACACACTAATCTCACTTCTACTTTCACACACAATTATCGATTTTGTTTTTTGACCGTACCTGATCTCCTTCTTGTGAGCATGGTGAGCGTGGTACTTCATACCATTGATGTTTTTGTATCGTTTGGTACAGCCAGGTACTGGACAAGCCAGTGGCTTCTCCGGATCTCCTGGACTTTCACGGCCATTCACCATGCTGTGGGTCAGAGGTCACAGATGCATTTAAATTTACATACAGAAAACCGTATGAACGTCTTAACATATTTTCCTATATTCATGCAGTTTTATATCGATGTATATTTCATTTCAATATAACTTCATTTGTCTAACTGGCAAATATCAAACACATGTTAGTGCATATATACCAAGACACTAAACTGTAACTGATGATTGTTAATTGTTTATTTATTTATTTATTTATTTATTTCCAATTCAACAGACCCAAGGGTCCACTTACAGAATGGATAACAACATTACAACACAAGTATAAACTATCACAGTCAGTTATGCATGTAACACAGACTAAAAGATACTCATATGTAAAACGAAAGGAACTAGTGATAGCAAATATTCTTTAACCGTACTTTAAACTTGGCGAGAGAGGAACGAAACATATCGCAGTCTGGTTCAAAATCAAGATAGTTAAAATTACATTGAATCCTGTTTAAAATACTATACTTTCTAACGTTTATTCTACTTCTCTGGCAGTGAAACTGGTTGAAACGAATTGATCAGGGAATACGACCAGGGACTAAACAAGAGGCCCATGGGCCTTAACGGTCACCTGAGTCTATAGTATTTATTTTTGTTGTTGAAATATGTACCAATTTGAGTAAAAAATAGTATAATGTTAACTTAACTTTGTCAGGACCATGAGCTGATCATTCCTAGACCAATTTTAAGTGAGATCGGCCTATTAGAACTTAGTAGCAAAATAGCGGCCATGGCAGCCAAATTGTATTTCTGATTGACCCGAAAAATAACAACACTTTGTCAGGACCATGATTCGATCATTCCTACAAAGTTTCAGTTCAATCGGCCAAGTAGATCTTTACTTTAAGTTTGAAATAGTTTACCAAAATGGCAGCTGTGGTGGCCATATTGGATTTCTGATCGACCTGAAAAATAACAACACTTTGTCAGGACCATGAGTCAATCATTCCTACAAAGTTTCAGTTCAATCGGCCTAGCAGAACTTGACTTTAAGTTTGAAATATGTTTTCAAAATGGTGGCCGTGGCGGCCATATTGGATTTATGATTGACCTGAAAAATAACAACACTTTGTCAGGACCATGAGTCGATCATTCCTACAAACTTTAAGTTCAATCGGTCCAGCAGAACTTGACTTTAAGTTTGAAATAGGTTTTCAAAATGGCGGCCGTGGTGGCCATATTGGATTTCTGATCGACCCAAAAAATAACAACACTTTGTCAGGACCATGAGGCGATCATTCCTACCAACTTTCAGTTCAATCGGTCCAGCAGAACTTGACTTTAAGTTTGAAATAGGTTTTCAAAATGGTGGCCGTGGCGGCCATATTGGATTTCTGATCGACCCGAAAAATAACAACACTTTGTCAGGACCATGAGGCGATCATTCCTACCAACTTTCAGTTCAATCGGTCCAGCAGAACTTGACTTTAAGTTTGAAATAGGTTTTCAAAATGGCGGCCGTGGCGGCCATATTGGATTTCTGATCGACCCGAAAAATAACAACACTTTGTCAGGACCATGAGGCGATCATTCCTACCAACTTTCAGTTCAATCGGCCCAGCAGAACTTGACTTTAAGTTTGAAATGTAAAATGTTAACGGACGACGGACGACGGACGACGACGGACGAAAACGGATAGCAATAGGTCACTTGAGCTAAAGCTCAGGTGACCTAAAAACACATTTGCTTGACAAAATATGACCAATCAAAAGCACTATTAACACATTTGTAAAGAAATACAGTCTAAAAATGCCCGCCTATGTTAGAGGCTAGAAAGATTAAAATGCCTACAAGTGTCAGCGGAAGACATGGAATTGTAGTCAATGTGTGCCTTAAAACATAAAAATTTCAAAAATTTACGCTGGACAACTTCGACCTAGTGAATTAGAGATGCTTGGTAAGGAGACCAGATCTGACAACAGTATTCTAATTGTGATCATGATCATATGGCAATACACTGAATGCGCTAAATACATTTTTGACTCGGAGACTATCTATGTAATTCATTACAAACATACTACATGATTATTGTTTATTGACAATGATGATTACATAGTTACTTCCCTTTACAGTCGAGGCATTTCAGAGTTACTCCCCTTGGATGGAAACTCGCCATTTGTAATACAAATGGAGTCATTTGAGGAAACACTTACATTAGCCTGTTTAAGGCATATTATTTGTAAGTAATCATTGATACTCAGTTATTATGTTACTACATTGACTACATTTACTTATTGTTCATTAATGTACTGTGTCAATTATTCTTTTGTCTCGTGTCCAATGTTAATTATCATCGGAACAACACATCGTTTGGTAAATATCTGAGTATTTCTCATTTATGTATTTTCAGACTGTGTTCATTGTTGATCTTAATAAAGACTTACTTATATGAACACAGTAAATAATATGCCCTAAACAGGCTAATGTTAGTGTTTCCTCAAATGACTCCATTTGTATTACAAAATGGCGAGTTTCCATCCAAGGGGAGTAACTCTGAAATGCCCCGACTGTAAAGGGAGGTAACTATGTAATTATCATTGTCAATAAACAATAATCATGTACATACTATGTACTATGGTTGCAACCAAAGCACTCTAGATCTGCTATCCTTAAATTATTATGTAGGATATTCAATTTATAGAAGCAAGAACACACCCTTTGCACTGCCTCTGTATTGACCAAACATCATTATAATGTATGTGTATATTCCATCAGATTCTGGCTGGTTCTCATCAACACAACATACATATGATATCCCAAAATGAATTAAATTACAATCACTAGAAATTAATATCATTTCACAAAGTGATTTTGATACAATGGTGTCAGAATCACTGGAACTAAATCTCACTAAAACATAGTACTATGGATACAGTGGAATTTGATAGCTTCATATGAGGCATGTGAATTGATATCTTGAGTTTCCTCTGACCCTACCCCCTCACACATAAGTAACCATTTAACAAAAAGAGGCAGTATGGAAAACTTCTTTACAAGAATGATATATTTCGTTTTTCGGTCCGGATCAGTACGGTTTATTGATAAGTCACTCCCTTGTAAATAGCATAACCTACAAAATGGCGTTGCTCAGGTGGGAAAATTTGGCTGATTGAAAAAAACGAGGACTCTACTAAGTGAATGTAGCAGCTGTTGACGATAATGAGGTAGGCTTGGGATCAATAGCCCATTTGTCATATATGTGAGGTAGGTGTTGTGTAGATTTTTGTTGTCAGCACCTCAAAACCTTCTCATACCAAATGGTGTGGAAGAATTCCATGTTTTCATGTAGTAGTGGGCTCTGATCCCTATACCAGACCTTCATTTGTCAAAATGTCTAAATCTGGTGTCAGGGCCAGAGGAAACTCCGGCTACTCTGACCCCAACACAACACTAAAACATTGGAATTCTCAGAGATCACCGGTCACTATTGAAATAAAGAGTTTAAATGGATCATTATAAATAAAACTAAGACAATTTATGCGGAGGAAGTACCTGAGAATGAGCTCAGCGGAGAATTCCTGCGCAGTTAGTGGGGCGTCACTGTCTTCCTCGTCGCTGTTGGAATCATAGTCATCAAATTCACTTCCTGTAATAACACAAAATGGTTCATGTCTGTTTCGTTGTGACATTCCTCATCATAATCAATTGTTCAGTATCATAAATAGAGACTATGTACGTATGGGTATACAATAGGGAAATTCTAACTGAGGTTGTATTTTGGGACGGAACCAAAGATTGTCAACAACCGGGGGGGTGGAGACCCAACGTCCCTGCAAGGAAGTCAGTTCCATAGTGGCTGTAGGGATTCTAGGGTGGATACCTTAATGGTATTCAACAGTGATCAGACAGGGTACAATCTATGTACCTTAGTTGCAAACATCATGTAACTGTGCTCTGAAGACAGCCTCCCTTTGGCCGAAACATGTCAGCACTTAGGATGTAAATCAAACATAACATTTCGTAACCGGATTCAGTGGTATTGTTGCTCATCATTTCTGTTTTCAAAGATTGTCCAGGTAAGCTTTTATTTTTATGCATGTAGCAATTGTCTCCAGCGAATCGGAATAGCATGGGTAATAGATAAACTACAAGAGGAATTGAACATTAAAGCTTTGAAAACAACTGTGGCAGTGCCCATATCTAGTACTTTCATGCCTAGAAAGATTTATCCGTTTGGCAATAATTGTGTAATGCATGCCATTGGTTTTCTTTGTTTTAAAATGAGAATCAAGCAGATGGAACGTACATAACAGGTTTTTTTTTCTCTATTCTGTTTTCAAACATTCAACTTGCAATAACTTAAAATTCAATTTTTAAATCTCCATCATACACATATTTACTACAACACCAAACCACTTTTAAAAGATAGTCTCAACTCTGATTGGTCAATATTTAATGAGTGTCATGTACATATTTGGAGGTCACTTGAATGTGACCCTGACCACAGCACTTTCACATGATTTGGCACAGAAAACAGTCAGGTAAGCCATGTTACAAGTGATTGTAATCAGGTTCAAATGCCAGCAAGTGTTTGTTGTGAAACCTCACTGCCGCGATGAGACTGGAGAGTCAGTGATATGATTTTCCATGATCAGTATACGAACCAGATGGGGTAACACTCCTCATCGTCGTGGTTGGTGACTCAAAGCACTCTCTCTGCTTTCTGTTAAACTCTTGCTGAACCCGCCTTCCTTCGTCAGTGAAACAGCTGTGCACGAGAACAAAGGGAGGTAATTACTTTGGTTTTTAAGACTGCTTTCAATATATGTTTTTTTAACAATATATAAATATTTTCAAACATACTGAGCTCACTATGGGAAACTAAAAATATGTTCAGTTTTTTCACATGATATCTATTTGATTAATGCCTGTGATTTGACTCTATGTTTCAAATAAAAATGTTATTTATGTCTGAACTGAGATTAAATGCCAAGGGTAAAAAATAAGCTGTTTGATACTAATTAAATATACACAAAACGACAGCCCTGCAACTTCCCATGGCCAACTTTTTTGGTGCCAATTGCCTGATCAGAAATTAATGTAAAAGCCTGAGATCTGGAGTGATTCAGATTCGAACCATGCACCTCGGAACTCTAGACATTCAGTGACCGTTAAAAACAACCGCATTAACTTATAAACTCTCCAGATTTTGGAGGGAGACTATTCTGGACCCTGAAATTTAGCATTTTCAACCAGTGAATTTGCTAAACTATTGCTATTTTTCTAAAACCTGATTATATCATCTAAAAGAACAGCTCAAAATTTGCCATTTAAAGAGTTATTTTTTCACGTACACACACACATTTTATTTGCGCTTTTAATTCTGAACATGCGTATTCTCCCCCCACTTGAAAAGGTTGGCAAGTAAGCAACTGAGCTATCCATTCATTGGACACAGCCTTTGTACGTTCACACTCTAAACTCCATATGCTTGCTTATTATAAACTACAAAGTAGTGAGGCAAAAAAACACGAAACTCATACAACATGTACAAAACTGCAAGATAACCTACTTGCCAACTCTCTCTATTTAAGAGGGAGACTACCGAATTTGGACCCTTCGATTTGATATTTTCAACCAGTGAATTTGCTAAACTATTCCTTTATTCTAAGATCTAATGATTTCATCTGAAAGATCAACTCAAAATATGTTATTTTACAGGGTTATTACTGTCTCTAGGGGGTGTATACTGTACACTTTATTTATGTTTTAATTTTGAGTATGCAGAATCTCCCCAATTTCTAAAAGGTTTGCAAGTATGCAAGATAATATAAACTTGTTTTTTTTTTTAGTAAACATTGACATGAACAAACTTAATTTCAAATAACATAGAATTTTGATTAATTATAGTGTAACAGGAAAGAGAATAGTGTGCTTCCACAGGGATCAAACCCTCGATCTCGAGGTTCCTAGTCGGACGCTCTACCACTGAGCTAAAGGGAAATTCCCTCTAGCTTGAAGCGAGAAGGCAACCTTATAATCCTATGTACAACTAAAACCTGCCACGATATCAATAATGTCAAACCCAGTCTCTCGAGATCATAATATACAATGTTACCGTAAAATATAGCTAAGGGCTAGAGATGTTGGCTGTCTAGTCTCCTGCTTCTCCAGAACTTGTGGGTCTGAGTCTGCAAGCATGACAACAAGCAACAATAATTATCAGTAGTCTAACTTTTTCTTTTGCATTTGTTTGAAACTGGACAAAATATTTATAAATTGACACTCAATCTATAGCTTAGCACACTAAATTATCACAGAAAAACTATATACATCTTTGATTATCAAATCACTTTTGTTTTTCGTAACAAACTATAAGTTAAAACCATTTTGTTTTAAAGTTTCAGTTAAGGCATTGATAATGAGAATATTCATTCAGCATCAGTATCATCCCTTCCTCATCAATAGTTAAGCTAATGTCAGCAGTTGGATTTTCAAGTCTAAAGAATTTATTGAACTCTTGCACTTTTTTAAAACATAAAGATATTTGTTTTGTTACTTTATTCACTGAATGTGGTCTGTGCTTAATGCGTTTTAGTCGTTTATTTACATTAGTCTGAAAATGCACCGAATGACCCCCTTTTGCCGTTTGGGGAATCCCCTTCAAGCCACAGTGCGCGAGCAGATTGTAAACAACCTGTGATAAAACGTAAATAAAACGCCAAATTGATAAACAACCGACACGATCGTGTAGTCAATAGATAGACTATACCAATATGTGTGTCTTCTATATGTTGTATCAAGTCTCCAAGAGTTTCAAACCGCAGCCCACATCCCTGAAATCTGCAGTTGTTCAGTAGAAAGACAGCCATTTGCATTCTTAATCGTACTTCATTAGCATAAATTCCGCGAAAAGTGACCTCATACGGACAATACCGACTTAAATTTTTCCGGAAAATATGGAATTCAAATATTTAAAAGAAAAAATGTATACAATGGTATAAAAACTCCAAAAGTATATAAAAATAAAAGTATTTTATCAAAAAGACACCGACAAATAAATTTTCAGAATAACTTGCTGGGTTACACTTCCTTTGGCATGGCGCATGCGCAGAACTATCCTCTAGCCGGCATAAACGGTAAGGGTTTGGTGACATTGAAATTTGTGATTGCAATCCATTGAATTATTGTTTCTATATCAAACATCGAAGGTAGTGGTTCTGTAGTCCTATGTAATAAGTATTTTTCTAATTTTCTGTCAATCTATTTTTCTTATATTGACGTATTTATTGCATTTGAGAACTTATCTAATGACAGTTGACCGGTATTTTTGTAGAACGGTGTTGATAAAGAGCTGATCGATAGAGAACAAGATGTTTTCCTGCTCAAGAATCGCTGCACCAAGTGTCAGATGTGTGGTATGTATCAATTAACATTAATAACATGTCAAAGGTTTATTTACGAATGCATTACAATTAATATTTGATAGTTTTTAGTTGTCAAGTCCGTACTCGTCTGAAGGTCATCACAAAAATTTGATTGAATTTCACCATTTAAGTGATAATTTACATGTAACACCTATTTTGCAATGAACCTTATTAATCTTTAACAACTAAAAATGATATTGTCAGCATTTAAATGCATTTTTGTCGGATTTTTTGTCCGGCACAACCTGCTGTATGATTTTGCCCAAGCCCGGTGCAGTCAATGTCAATTGATGACCTTTGAACTAAATCACATTTTTAGACCGTGTTCGCTAACTTTTCCAACTGCAACAATAGTTTAAACATTTGGAGTAGTCGTATACGAACAAAATGATGCTAAAACCATTGGAAAATATTGTATGCACCCACTTAAGCTTGATCTTCAATGTTGACTTCAATGTTAACTTCCAAACTTTCAGCAGTCATTGCAAGAGACAGGTTTAAACTTCTGCATTTTGCTTCACATGTTGTCATAGTCAAATATCTAAAAAGAACTTGAAAATAGTGTATAAACTTAAATTCTCGCTATTGTAATGTACCAGTTTTGTCCAAAGTGCATTTACTTCATTCATGGCACCTCTTTGAAAATGGATCTATCAGCTATCCCTCATTTGCATGACAATTGGATCTGTAAAACAAATTTTCCAATAAGAAAGATTTTATAATACAGTCTAGACAGATAAATTAAAATGAAATGTTCCCAGCTCTGTTATGATTTGATACTGTAGATGGATGAGTATGAGCAGTTTGTAGGCATAAATTAGCTTAGTTTATTTTTGAATACAGGATCTATGATCCTCTCAACCAAACTCTTTAACATATTGCAACCAGATTCCCATCAAATGACAAATCTCTGTTGTGTTTGTCACTGATCACAATGCAGTAGTTAACTTGTATGTGATTTCTTTTGATTTCTGTTTTCAGGTTGCAAACAGCAGCCGTGCATGGGCTAGACCAATGAGCAGTGCTGTAACACAGAAACAAGAGGTTTGTAGAATAAGTTAACTGTTCTTGATTGATTGTTTCTCCAGGCAAAGTGTGGAGCCCTGATCGTAGATATTTGGAACCAATATTGACTTTAACTTTTACCAGAGATGTTGCAATACTGTCTCTTTATCCTTGGTTCGAAATATAACACATGATTAAGTAGTGGGGAAGCATATCAAATTGCAATGCATTTTAATTTCGATTCAATTTCAGCTACAAGAACTTAAAAAATAAATTTGTTTTCTTTCGTTGCTTCAACTCAATATTTGACAATCTTGGCCTCGTTGATTTTTCAACCAAGATTGGATCACAACACCTCAAGTGTCAGTTTTGATTTTAAGTTTGCCAGAGTATCGTTAATAGGCCATTCACCAGATATTTTATGAAAAATATTACTTATTGGTTTGATGTGCAGAGACCAACTATTAGAAAGGCAACGTACACTAAAAAAGTTCGGCTGAAATTGCACACACCACTGGTCAAATGGTGAGATTGGAAGTCAGATTTTTTTTATTGTGAATCAAATCAAAATAAATCGGGGTACAGCTGCATAATTGTGAGTTAAGATGCCTCTTAGTTTTAAGTGAAAGTTAGTTTGGTCATTGTAGAATCAAGTGATGAGAAAGAAGCCAACCCATCCCAGTGGTGTTTACAGTTTCACTAGTAGCACAAGTCTTCAATTTCAATAAACAGAAGTCAATAGGTTTATGAGATTTAGAATTATCATATAAAGAGGCTAGGCAGACATTTTCATTGATCCGAGTTTTATGGAAGAACATTTTGTTGTAACTTGGCACCTATATCATTAATAAGTTCATGATGGATACCAAATATGACAAAGTTAAGTTGATGATGTCTGCATATGTCGTAAAAGGTCCTTTTCATATTATACTGGATCTTTTTAATGGAAATAATAAAAATAAGTTGGATGCATTTTAAATTTTTAATCTGCTTTGTAAGGATATGATGACAGCATAAACACAAGCCCAGAAACTAACAACAGTAATGAATAAAAATAGAATTGTAGTCAGATTAAAGTTTCTTATTATAGTCCACAGTTTAAGAACTATGGTAAACCAACCAATACATTTCTGGGCAACTATTCTGTAGCATGGCCAAGGGACAATCTGCAAGCAAACTTACTCATACAAATAATATACCCCTGTATCCCGAGGACTGAATGGTATTTCCTCAGCATATAGTTGTGATTTCTGAAACTTGACAGGTATTAATTTTGCCGCAGCATACTTCATTTGGGCAACATTCAGTTCACAAACTAAGTGTTTAAATTAATACATTTCTTGTATAATTTATTCCTTGACAACAATATGCCAAGGTTCGAGTATACTGAAATCAGGAATACTTTTGCCAGTTGTCTCAAAATCCAGAAAAGCTACATACGTCTGCCAGTCTGGTGACAGTTTTAGCTAAGTAGCTGTAATAGAAAAAGAAATAACTGCATAGGAAATACTGAATTTTTCCTGAAATTTGAAATTGTTTAAAAAAAGTTCAGATGCAAAAGCAGGAATTAACTCATTCACCCTTGAGATTTTACAATGAACTATTCCATCCTTTGAATGGAAGAGTTCAAATTTGTCTTCAGGGGTGAATGAGTTTAACTGTCCAGTAATCTTTTCAGATCAAATTTCCAAGTCTTAAACTTGTGGTCCATTTACGGAAGTAAAAAAAAAATGGATTTGTTTGATTGAAATCCGAGAAATCCAAGGTAACATCACCCAATTATAAAATTGTAAACATTTTGCATTTGCTTTCCAGGTTTCACAACAGCGACCAGCAGGTAACTTGGCTGCATGGAACGGTCTCAATGGAGTCAACTGGGCCTCATCCAACCCTAGTGTATTGAATCAGGTAAACTAGATGCTGATACTATACATATGGTTTCCAAAGAATTCCAAGGTAGAAACTTGTTTTAAACCAAAAAAAATATATCATTCCTCAAACCTTGTACTTATTTTTATCGAACAAACAAAATTGGAAGAAATTTCATGATTGAAAGCTTTTAACAGATCCAAGTTTTTTGTGTAGATAAAACTTACCTATGAACTAGGTAGAATTTGACCTGGACAAGTCCTTGACTATCAAATCTGTTAAAATTGTAGTTCAACTCCGACTTGTTGGTTAACCCTTTTACCACTGTAGATCATAATGGACTTATCCAGATCAATGCATGGTAGAGTTTAATCAAGTTACATAGGGGTAAAATGGTTAAGGGTGTCTGGACTGGCTACTACTAGTAAATAGAATATATATCTAGTGATTCATTGATGCTGCTGAAGGCAAAATTGTAAGAGATGGCTGTGACGGTCATCTTTTACCTAAATTTCGGCCACTCTACCATAAAAAATAGTGTCTTAATTCTGAAAAGTCGTACGCTCGATTCCAAAATAGTTTAATGGGATCATCAAAATTTCCTATTGCAATGAAGGTATGTTTAGTCGTTTAAAAGTTTACCTATCAACCTGCTACGAAGTCCCATTCCAAATAAGTTCTACAAAAAGATGTTTTTGATGGAATAAACATTTTGTTGTTTGTTTTGTGTTACAGATCAGATCACTCCAAACTAGTGCTACAAGAAAAGATATTGATCAGGCTGCCAAATATATTGGAGCTGGAGCTGCCACCGCTGGTTGTGCTGGTTCAGGTGAGAATTTGTGCTGGAAATAAATGCACAAAAAACCTTCAGTGATTTCACGTTTTCTGTAATATATGACAAAAAAAAGTTGCTTCAGACCTAATGTGAATATATACACATGCTGTCTCATTTTGGTCCACTAAGAATTGGGGGCAAATAAAGGTTTACCCTTTTAATTACGTACATCAGACCTGTCTAGTTTTTGTGTTTAGGTCTTGGGTCTCATAACTTCACATGCGAACAGTCATTAACGAGTACAGCATAATGTAGGATTTTCTGTAAATATAGGATCTTGCATGAGTTTCCATTCCATATGAGATTTATGAAGTGAGCTAAAATGAAAAAATTGTGACAAGTTTCATCAATTTTATATGAAATGAAAACGTGTGTTGGATCCTTTTTATCACGGAATCAAGATTTGTGGCATTTATTCATGTAAAACGACAATTATCATGCAACCTTGAAATGTAAAAAGACGCCATTTTGATTCCGATGCACAATTCTGTGACATTGTGTACTTGTCCTAGGCGTGACGTCACAATTGAAACTTGCAACCAATCGCAGGGCTGATAGGTCATATTACATGGGTTAATACGCAAATAAGTATGACATGGGTATATTCACTGGATAACTAGTTCTTGGTGTGTTCAGTTTGGGGTAAACCTGATGTGTGCATTGAGTATAGACAGCATTTAAAGTATCATGATTTCAAGTGTCTTGGGTAAGTAGAATTCTGGAATCGCTGACACCTCGTGTCATTATCAAAGCATGAAATAGACTGGTGGTAAGTCATTCCAGTCCATTACTGCAAACCATCACATCAACATTCAAACGAGTAATGAAACGAACATAAATCGATGAGAATTTATAAAATATGAGAGAAATTCTTTTGTTTTGGCGCAACAAAAGAGTTTCATTGGTTGATGCGCCATGGACGGTGCAGAGCATATGGTTCATCATTACAAGCATTAAACTAACGATGGTAGAAAAGAATAAGAGAAATAATTTATCGTTCCTATGTGATGTAGAAAGAAATCCCTCTTAGCAAAAAACGTCTTGCTCTTTGGTTGAGATTTCTCCATCTAGATAACACAGGAGTAAAAGATAATATTTATCATGGCCTGGGGCTAGTGATCAGTTGGGTCTTCATCTCCTGTTTTTGCAAAATATTGCTCACACATTTATTTGCAAACATTGAAACCACAAATATTGCAGCTAATACTTTCTTTTTACCTTTTCAGGAGCTGGTATTGGAACAGTGTTCGGAAGTTTAATCATTGGCTTTGCAAGGAACCCCTCATTGAAAGGAGATCTTTTCACCTATGCTCTGCTGGGATTCGCTCTCTCTGAAGCTATGGGTCTCTTCTGCTTGATGATGGGTTTCCTACTTCTGTTTGCATTTTAAGGTGTGGCGAAAAATGACAGAGTGTTTGTTTGTAGACTGATGTAAATGTAATACCAGATCAACAAGTGTGATTGTGAGTCATCTTCAGGGCCTGTATGTAGCTCACATCTATCAAGACCAAACCACGTAGTGGTACTGTGGAGTCATTTTATACATAAATTAATTTTAACAAATTTGGAAGTCGACGAATAACGAAGAACTGCAAATGACCGCCTGGATGAGCTGTTGTGTCCTTGATTTGAAGTTGTACAGAAGATAATATTGTATGAAGACTGTGTTTTTTATATACAGTTTAAATAAATATTATCTAGTATAGGCAGGTCTGGATTTAGAAGTGTTGTTTTTGTGAGAGGAGATGGGGATAACATTTGATCCATAGTATACAGTATAGTGCTGAAAAATTGTTTTGACAAGGTAAACATTAATATAAAAAAAACTTTGTTAAACAAGTCTTTCCTTGTTTTCTTTTGAAATTGTTTGGATGTTGACATGAATATATAGAACGATAAACGTGGGAAATGCTTGAATTTGTCATGTTCCTGTTCATTATCGTTCTACTGGACCTCTTTTGGTATATATAAAAACTTGTACTTGTGTGACAGATTAAAGTGGTTTTGCTTTCCAATATACTAGGGAGGGGACTAAAACAAAACATCAAATCTACATACCCGAAAACAGTAACAAAATGTAGGTCAATATTGAATTTCCCAGTTAAAATATTTTTTACTGTCATTCTTGACTGTTTGACAGGACCTTGAGAACGCTCCTAATCAGTATATACAGTAAACTTTGAATGCAGGGGTCGACACTAACACTTGTCCCCTAGTCCTGGACTGGTAGATTTCAGCAAGGACTTCAGAAAAATACAGTTATAAAACAAGAAAATTTCATTTTAAAAATTAGAAAACTGCTAAAAATAAGATATATTCATTGCATGATTGTCAAAATTTTCCTAAAACTTTACCATATATTTATGGTAGTAGTTATTTTAAGTCTCTACAGTCAATTACTTTTGATGTTTCGTGCTGTAGATCGCAATTTTTTCCTTATCGGGAAATCTTGGGACTAGTTACATTGACAAAGAACTAGCAAGTAATCTATTCAACTAGTCCTGTGGACTACCAAACAAAAACTCCAACCCTGGAATGTACACCTAATATCGATGGACATTCTGTTGAACAATGTAACCCAGTAGGGAGGAAGTTTAGCAATTTACAGCCAATTCATAGTGATTCTAACGTTTTACGACTATTTACAAGGCAAAAGTTTTTACTATACTTTGTTTATTAGCGAAGTGCCAATTGAATTCATGGTATGGTGTTGTCCATCGTCAAACTTTTTCTTTAAACAACTTAACACTGGAGGACCTAGGGCCAGTAGGTACCAGGGACAGAGTGCTTTAAACTTTCCTCAAATAAATTACCCTTGACCTACTTTCAAGGTCATAGGGGTCAATTCTGTAAAAAAACAAACACTTTTAACTTCCTCTGAATAACCAGGAAGCCCAGAGTAAAAATACTTGGCCAGTAGGTTCCTGGCATGAGGTGCTATAAGGTTTCCTCAAATAAAAGACCTTGACCTACTTTCAAGGTCACAGGGTTCAAATTTGTTTAAAACCTTTTTAACATCTTCGGAATAAACAGGAGTCCAAGAGTATCGATACTTAGCCGGTAGATACCTGTGACAAAGTGATAAAAAGTTTCCTCAAATAAATTGCATTTACCTACTTGATAAAAATATATATAAAAACTTTCCAACAACTTTTTCTTATTAACCAGGAGGCCAGGAGTAATGTCACTTGGACAATGTGCTATACAATTTCCCAAAATAGATTACCTTGCCCTACTTTCACGGTCACAGGGGTCAAATTAATCAACTTCTTCCGCAATACCAGGAGGCCCTGGGTGATGACATTTGACCAGTAGCGTGCTGGGATTAAGTTGTTTAAAGTTTAAGTAATCATATTTTCATCAAAACAAAGGTCAATTGGTAGCTGTAATTCATGGCACCAATAAACATGGTTCCAGTTCGAATAAGCAGATGCGGTTGTCCAACTTGCATTATTTCTACTTGAATGTTTGAAACATTTTAAAATGTTTGCTTTACAAAGTTCAACTCGGTTATAAAAGGCAATGTTTTTGTAAATGTACCGTTGCATGATTTTAGTTTGATAACTCTTTGCCAAGAACCATTGAAGAGTTGGTACAGTGGGACTACAGACTGGCAACTGGATTCCCGGGATGGGGGCATCCTCGATATCCAGCGGTTATGCTCACTTTCGCTCTGTGCAGAGAGCGTAACCCCTGGATATCGACACATATTATCACAAAAATCAAACTTGCGTTGAACCCTATAGATTTTGGGCATCAAACAAGAGGTCAGGGTAATTTGTTAGAACAGAAATCTTCTAGATACTAAATGTGGAATAATTTGGGCCAAAATAGATCTCTCCGGATTGAAGTCCATCTACCTGGCTGCCTACTATACACCAAGTGAAATTGTTCCTGGTAGCACTGCACAACTGGACGTGTCCCTAGAAATGCCCACACGTGGCTACTTGGTGACTTAAATCTCCAAAAGTATGACTGGCAACAACAATGCTATAAAAACAATTGCAATATTGCACCTTATTCTGACTTCCTTACCGTCATAGAAAATCACAACCTTGAACAAGTTGTAAAAATACCTACTCGTAAAGAGAACACACTTGATCTCTTCTTTCTCAATCAGTCAACTCTTGTCCACGAAACTAGAACCCTACCAAGTCTTGGAACTGATGATCACGACACAGTTTTTCATGAAATCCTTGTCACTTTTGGCCGACAACGGAAACAACCATGTCAAATAAAGCTATACAATAAAGCTGACTGGGATGCCATAAGACTGATCTAATTTATTTCACAACTATATACATGTCGTCCACCCAGAATTCCACAACAATTTTGTAGATTCGGTCCCCGCTTAATCTAATACCCTATGATGACTGTAGATGTCAACACTGAATGACATAGGAGTGTTACAGTGGTTGCAGCAGATTTATTTTAGTCAACTTTGTATCACCTATAGCTATAAGGGCACATGAGAAAATGTAATATTAGGTAATATTTAGCAGATTTCAATATTAGCCTCCACTAACTATAATACGTTGGGTAAAACATCCTCTGGCATTGCCGAGTCGCTGCTGAAGACATCACAGCAGACACCAAGACACTCTTGATCCTACATAAACATCATATGGAAACAGATGTTTTAATATGGCAATTTAGACATTGCCAAAACAAGGATCTACTACTTGTACAATCGATATCCTTTCACGAGGGATCTGAACCGGAAAGTGCAATTCCCTTTTTGCATTGTTTAAACATATATAGTTCTTATAGGCTATAGGGTTAGGCAATTGGCACCACTTTGGAATTTGGCGCTGGTGCTTGTATTCTTGAGGAGGGCGTTTTATGAACCCGTTGCGTCTTTGAAGTTCAATACATTAGAGACAGATTTCTGTGATGTCCTGGCATCGGTGCCCGTATTCGTGAAACCTCTGATTATATGCTCAAGCCAAAAGTCTTGTTCCGTCGATAAATGATAAATTAATAAAAGAAATAACACATTTTTCCATGATTTACAGAAATTTTTAAAATAACTGAAGCCGAATATCGTTTTCAAAGTTTACACTTGACTTTTTGACCGTGACAAATTATTTTAGCGAATTACAATAAAAAATAGTTTCGGTACAGAATTCACCCTTTAGCACGACATGGGTTCCTGACTATACGGGCCCGGGACTTAAGATTGAGCGAGGTGCGTGCCTTAATGTTCACATCGTTCACTGGGAGCTCAAAACACGTTTTGCAATGTCCTTACTTTCTGATAAATTCCTGAATTTGCGGTGGAGAATTTTCCTTCTACTGTTGGTGGTAAGTAGATGCAGATACATTGCTCTGTCGATGTAGGTCATTACAGTTTTATCTTTTATATATAAAACCGGGGTAGCGAGGTCTTTGATCTCGGCTGCTTATATCTTCCCAGTCTCCCTTCACGTGAATCAATAAAGATATTAGATACCTTCGAGAGCTCTTCCGTAGTGATTCTACCATTACAAAGCCAGATTGCATTAAAAGTGAGGGGACCTTCTGCTGACTGGGATCTTCTCGATAGTTTTTCCTTTTATTCATCTATGAATTGTGTTTGTAACTTCTGGCGGGAACAATCTACTTTCAATGATTGCTTTTTGAGGTCTCTGGTCTCTCATTCTAGGGTCTCTTATTTATTTTTTTACTTTGTTCCTTGGTTGTGGCTGTACATGCATCGCTTCAATGGAATAGCTTTAATACCGTGAGGGGTTCCCCATTTTTTTTTCTTAATTTTAGGTATCTTGGGAGTTAATTCTGTGACTTTTGTCTTTTCCTCCTGTAAAAATATAGTTCGTGTTTTCCTTTCATCTGTTCTTGGTGTTGATCGGATGTCAATACTTAACTCACAACTATAGGGTAAAGCGAATTCGCATACTAAAATTATGAAATGTTACTAAAATGAAATTGATTTTTTAAACTTTCAGTTGTTATGACGTTATGCCATAACTTAATGCAGTCCCACCTCCCTTTCCTTTCCTCCTCATGATATACTAAGTATAGTTCTGTGTTGGCATTGTCTTGAATCGGATATCTTTATTTCGACCATTTTCGCAATATTTAATAGGTTGAAACTGGTATATACTGTCCCTGGTTGAAAGCAGTCGTTTGATATATATATAAAAAAAAAAAAAGACATTTCATTTCTAATGAATGAACCTTCAAAAGTACTTTTTTCAAGTTATTTGCAAACATCGTTAGTCAAAATCAAGTGTACAAATTAAATTACAGCTAGTTAACTCAAGTGCTGGTAGTAGTCATCAACGATTTCTGAATTTCGTGGCATTATCGGATATTTTTTAAAAGTCTTGGCATTACATAGACAGTATACCAGCCACCCCTCAATACAATAATAATTGAACCTCGTATGTCATAATCAATAGGATTCGCATGAGAAGATATTCTTACCACTGATTTTTCTAGGGTTTTGCGCTCATCTGGCGTAATGTGTATGTACATGCGAGGTTAAAGAAATGTGCAGTGTTTATGTTTCGGCTGGTACTACTATTTGTCATTTCTTTCCCTTTACCTCCTATAGGCTGCCCTGGATGGAGCGGGAAAAATACCTCAGATTTACAAGTCATAAACGACTCTTCTAACGAACCATAGAGTGCTTAGATATGATTTTGTCTTGTAGTTTCTGGGAAAACACCTTGACTCACGTACATTGCACCCTCAAGGTTAGCTGCGGGAACCGTAGCTTCTATGTCCGATTTTTTAATTTTTTAATTTATTGTTATCGGACCAATAACAATAAAAATTTTTTTTTTTAAATCGGACATAGAAGCTACGGTTCCCGCAGCTACCTCAAGGTCACAATTAATTTTCACAATGTCGATAGCAAAAATCAAGCGACTTCTTCTAATTATAATTAATTCAAAATTCAAAATTTAATATTACTTTTGCATGTAGCCAATGAAGCCTGCATGCACAGGGTCACGTTACGTGACCCTGTGCTGCATGTAAGGTTTGTGGAGAAAAAATACCTGGACCTATATTCAAGATCATGTATGTGTCAAATTTATTTAAACGCCGAGCGGCTTTGTGAAGACCATCACCAAACGCTCTGCAGAATCGAGATGTATTGCCAATAACACTCAGCTAGAGATAGCTGGAGCTAGAACCATAATATTTTACATCATGTACATATTCAAACTTTTTGTGAGCCGCAAAAAACACATGTAAGCCGACCAGCTACATGCGATGTACATCCTAACCTGTTTGAAACTGTTTTTAGTTGATTTTCCTCAGTGAAATTTTTGATGTTGGAAAAAAATAATTGAAACGCTTAAAGCTGAGAAACGGCGGAGGCCCTCGATCTTGTTGAACTATACTTTACTTGGAATCATTTTGACGGTTGTGTTGTGAACGTAGGAATTTCATATAAGCAGAGACAGAAATTACAAGTAATAATAAATTTCTGCTCTTATATATAAGAGATAATAAAAAATCGTTTAAAAAAATGGCGTAAACGTCCACTCGAGTCTAGATACCTATTGCGCATGGTAATATATATTAATGATTGAAGGTGCTGTAAGCATTGTTGAAGTTAGTTGATACTAATTTCGTCATTTTCCGTCCATATAACTTTAGAACTGTCAGTAAGAGTAGTGATCGATTAATAGTCTGGGGCTCCCATCAGTTCTTCTTCTTTGTCGTATCAATTTGATGTTTATGCCCTCGGTTGAAGTTGAAGTTATAAATGAAAGAGAAATTAACCCACTGTTGTTTACTTAATATTTCCCGCTCAAAGTTATGAAGCATAGATATAAAAGGACTTTAATGTACATATTTACATTAAGTCTTATTTTACTTTTGATAAACGTAACACCTTCATACCATACACTCTATTTATGGAACGATACCTATAGTTTGAGAGTTACTTCCCTTGACATCGATTACAAAAATATCGATTATGCCATGGTTATCCCCCTACGATACTAAAATAAACCACAGCCAGTTAAAAATAAATAAAACGTCATCATGTGAAATCTTTTTTATTTGCAGAAAATATTTTTAACGTAGGTAAAAAGTTAATTAAAACACCCGGAAGTCATGAGAATGTTAATTATATTACAGCGCCACCTGTAGTCGAGTTCGGCCATTTCTGCTGTCAGAAACGAAAACAGTAAAAACCCAGGAATACAACCGAAGATAGGACGTTACATGTAAGTATTTGGGAAATACCAGTGACATCTAAGACACGGCGTTAGTGAGCCTTATCAGTAAGTACATCGAGAGAACGGCCACGCTTACCGTTACTATGTTAGCAGGTGCCCGCTGGTCTCAAGTTGACAGTAGACGATACATACAAAAAGTGAGTTATTTTCTACTAGCCTTAAATTACCGTTACTTATAATACGACAGAAGTGAACTGCATCTTTTGCTAAATATACACTTACGATTTCATCATACCTGTATATAGTAAGTAAAATAAGTTGTCTGTCGTTATATTAACAGCACATGCAGAGGACCGACATTTCTATATTAATTTGTTTACTTTCTCCTATAATATAAATTTGGCCATCCACACACACACCATGCAGTCACAACACACCATGGTATGAACACTTGAGTCTGAAGGAGCCTTACATCAATTTGTGTTGGCTGGCAGTTTTTAATTGTATATAATAGTCTTCATCTCGCTCCACACTAGAAGGAATTTTCCTTTAATTAGCTTAGCTAATACAGCGAAAGAGTTGTAAGAATGTGGTTGGTGTTTTGATCCCTGGGTTGGACAGAAACTAACTTATCTCTTCCATTACAAAAAAGTGTCCATCACTCTCCGTATAGTCATGACATTGAGCCATATTGGGTTGAAGTGGTAACACAGTTACAAAGTGTTGCAGCTATTTCTAATATGTACACGCACGATCATAATCGGAAATCACTGACTATCTTACTTTATGATTTTTTGATGGGACGGAGATAGCAAGAATGTCTTCCAAATGGTCTCTTTGAAAAAAATATGCAACATGACGGTTTCATTTAAGCATTGAACTGATTTCAATTGGCATTCATAGGCAATATGAATGCCAACTGGACAAAGACAAATTCAATGAAGCGCGCTATCACTTTATGTTGGATTTGCTTTTGTCCAGTTGGAATTCATTCCTCCTATGAATGCCAACTGAAAGCAGTTCAATACTTACATTTACCATTTTTGGAATCTGTTCATCTTATAGAAGATTTAATTGCATTTACTATTATTCAACATTTAGTTTAAATATTGTATGTTTCGTGTTTGCTTGTTCAACGAATAGAACAGCCATCACCCGGGGAGGGTCTGAGTGGTATACAACGAAACAATTATGACGTCAACAATCGCTCCATGGCATTCATAACTTTATGAATGCCAACTGAATTTGGTAGGGTTGTATATAGTGGCAATGCAATACGATGGTAAATATTTGGTGAACATCCCAATTAATGTTTTCTTGTATACCTGAGTTTATGTCTTCATTGTCTGTACATTTAACCCTTTCACCCCTATGTAACTTTAGAGGACTCTCCCATGCATTGATCTGAATGAGTCCATTATGCTCTATAGTGGTGAAAGGGTTAATACTTTCCATACTTGGATGTGAAGGTTGTTTGTTTCTCTCTGCCATAGAGCCGATAAAAATGCTGACAAGGGTCTTTTCAAACCTTTACTTTCTGCCACAGGGGCTATTTCATGGATATGTTGAATTTTTTGAGATATTGCGGATATTCATCAAAACATGTACATATTGATATTCATTGTAGCTCATATATATTCCTTTGCATCATTTATATATATATATATATATATTTTATTATTTTAAATAACATCATTATCGATATTGGATCAACATGTAAAGATTTTCAATGGTTTTAAAATAATGGGATTAACAGCTAAGGTGTTCTACGCTGAAGCTATTAAATATTGTCATCTGAATTTTTTATGAACTTATGAATGTTTGTAACAGGCAGACCATCTGGGGCTCGTAGATTTTATTTCGGGGCTACTGAAATTTTCATTGTTTACTTTAACTCATTCACCCCTGAAGACACATTTAAACTCTTCCAATTCAAAGGTTGGAATAGTTCATTATGAAACTTCAGGGGTGAATGAGTTTAAGTATTGGCTGTGTTAACGTTTGGGCATGCAGGTTGATAGACATTTTCAAGACTTTGCCTAAGCTTTAACTCAATCAACCCTGAAGACACATTTGAACTCTTCCACTTCATAGATTGGAATAGTCCATTACAAAATTTTAGGGGTGAATGAGTAAATATGAAACTGTACACCAGAAATCTCCCTGGTTTCTGATAGTTATGAGATAATTGTGAGATTTTTTGCACATTTTGATGAAGTTTTTACCCAGACTTTTCCAAATTTAATTGACATTTTCTGGGGGAAAAAATGATAACAGACCCTTAAAAAAACATCATTCAGTGTTAACTATGGTAACTACGGGGGTAGTGCACATTAGTCAACATGGGCTGTAGTCACTCCTTGGTATAACAAGTGCAAGACATGCTGTGTTTGATATTTTCAATACCTTAATACATGCCAGTAATTTCATAACCATCTAGCCTTCCTGAAATTGTGGCAGGGACGTAAACACAGACTTTGTGAATTCAGATGTACCACTGCGGAAATATTCTTTTCACTCTAGACAGAAGTCTTTAACTGCTTAAATGCTTCCAATTCGTCAGTAAAGTGCATTGCTTAGGAGGATGGAAACATAATCCATTAGCTTGTGTATAGAGACCACCCACACAATATTGAGAGGACAAGATACAAGCTGGCTGATCATGAGGCCAGTACTAGTTAACAAATATAGGGGAAGACTAGCAGGAGATATCGGCAGCAGAATTCCACTCCCTGCAGGCTCCGATTGATTTTTGTCAGGTACAAGCCCACACTGGGTTATATTAGAACTAAGGAGTGTTCAGTGATATTTTCTGTCAGGGGCAAATGCCAGAGGAGAAGAGGCAAATTTTAATTTTGTTATAATTAGTATAATATCCCTGAGGCATTGGGGTATAGGGTGTAGGGAAAGTATTGATTAATCAACTGACTTATTATAAATTGTAATGTAAACCTGTGTCATATAATTGCAGTTTTGCACTCTAAAATTCTGTTGAACATTTATTGAAAATATCTAAAATAATATGTCCATGCATGGATGCACTAAGTACAGTGTGACATGCCTTATAGGCCACCTGTATATAAAGACCTCATGTCTATAGAGGCTACACACCACTAAAGGCCATGGGCCACCTGTACATGTATGTAGAAATAAAGATCATGTCTATAGACCACCCACCCATCATAAAAGACCTGTATATATGGACCACACACCCATCATAAAAGACCTGTATATATGGACCACACACCCATCATAAAAGACCTGTATATATGGACCACCCACCCATCATAAAAGACCTGTATATATGGACCACCCACCCATAATTAAAGACCTGTATATATAAATCACACACCCATCATTAAAGACCTGTATATATAGACCACCAACCCATCATTAAATACCTGTATATATAAACCACGCACCCATCATTAAATACCTGTATATATGGACCACCCACCCATAATTAAAGACCTGTATATATAAATCACACACCCATCATAAAAGACCTGTATATATATAGTCCACCAACCCATCATAAAAGACCTGTATATATGGACCACACACCCATCATAAAAGACCTGTATATATGGACCACACACCCATCATAAAAGACCTGTATATATGGACCACACACCCATCATAAAAGACCTGTATATATGGACCACCCTCCCATCATAAAAGACCTGTATATATGGACCACACACCCATCATAAAGGACCTGTATATATGGACCACCCACCCATCATAAAAGACCTGCATATATGGACCACCCACCCATAATTAAAGACCTGTATATATAAATCACACACCCATCATTAAAGACCTATATATATAAATCACACACCCATCATTAAAGACCTATATGTATAAATCACCCACCCATCATTAAAGACCTGTATATATAAATCACACACCCATCATAAAAGACCTGTATATATATAGACCACCAACCCATAATAAAAGACCTGTATATATGGACCACCAAACCATCATTAAAGACCTGTATATATGGAACACCAAACCATCATTAAAGACCTGTATATATGAACCACCCACCCATCATAAAAGACCTGTATATATGGACCACCAAACCATCATTAAAGACCTATATGTATAAATCACACATCCATCATTAAAGACCTGTATATATAAACCACACACCCATCATTAAATACCTGTATATATGGACCACCCACCCATCATTAAAAACCTGTGTATATATGGACCACCCAACCATCATTAAAAAACCTGTGTATATATGGACCACCTAACCATCATAAAAGACCTGTATATATTGACCACCCACCCATAATTAAAGACCTGTATATATAGACCACCCACCTATCATTAAAGACCTGTATATATGGACCACCCACCCATAATTAAAGACCTGTATATATAGACCACCAACCCATCATTAAATACCTGTATATATAAACCACACACCCATCATTAAATACCTGTATATATGGGCCACCCACCCATCATTAAAAACCTGTGTATATATGGACCACCCAACCATCATTAAAAAACCTGTGTATATATGGACCACCTAACCATCATAAAAGACCTGTATATATGAACCACCAACCCATCATAAAAGACCTGTATATATGGACCACCCACCCATCATAAAAGACCTGTATATATGAACCACCCACCCATCATAAAAGACCTGTATATATGGACCACCAAACCATCATTAAAGACCTATATGTATAAATCACACATCTATCATTAAAGACCTGTATATATGGACCACCCACCCATAATTAAAGACCTGTATATATGGACCACCCACCTATCATTAAAGACCTGTATATATGGACCACCACCCATCATAAAATACCTGTATCTATAAATCACACACCCATCATTAAAGACCTGTATATATAGACCACCAACCCATCATTAAATACCTGTATATATAAACCACACACCCATCATTAAATACCTGTATATATGGACCACCCACCCATCATTAAAAACCTGTGTATATATAAACCACACACCCATCATTAAATACCTGTATATAAAAACCACACACCCATCAATAAATACCTGTATATATATATGTCTACAGACCATTCACATAAAAAAACTGTATATAAAGATCACAAACCTGTCAATAAGGACATGTGTATATATAGACCACCCATCATTAAAACCTGTATATTTGGACCACCCACCCATCATTAAAACCTGTATATATGGACCACCCACCCATCATTAAAAACCTTTATATATAGACCACCTGTTAACAAAGGTCTGTGTATTAAGACCAACCTTCTTTAAAGATTGATATGTTATGGTTACCTGTCAATAAATACCTGTATGTACAGACCACCTGTCAATAAAGACATGTATATAAAGACCACCTATCAATAAAGACCTGTATATACAGACCACCTGTCAATAAAGACATGTATATAAAGACCACCTGTCAATACAGACCTGTATATTAAGACCACCCTTCATTAAAGATCTATATGTAATGACCACCTGTCAATTAAGACCTATAAACATGACCCATTGTTTACTTAAGACATGTATATGATGATCACCATCTGCCAATAAAGATCCACTTTCAAGCGACCACCTTTATAAAAGATAGTCTATGTAGCTGTATATATCACCTAGCTATATATATAGTGATGGGCAATTGGTTTAAAATCATAATCGATAATCGGTTTGTAATCAGAAGTAGTGAACCGATCAATGATCGATTGCATAATTGGTACATAATTTTACGGGACTGAATACCCAAATAAAGTGAGAACACTACTATAACATCAATAGACAGAGTTGTTAACTATACACTAGTATAACATCAATAGACAGAGTTGCTAGCTATACACTACTATAACATCGATAGACAGAGTTGTTAACTATACACTAACATAAGATCAATAGACAGAGTTGTTAACTTTACATTACTATAACATCAATAGACAGAGCTGTTAGCTATACACTACTATAACACCAATAGACAGAGTTGTTAGCTATAGACTACTATAACATCAATAGACAGCGTTGTTAACTATACACTACTATAACAGCAAGAGACAGAGTTGTTAACTATACACTAGTATAACATCAATAGACAGAGTTGTTAGCTACACACTACTATAACATCAATAGACAGATTTGTTAGATATACACTACTATAACATCAATAGAAAGAGTTGTTAACTATACACTACTATTACATCAATAGACAGAGTTGTTAAATATACACTACTATAACATCAATAGAAAGAGTTGTTAGCTATACACTACTACAACATCAATAGACAGAGTTGTTACCTATACACTACTATAACATCAATAAACAGAGTTGTTAACTATACACTAACATAAGATCAATAGACAGAGTTGTTAACTATCCACTACTATAACATCAATAGACAGGGTTGTTAACTATACACTACTATATCATCAATAGACAGAGTTGTTAACTTTACATTACTATAACATCAATAGACAGAGATGTTAGCTATACACTACTATAACGTCAATAGACAGAGTTGTTAACTATCCACTACTATAACATCAATAGACAGGGTTGTTAACTATACACTACTATACCATCAATAGCCAGAGTTGTTAACTCTACACTACTATAACATCAATAGAGAGAGTTGTTAACTATACACTACTATACCATCAATAGCCAGAGTTGTTAACTCTACACTACTATAACATCAATAGATAGAGTTGTTAACTATACACTACTACAACATCAATAGACAGAGTTGTTAGCTATAGACTACTATAACATCAATAGACAGCGTTGTTAACTATACACTACTATAACAGCAAGAGACAGAGTTGTTAACTATACACTGCCATAACATCAATAGACAGAGTTATTAACTATACACTACCATCACATTAATAGACAGAGTTGTTAACTATATACTACTATAACATCAATAGACAGCGTTGTTAACTATACACTACTATAACAGCAAGAGACAGAGTTGTTAACTATACACTGTTTTTTTTTTTTATATAATGAATAGATGTCAGATTTTGTCAGATTTTCACATTTTATTTCCAACACTCAGACAATTCTTATGTCAAGCAATTTTTATGCAGTTTTATGAATCGTATAGTAAAAATCATAAGAATATATATGACTTTCAATACATTTTTCACACTGAAATCATTTAACACTTTAATTTTAATAAAGAACCGATTATATCGATAATTGGAATCGGAAAGGGCAAACCGATCGATTTTCGATTATAATCGATCACAGCCAATCACTAATATCACCTGTATATAACAACCACCTTTTTGTAGCTAAAGTTTTAAGATTTTTTTTTAATATAATTTCAACCGGTTGACGGTAGGAATTAGGATGTAATTATTTTCTCTTTGGTATGAGATATGCCAATAGGTGGCGCTATTGGTGGTATTTGCACGTGCAAATGGTCTGGGTTGTTACCTATACGTGTCATTCAGGCGACACAGGTTACAAGAAGCACATGTGTATTTTTTAATTTTTAAATGGGGTTATTATATTGAGATTAATAGGTTAGGAGATATATGTTTGTGTGTGAGATGTACATTATTGTGTAACTGTGTTTATTGATCGTGGTGATTGTAAATAAACATCGGTCAGTGCCTATGTCGCTGGGAAATACAGTTTTTGTATTCGTGTTGTTTATCCTTTTGGATTCTATATATAGAGAAGAGAAATACTGTTATTGGTAATATTTTGAAACATAAATTGTGATTAAATGCTATGATGACATACAAATGATTGAAATTGCTCATGTGACAAAACGTTAACATTATATTATATAATCTATTACTGCTGATTTGCAGTTTAAACATAATCATAATTTTAGCCCATACAACTTTGACATCGTAACGAGATTCTACTGTATCCGTGCACTTGGTATTACAAAATCAATATCCTTTTGTTGATTTCAGACAGTAACAGTTTGTAATCTAGATTTTCTGTAAACCAAGCTGCAGATTTAGTTTGTATTCAGATAATGCTGGCATTCAGATTCCTTTGAAAATTCAATACCAGTATTCTCTGAAGAGGTTGTATACTCCAGTCCACGGTGTTGACTTTTGCATTGTAAATTACCTGCATGTACCTTGCCAGGCTGCTGGCTACATGTATAATTTAGTGATGAGTCGACCTTCACCTTACAATTAATGTCAGCTGAAGACTGCTTGTATGCATATATATATATATATATATATGATACAATACAGGGTGATTGTATCTTCAGCTAAAAGTGCTTGGTAACATCTGGGGGTGTTTCCCTGTATTGACTAGCTGCGATCAATTGGCTGTAATTATAACGGGAAGTCTTGTTTATACTGAGGTGGAGAGAGAGCACCGGGTCTTAAATCTATACCTGTGAGTACAACTAGATTCTTCTTTGTCTCGTACTCTTCTGGTTGAGTGTTAACTTCTTCAGTGAATAATTTGAGTCTTGGATTCATACTTTTTCGGTGGGACTTACCAACTTTTTAGGACCACTATATATATCTCTTAGCGATTGGACTCGTCAATATTTTGAAGAAGAAAAAAATCTACAAAAATTGTACGCTCCTTCAAAACATTGTCCAATGAGAGAGTGAACATGACAATGGGATCACTTGTTATATCAGACTGATATGTAACAACTTTAACTCATTCACCTCTAAAATTTTATAATGAACTATTCCATCCTTTGAATTGGAAGAGTTCAAATGTGTCTTCAGGGGTGAATGTGTTAATATATGGCATGACAAATGCAACCACCACACCGGTACTTCGTGATGTAATTCGTTTTTGTAACACAAAAGTAAATGTATTATCCATGGGGACTGATATATTCGTTTATGATATGTCTCATATGAATCTTGTTTGTAGGAGTGCGGGTTAGACATTGTGGGGGTTTAGAACAACATTTGGTAAAACAAAAATATCCCCACCCCCACCCTGGTATGTGTAGAAAGTGAATGAAGTTTTCGTAGTCTAAAAATGGATACAGCTAAATTTCTAGCTCCAAAAATGACATTTTTGATGGGTTTTCAAAAAAGACCTTGCCATCTTCTGAAAAATGGATAATTCTTCTTTCAGTAGCCTTTTGTATTCACCCAAATATAGTTCACATTTCATGCCACCCAACAGCGAGAATTATTGTGAATAAATGGGAAATACGTACATGTAGATTTTCTGGCACTCTTTTAGCATATATTTGTGAAACAGATTGCTGTGTTGTGATGACAACAAATGTCCTGAATAACACATGTAAATCAGCTGTAACCAAGCTGTGGGGGGTTATACATACATGTATGTCACACATTTATTGTAACAGTCTGCCCTCCTAAGGTAAACTATCTGCATTATCAATTTAGTTCTTTTGCTATATTGCTTGATAAAAATATCTATTGTATTGAACAGCAGGCATGATATAAAATTAAACTACATAAAATGGAGCTTGCTACATCTGTGACATATTTTTACTAATTCTGTTGAATTAACCTAACATACAGCAATTAAACATTCATGAATCAATATATCAATATATGGGAAAATTTCAGAAATCAGATTTGTTTGTGAATTTTGTTTCTCGTTTTTGATGGATTTGTTTGTATTTTCAGTGGTTCCCGTGACGGTGCTTCAATTTGAGGCCACTGGACACCAGGATATGGAAGATGATAAACCATTTGTGTGCTCACAAAATGGTTGTGGTCAGGTGTGTATTCATAATTACCTATCCAGATGAAATGTACACTTTGTTTAGAATCCAATGTGTAACTGGCTAGTGCAGCTGAAACTGACAAAACATAGTGAAAAATTGCTCATTTATAATTTGTAGTTTTAAAGTAAATGACTTTGATCTGTTCAGAAGCATCAGTGATTAGCCTGAATTATTTGTGCTATCAAAGTTTAAGAAAAAATATATATATCATTTTTCAGCAATTTACAAATGAGGATCACCTTGCCGTACATATGAGGAAGCATGAGATGTCCTTGGCATTAAACCTACAAAGTGGCAGTACTCTCAGCACTCTGACTCCAGGCCGCTCACCAGGGCGATCGCCCTGTGGCATGGGGGCGGCCGGGCTGTTCTTAGGTAAGGCTACACCTTATGGGCTGGGGTCGTCAGGTATTTCCTAGGTAAGGCTAGACTACATGTGCTAGAATCGCCAGGTATTTCCTAGGTAAGGCTAGACTACATGTGCTAGAATCGCCAGGTGTTTCCTAGGTTAGGCTAGACCACATGGGCTGGAATCACCAGGTGTTTCCTAGGTTAGGCTAGACCACATGGGCTTGAATCGCCAGGTGTTTCCTAGGTAAGGCTAGACCACATGGGCTGGAATCGCCAGGTGTTTCCTAGGTAAGGCTAGACCACATGGGCTGGAATCGCCAGGTGTTTCCTAGGTAAGGCTGGACCACATGGGCTGGAATCGCCAGGTGTTTCATAGGTAAGGCTAGACCACATGTGCTGGAATCGCCAGGTATTTCCTAGGTAAGGCTAGACCACATGTGCTGGAAGCGCCAGGTGTTTCCTAGGTTAGGCTAGACCACATGGGCTGGAATCGCCAGGTGTTTCCTAGGTTAGGCTAGACTACATGGGCTGGAATCGCCAGGTGTTTCCTAGGTTAAGCTAGACCACAGGGGCTGGACTCACCAGGTGTTTCCTAGGTTAGGCTAGACCACATGTGCTTGAATTTCCAGTGTTTCATAGGTAGTTTCCTAGGTTAGGCTAGACCACATGGGCTGGAATCCCCAAGGGGTTCCTAGGTTAGGCTAGACCACATGGGCTGGAATCCCCAAGGGGTTCCTAGGTTAGGCTAGACCACATGGGCTGGAATCCCCAAGGGATTCCTAGGTTAGGCTAGACCACATGGGCTGGAATCCCCAAGGGGTTCCTAGGTTAGGCTAGACCACATGGGCTGGAATCCCCAGGTGTTTCCTAGGATAGGTTAGACCACATGGGCTGGAATCACCAGGTGTTTCCTTGGTTAGGCTAGACCACATGGGCTGGAATCACCAAGGGTTTCCTAGGTTAGGCTAGACCACATGGGCTGGAATGGCCAGGTGTTTCCGAGGTTAAGCTAGACCACATGGGCTGGACACACCAGGTGTTTCCTAGGTTAGGCTAGACCACATGTGCTTGAATTTCCAGTGTTTCATAGGTAGTTTCCTAGGTTAGGCTAGACCACATGGGCTGGAATCCCCAAGGGGTTCCTAGGTTAGGCTAGACCACATGGGCTGGAATCCCCAAGGGGTTCCTAGGTTAGGCTAGACCACATGGGCTGGAATCCCCAAGGGGTTCCTAGGTTAGGCTAGACCACATGGGCTGGAATCCCCAAGGGGTTCCTAGGTTAGGCTAGACCACATGGGCTGGAATCCCCAAGGGATTCCTAGGTTAGGCTAGACCACATGGGCTGGAATCCCCAAGGGGTTCCTAGGTTAGGCTAGACCACATGGGCTGGACTCACCAGGTGTTTCCTAGGTAAGGCTAGACCACATGGGCTGGAATCACCAGGCGCTTCTTAGGTTAGACTAGACCTCATGGCCTGGAATCGCCAGGGGTTTCCTAGGTTAGGCTAGACTACATGGGCTGGAATCGCCAGGTAATTCCTAGGTTAGACTACACCACATGGGCTGGAATGGCCAGGGGTTTCCTAGGTTAGACTAGACCACATGGGCTGGAATCACCAGGTGTTTCTTAGGTTAGACTAGACCTCATGGCCTGTAATCGCCAGGTGTTTCCTAGGTTAGGCTAGACCACATGGGCTGGAATCCCCAAGGGGTTCCTAGGTTAGGCTAGACCACATGGGCTGGAATCCCCAAGGGATTCCTAGGTTAGGCTAGACCACATGGGCTGGAATCCCCAAGGGATTCCTAGGTTAGGCTAGACCACATGGGCTGGAATCCCCAAGGGGTTCCTAGGTTAGGCTAGACCACATGGGCTGGAATCCCCAAGGGGTTCCTAGGTTAGGCTAGACCACATGGGCTGGAATGGCCAGGTGTTTCCTAGGTTAGACTAGACCACATGGGCTGGAATGGCCAGGTGTTTCCTAGGTTAAGCTAGACCACATGGGCTGGACACACCAGGTGTTTCCTAGGTTAGGCTAGACCACATGGGCTGGAATGGCCAGGTGTTTCCTAGGTTAGGCTAGACCACATGTGCTTGAATTTCCAGTGTTTCATAGGTAGAGTAGAACCCCACACAGGGGTTCATGTAAATATTTTCTGAGAGACTTTCTCATTAAGGCAAGACCCTAGAGTGACTGGGTGGAGGTTGCAAGCTTTTTAGCTCACCTGGCCCAAAGGGCCAAGTGTGCTTATGCCGTACTGGGGCGTCCGGCGTCCGTCCATCAACTTTTTACTTTGAACGACTTCTTCTGAAGAACTGGAGGACCTTGGGTCATGATATTTGACCAGTAGGTACCTGGGATGGAATGCTATAAAGGTTCCTCATTAAAATTACCTTGACCTACTTTCAAGGTCACTGGGGTCAAATATGTTAATATGTTAAATTTGGTCTTAAGTTACCTATATGTAAGTTTATGTAACAAAAGAAACAGGTGATACAGGCTCTCTGGGCCTCTTGTTGTAAAGGACTAGGGGCGGAGGGAGGAAGGGGGTTGTTGCAAGCTCTTTCCCAGATAAGGAAGGTCTCTACCATATCAGAAGAGCAAGTGGTTTTACCGTCTGGATAAGGTTCGACTCGAAAACACCAGGAGGTATGTTCCAAGATCAGCTGCGTAGACATTAATGAAAGGGAATTCAATTTCGTTAAGTTTCCCAAACTTAAGGACTATAATTAAATACAATCTGTAAGAGTTTACTGAACCAATTCATCACAAACATCTTATGTTTCAGACCAAACCCCTACGCCTACCAAGTTTCTTCGAAATTGTGAAGAGATTGGGCTATTCCAGGAACTGAAAAATCCCTTTGAGGAAGCATTTAAGAAAGCATTGGACACTGATGGTATTGCTGTGCAGGTAATAGGTCAATTAGATAGTAACCCTTTCACCACTGTAGACCATAATACTCTCTCCTAGATAAATGTACGGTAGAGTCTACTAAAGTTGACTAGGGGTGAAAGGGTTAAATATTGTATAAAACTGAGGGACATATAGCTGTTGATAGACAAACAAGTTGATAAACATATTTTATTATGCGAACAGTGAATGAAACAGTTTTAGCTGTGAGGAAAGTATTGCATGTGATCGAAAATTTCATTTGCAAAATCACAAACTTCTGAAAAAATGAAACAAAGAACAGCTGAAGACACAAATGGATGCAAATAGTACTAAAAGGATATCTTTTGGACATCATTCTTGGTAAAAATATCAGTATTGTATTGTATATTCCAGAGAGGCAAATCTCTCGCTAGCAAAAATGTTCAAGAGAGGGATATTTTGATTAAGCATTTTCTTAAAACTAACATGCACTTTGCTAGTGGATAGTGTTTTAGTTTCGAACCCTGGCAAGGAAAATCTGATTGTGTGATGATCACGTGATAAATCATGAGAGAAATATAATCGCATGCATCCAGTAGGAGGTTTTATTACATTCTTGTTGCTTATTTCCAACTCTGATTGGAGGAGCGAGGTCATGTGATGAGTCTGTAAGTCTGTTACAGACCCCAATTCAAAAAATAGAAAAAAAGCGTTACAAACCTTTGCTAAAACTAGGTTATGATATTTCCAGTTTCCAGGTCTTTATATCTGTTACAGGCCTCTTCTAAAAATAGATTTTGCCTACTGCCAATTTTCCACTCTGGTAGGGAGAGTAGATCTCCTGTAACGAGTTAGTAAATCTTTATACAGACTCGATTCCAAGACAGTGGGGATGAGTGAGATGAATATAAAACATTTGTGGACTTCAGTTTTGTTCTATCTTTAGTTTATTTCTGCCAGTAGATCAGCATTAGTTTCAAACCCTAGGAAGGAAAATCTTGCCAGGGTTCAACGATTATTGTGTAGACCAGGTTCATGAATCAGGGATAGACCTCACATGAAGTCCATAATTGTAGAGTATTTTGGTGTCATGTAATTTATTCTGTCCAATTAGAGGCATTGTTATAAAAATGAGGTATATATTTTGTTTACAGCCCAATAGCCCTTTCCCTGGGCCTAGTTCTAATGAGCTGAACACACCCATCCCTCACCCCACACCAAAGATCCTTAACGGGATCAAACGGGAGAAAGTCGACCCGGAGGATCTCATTGACAATGACAACAACATTGCGCTTAACTTAACAAAACTGAAGACCACAGAACCAACATCCACGACTGACGATGACAGTGATGTCATGGTGATGTCAGTTGATGACCAGAATAAGACCACAGAACAACTCGTCCCCGTAGCGACGGGTCCTTCTCCTGGGCAGCCTGTCGCGGCTAATTTGTTAGTGACAGCCGCCCAGTCTACCACTGTCTCACCGTATGTATGACATGACAGTCACTAAAATTCATCCAATGTAGTAACACTATGTACATCAAAAAAAAAGACTTTTAATTTGTATATAACTTTGATATTAATCGGACCATTTCTTGTGAAGGTAATGGCAGATATGGCTTCATTATAATAAAAATTTGCACGACAAAGCATCATGTTTCTGTGAAGATACTTGAATGAAAAATAGCAGTATATCATAAATTTGTACTCGGTGATTGCACTATGATCACAGGATTATTGCTTTGCTATATAAGCCTTATAATCCTTTGTGGAAAATACCAGAGTTTTCATAGATTTATCTCAGGATAGAAATCTGTGTTTTAAAAAAGTTCTGGAAAATGTTTTACAAGAAAATCCAATGATATATATACCGTATTGTATACACCCTTTGACAGATAAATTTAAAATCATATGTTTGGATACGTCCCTGTACAGTGTTTTACTCACCTGTTTCAGTCCTAAGACGACGATTGGCGTGGCCACACCAGTGATACAGCCTCCGCAGTTTGCCACTTGTATGCAGGTGTTTCTTCAGCTTCCCTCCGGACAGACTGTTCCAGTACAGATCCCCGCCACCATCACCAACCCCGGGATACAGACAATCAATAACCCGGGTGTACAGAATGCATCAAACCCAGGGGTACAGACAGTAGCACCCGGTATACAGACAATCACTAACCCAGGGTTGCAGACCCAGAATTTTACAAATTCCAATGTTCAAAATATTACAAACACCAGTGTCCAGACTCTCATGAACCCCGGGGTGCAGATTATACAAGGGTCGCCGGGCTTGATTCAGAAGATACCCACCCCTGCAGCGGTCACACCTTCCAGTGGCCCATCCCCATCGGTCAGTCCAGCACCTCAGTCCATGCTGACTAATTCACCGGTCAAGCAGCAGCCATCAGGGTCTGGCCTGGCCCAGTCTTCTCTCACCAAACAGGTAAGATTTGTTATAGTACTCTCATCAAAAAGGTACGATTTATTACAGTCTACTCTCACCAAACAGGTAAGATTTGTCATAGTATTTTCACATCAAAAAGGTACGATTTATAACAGTCTACTCTCACTAAACAGGTACAACTTGCCATAGTACTCTCACATCAAAAAGGTATGATTTATAATATTCTTCTCTCACCAAACAGTTAAAACCTGTCCTGTACGCACCAAATTTAGTAAGTTTTTAACATGCCTTGTATTTGTTTTAAATTATATTTATTTGAAGAATTTATAGTGAATGGCATCATTTCTTGTTTTGACAGAGATTAAAAGCTGCCCTTCAACAACAAACAGTGCCATCACCAGGATCACAGAAGGTGTCGTCCCCTGCAACCAGGGTAATACAGATGTCACCTGACCTCAACACAGCCAATCAAATCACAGTAATTTCCAGTACGACCAATTATGCCCAAGGACTCAGTTTGTCGCCTATGTCTGAGACAAGTGTCAGCATAGCATCAGATGCGTCGTCACCTGACACAGACATGCCGCTTCTGTAAGTAGCTATCTATAAATAGAAAAGTCGTAAACATATATGCATAAATTATAAATGTTACTCTGACCATATTAAATGAAAAGAAATATTTAAAAAAAAAACACACTTCAATGATCAAAGAACACATTTAATTCCATGACTGAGCCTTACGTTTTTGCCTTGCTACCACGAAGTAGCAGAAGCGAGACTTAAGGTGGTGCTTTTCTGGTGACGGGGGGTGGGGGGCCTGTCAACATTAAGTTTTTGTGTTAAAGTTAGTTTCACTGAAAGTATAAGTGCTAGACCAACCAAACTTGGACCATAGATGCATCTTAGGTAGACCATCTTAACCCATGCATCAAATGCTAGATGCAGCCTCAAACCTTTCATGGTCCATTGACTTTGTCAGCATCTCCATCAACATTCTGAAGCCATAGGTGCTAGACCAACCAAACTTGACATGTGCATTGATGGTCAAAGCAGGGCACAGGCGAGACATATCAATCTGCATGGCTTGTTGAAATGTACTACACTTGGAATATAAATGCAAGGCATGGCAGTTTAATAAAAAATAAAATAGAAAATTACATGTACAATTCAATCTTTAATAAAACATCATATGAAACCCAACCACTATACAGAAGAACCCAGTATTTCTTTCTGTTATTAAAATTCTTTTTTAACCTTTTCAGAAAAAGAATTAAAAAGGATGAAAACTGTTCAGATGACAGAAGAGTTAAGTTTTTAGAAAGAAATCGGTGAGTATGTGAACAGTTTTCAATTCAAAAGTTTTTCACCTTTCTTAATTTCAGTAAAAACTGCATATCTGAGACAGATTGTAAAGATCATATGAAGTTAGCTGTTGCGAATACCAGTACATATACCCATACAACAAAATCAAAATATTTCTATATCTACAAGTGCAAAAACAAAAAAACAAAAAAAGATATTTTTTTTTATTGATGATTCATGTTTTTATTATTGTTTGAACTTGATGCAAAGTGGGAAAATGTTTGTATTCATGAAGGATAAATATTTTTATGGAAAAAATTCTTCAGATTAACAACAAAAGATTGCTCAGTCACACCCATTCCCGATATAAATATTTATCGTATGAATACTGTGTTATGCATTGTCATAAAGCTATCACATAAATTTTGTTTATGTCATGTGTGTAATATCACTCCGGAAATGACACCACAATCAATTAAGAACAATCGATGTGACGTCAGGTCATTGTGAAGCGGATGCAATTTTCATCTTTCTAGAGGCGGCCAAGTGCAAAATATTTGTTTCAGATCACAATTATACAGTTTACTTTGTATTATTTGATAAAAATAATCTGTCATTCGTTTCCCTCCATATTAGATTTATGATACAAGTTTTGGATTTTTCATGTTTGCTCGCCAGACGAATGACAGATCGTCTATATCGAGAGGGAACACTTTGTTGTGTCCCATCAACCATATGGTTACAGCTTATTCTAATCATTGTTTTAGACAATCAGCAACTATATATTTTCTGTCCCCCCCCCCCCCCCCCCTCCAACACTTTTTTTTATGTGGAGTAGCGACCTAACTTGTAAAATGGTTGTAAACTGAATCTGTGTGTTGTTGATAGTGCTGCGGCTGCGCGGTGTCGACAGAAGAGGAAACACTGGATCACGAACCTAGAGAGGAAAGGAGACGAACTTCAGATGGTCAACAATCGACTGATGGTAACATAATAACTAGTCTTTTAGGGGTCAGGGGTCTCTGTCAAGTCTATCATAAGTGATGTATATATCAATTGGTTTAATGGTACATAATTAAGCATTTAATATATTATGGGAAAGAAAAACTCGTAACTATTATATTTTATCCCTATTTTATTTAAACTCTATTTTATTTACCCTTTTGAACACAAAGACAAATGCAACACGGGGTTAATATAGTAATATAGTTTGGAAAAAAAAATTGACAGGTAGTGAAGTCAGTACTAGTCGGATTTTTTTTGGGAGACAAGAGGATGAACATGGGAAGTGGGGAAAATATCAAAGGTTACAGTGCAAATTTTTGTTCTCTGACTGCATGTACTGTGTAAATAAAATCGTTTGATATTGTGAGTTCTTGGTGTGTTTTTAGTCGGAGATAAACGGTCTGAAGAGCGAAGTGGCCCAGTTGAAAACAGTGCTACTGACTCACAAGGACTGTTCTGTGACAGTGCAGCAGAAATCACAAGGACAGTTTCCTTACCAAGCTTGTAAGTATCCTGTACAGACGATACAGTACGTGAGAGTTTGGTGTTATTTTCAAATTGTTGGCCGACATAAAGAATGAATTTAAAAGAAATATTGAACCAGAAATATACACAGGAGGTATAGTCATAAAGAAGTGGTAACTATAGGCCATCTTACATAATAGCTGTAAACAGAAAGTAGATAAATTCAAGTTTAGATTAATCAAATTATATATTTTGCAATTATTTCATGTTTTGATCAATCTATTGAGTTTATTTATTCTTTTGTTGTTCCAGTTTCGATGCTGGAGAGCACAGTCCCCAGTATGAATGAAGCTGGAGTTATCCTGGAAACCGATGCTTCAGGTACAACGACCGGGACCTCGACAGCAACCTGGGTGACAGCTTCAGCACCAACAGTTATAAAAACCGCTGTGTCAACAGCCACCGCCAGCTCCATATCAGGGCAAAAGACAATAACAATTATACCCAAAGTGATCAGGGCAGAAAGCACAAAACCCATCCGGAAGAAATGACACAGGACTGTCACCATAGTAACCTAATTATTTATAACTTGTTGTCCTGTATACTCTGACCGGCAGCCGTTGACAGCTTATTTCCACGTCTATTGACCCAAATTATTGGTGTTTATCGGATCGGACCAGTTGAAAAGTGCAGAACTTTATTAGGATGAGAAACGATTGGCATTTGGCATGTAGGTATTAGATATCTTTAAGAACACAAGCTTCAGTTAGAGAGGGGAAAAAAGGTATCTAATGATCAAGAAAAACAATACTGAAAAAAAGACATTTTGTGTTCCTTAGAAATATTTCTTAAACAACTTTGTTAAAAATATTGTTTAAGTAAATTATGGTTAAAATTGACTTGTTACCTGGTTAGGTGTTGATGAGTTTTTGTAACCAGCTTAAACAGCAATTATATTTGCTGTGAGGGTTATACTTTTCCTGTTGTTAGTTATAGGTTGGTTTATTAAGGTTTCCAGATAACACAGGGTTCAATTTAGGCAGGTTAAGTTGTGTTAAGTCATAGGTTAAATTATAAAGGTTTCCAGATAACACAGTGTTCAATTGAGGCAGGTTAAGCTGTGTTAAGGTATGGGTTAGTTTATGAAGGTTTTCTGTCGGCTTGTGAAGATAAGGATTACTTTAGAAAACCAACTGCTAGTGTCGACATTATAACAAGATGGACAACAAATGATATAAAATATTTCATCCATTTTGACGACTATTGGGTGTTTTCAAATTTGCCAAATCCATCATTTATAAGTTTCTGCAGTAGTCACAGTGCTCAACATTGCATTTTGTTCGTCTGTTAGATTTGTATTTCATACTGATGGTACCATTTAGAAATCAGTCTTAATGCAGATATAGTTTTGCTTAAATCTTCTTTTTTTTGTGCGTAATTTATTCCCCTCTAATTTGAATTAAGAAATGTTTAAAAATAGAACCAGTATGCACAAAGAAACTCAAAGTTCAATGCTCAAAAGAGCAAGCACTTATCCCTGCTTTGGTAGCGTGAAGCAACTGGTACCGGTTTTCCTCTTGAGAGGACGCCAGTCCTTCGCAGAAATACTTAACACCATGCCGGTACTCATTGGTACGTTTGTGTAGACTGAAGCAATGAGCTGAAGTGTCTTGTTTGTTGACACAAGGTACCTGTAAATTATGGAGTCAATCCCGGACCTTTTTTGTCATCGTTGGTGAATCTACTGTACTCAGATTGCCTTGTCTAATTGTTAAACAGCCTTTACGCCTAATTTGAAAATAATGAATTATGATTCATGTGGAAGGTTAAACCATCGTTATCATTGAATACTATGGACCAAATCCTATACATAAATGGTGTGTACTATATCAAGATATTCCAAAGCCGATTCCTGCTTATGAACAGCACTTGGCTTTGTTACTCAAGAATGTGGTTGTGTGCATCATCATCATCCGCATCACGTTGTACCGATACATCCTTCATCATTGTTCCTGAACCAATCAATGCCTTCTAGTAACAGTCTTATAGCAGTAGATCAAACCATGTACTATATTACGTCCCAGTTGGCCAGTCTGATATTTAAATGTACATGTATGTATACATACTTTAAATGGGAGATGTAAGAATTACAACAGATAAATTTGGACTTAGCTAAAATAATTTCACTATTGGTCATATAATAATTGTTAGATCTGAATGTGGCTTGCGGGTTAAAAATCTGGTATGTCTTACATGCATTTACTGCAGAATTATGTTTGCTGGAACACCTGTTGGCTTGATTATTGTCTCGCTGCGACGAAGTAGCAGAAGTGGGACTAAGGTGTTGCTTTTCTGCCGCTGGCGGCGGCGTCAACATTAAGTTTTTGCGTTTAACTCAGTTTCACTGTGAGTATAAGTGCTAGACCAACCAGACTTGGACCATAGATGTATCTTAGGTAGTACATCTTAACCCATGCATCGCATGCTGGATGCTGCCTACCTTTCATGGTCCATTGACTTTGTCAGCATCTCCATCAAATAAGTTTTTGCGTTTAAGTTAGTTTTTCTGTAACTATAAGTGCTAGACCAACCAGACTTACACCAAAGATTGCATTGATGGTCAAGGTGAGGCACAGGCGAGACATATCAATCCAAATGACTTGTTCATTTACCAAGGTAGTACTTAAAGAAAGTATTAATGGTATTGCCTGCTTCAAGTCGGGCCTGCATGGGTCTATTTTTAAATTACTGCTTTACAGTAATCACTTTCCTGATTAACATAGTGGTCTGTGGGAATTAATTGATCCTGTGGTCCGTGTAACATAGCTTTTTGAAGCATGGTCATATGAACTGCGTTTAATGCTGGAAACTGTGATGTTTTTGACCCCCCCACCCCTGAATTTTAGCTGTGAGATCTTCATTATCAATTCAGTTGCCAGTGCTGATATTGCTATACTGTACAGTGTATATTGTAAAAAAAATCTAATTTATCAATTATAACCCCATGAATGCCAATGGCCTACCTGTTTAAATTGGAAATAAAGTTGGGCAAAAAATGTACCATCTGTCAAGATCTGTGATTCCATAATTAAGGTTTGATATATAGCTGAGTGTTATTTAACTGTTTTCTGAGTCTTAATGCTTTTGTTCAACGATATACAATTGTTAACTATAACCATTAAATCTGTTGATTTTAACCTGTCATGAGTTACGGTGATTACCATTGTGATTTATCTTTTCGAATGTTAAGAGTTATTCGTATATATGAAATATGGATAAAAGGGACCCTGCAATAAAAATGATATCTTTCACTGCAGACAAAATTGCAAAAAGATGTTTAGAATTAAAAAAAAAAACCAGTTACATGTGACAAAAGCGGTACAAAATAGAGGGTTGATGTGCTGGACTATGTACATTCTTATTTCCCACAAACAATATACATGTACAGGGCAGCTGTGTAGCACTTACATGTGTATTGCTGGAGATAATATTTTTGCTATAAAATTTGAGGCTTTAAATATATGCAAAGAATAAACCCAAAGATTAAGGAATTTTGAACCAGGTATTGACTATTGACAGTATTGCTCTACACATTTTAGGACTATTGCCTGTTGCTGGTGCTGCATGAAATGCATACCCCGGGTAATTTGTTCCAGGAACAACATGACTTAAGTTTGACCTACAGAATTTAAACGCAGTGCAGAAATGTATGTACTAAAGCAAATTGTTCCTGGAACAAAATCTCAAAATGTTGACCTGCTGATTCTAACTCATTCACCCTTGAAATTTTATAATGAACTATTCCAACCTTTGAATTGGAAGAGCTTAAATGTGTCTTCAGGGGTGAATGAGTTAAACACTGCAGAACAGACATTTAAAAAAAAAAAAAAGTTAACGAAAGCTTTTAACTTTTTACTGCAATCGGTTTCACCAACATGTTTTAACCAGTTTTATAAGTGGAGTAATTGTAGCCATTTTACATTTATTTTATACTTATTCAGTGCAATCTACTTTTAAAAAGTTTTTTTGACTGAATGAAATTTTAGCATAGGTAAGGTTGATGGTTGCCATGGCAATTGTATGGCTTTGTTGTTGGTTTCCATGGTAACTGTGATGTCACGTTGTTGCCCCTCACTGTGTGTGTTAGGATGGTTATAGGACACTGCTGTGTACCTGCCCAGCACACCTTGTCAGCTGTTTGTGATAAACAAATTGTTTTTATTCTTAAATATTATAATTACGATTACATTTCTTACGTCTAGTTTACGTATCTGGTATAAGTGTAATATTTTCGTCATATTTCACCCTAGGGTCTTTCACACAAAAAATTCACTGAGAGTAAACATGTACATTACCCTCCTATTGGTGATTTTGTTTATTAATATTATCTACAAAATTCTCATACAAAATCTTTTTTTATTTTTGTGGCTCCTGTGAGATTCAAGCTGTTCCAGGGTGAAAATGTAAGAATTTCAAGAAGACAGAATTTTTTTTCTATTCTTCGGCCATTATGTTTCCAAAATCTTTTCTTGAAAGTCAATTAGGATTCATTGAGACCCTTTGTTTCCTTGAAAGTAACTGGTACGCACAATGTACAGCAATCATGATCATATCTTTTCACGTTCATAACTACATACCTTCCTGGCAGACATATACACTGATACGAAGTTTCTGTGACGACTTATTATTGGCGATATATTTTATTGTATTTGTTTGATTGCTGTTACGATGTTGAGAGATTTATTATTCCATTAATCCTGTATATTGTTGATTATATGTAAGATGCATGTCCAAGATCTGAATTTGTGTAACTTGGCCGATAATTATTATTTGCTAGAAAACTCTGGGATCAATCGCTTTATTCCTAAAACTGTACTTCTTACTCGATAGTGTATGCCATTTATTTATTAGAACTCATTTCATAACATAAGGATGTCCATTTGTATATCAGTTAAGGAGATATGCGACGTAAATATTAAGGAGATATGCTACGTAAAAATATTAAGGAGATAAATGCTACATAAATATAACACATCTGTCGTGTCGCTGCACAGAATGCGTGTATTATCTTCTCAGAATGGTAATTTTAACTTTGATTCAGTGACATACAATGCAGGCATTGAAAATGTTCACATACTTAGAAATTAATATTTTTATGATTAGAAATGCTATTTTTTTTCTAAAATGCTTTAAAACATATCAAATGATTCTGGTTCATGTCATTAAATGAGACGTGTTGATGTTTTCATTTAGAATTAATTATTTCCTCACAGTGTAAAGTCCTTCAATTCATAATTTTTTCTTATATCAAAGGAGAGCAGAAAACTGAGAATTAAAGAGTAGCACAATGAAAGATATATGTAATATCCTTTGTATCAGATTCAGATAACGGAATAAGAAATTGTAAAAAAAAAGGTAATGATTACATGCATTCTTGTTAATTGTTTTACAGGAATTATCTGTAGGCTTGTTCACTTGGCATTACTTCTAGGCTTGTTCATGGTTTTACAGGCATTGTCTGTAGGCTTGTTCATGGTTCTACAGGCAATGCCTGTAGCCTTGTTCATGGTGTTACAGGCAATGCCTGTAATCTTGTTCATGGTTTTACAGGCAATGCCTGTATGCTTGTTCATGGCTACTGTGATTATTAGACTCAACAAATCTTGTCATCAGGACAAAGTTTGTTTGCTTCAAACCATGAACAAGCATACAGGCATTGCCTGTAAAACCATGAACAAGCATACAGGCATTGCCTGTAAAACCATGAACAAGCACACAGGCATTGCCTGTAGAACCATGAACAAACCTACAGACATTGCCTGTAAAACCATGACCCAGCCTACAGGCATTTTATGTAGGCTCATTCGGGGTTTGACAGGCAATGCCTGTATGCTTGTTCATGGCTACTGTGATTATTAGACTCAACAAATCTTGTCATCAGGACAAAGTTTGTTTGCTTCAAACCATGAACAAGCATACAGGCATTGCCTGTAAAACCATGAAAAAGCCTACAGGCAATGCCTGTAACACCATAAACAAGCCTACAGGCATTGCCTGTAAAACCGTGAACAAGCTTACAGGCATTGCCTGTAACACGATGAACAAGCCTACAGGCATTGCCTGTAACACCATTAACAAGTGAGCAGTAGGCTTGTTCATGGTTTTACAGGCATTGCCTGCTCACTTGTTAATGGGGTTACAGGCAATGCCTGTAGGCTTGTTCATGGGGTTACAGGCATTGCCTGCTCACTTGTTAATGGGGTTACAGGCAATGCCTGTAGGCTGGTTCATATTTTTACAATTGTTTTACAGGAATTATCTGTAGGCTTGTTCACTTGGAATTACTTCTAGGCTTGTTCATGGTTTTACAGGCATTGCCTGTAGGCTTGGTCATGGTTTTACAGGCAATGCCTGTATGCTTGTTCATGGCTACTGTGATTATTAGACTCAACAAATCTTGTCATCAGGACAAAGTTTGTTTGCTTCAAACCATGAACAAGCTTACAGGCATTGCCCGTAGAACCATGAAAAAGCCTACAGGCAATGCCTGTAACACCATAAACAAGCCTACAGGCATTGCCTGTAAAACCGTGAACAAGCTTACAGGCATTGCCTGTAACATCATGAACAAGCCTACAGGCATTGCCTGTAGACCCATGAACAAGCCTACAGGCAATGCCTGTAACACCATAAACAAGCCTACAGGCATTGCCTGTAGACCCATGAACAAGCCTACAGGCAATGCCTGTGAAACCATGAACAAGTCTACAGACAATGCCTGTAAAACCATGAACAAGCCTAGAAGTAATGCCAAGTGAACAAGCCTACAGAAGCTATGCAACAAGTACAGTGAAGCCTACGTACGATTCCTGTAAAAATATGACCCAGCCTACAGGCATTGCCTGTAACACTATTAACAAGTGAGCAGGCAATGCCTGTAACCCCAGGAACAAGCCTACAGGCATTGCCTGTAAAACCGTGAACAAGCTTACAGGCATTGCCTGTAAAACCATGACCAAGCCTACAGGCAATGCCTGTAACACCATAAACAAGCCTACAGGCATTGCCTGTAGAATCATGAACAAGCCTACAGACAATGCCTGTAAACCCATGAACAAGCCTACAGACAATGCCTGGAGGCCATGAACAAGCATACAGGCATTGCCTGTCAAACCCCGAATGAGCCTACATAAAATGCCTGTAGGCTGGGTCATGGTTTTACAGGCAATGTCTGTAGGCTTGTTCATGGTTCTACAGGAAATGCCTGTAGGCTTGTTCATGGTGTTACAGGCATTGCCTGCTCACTTGTTAATGGTGTTACAGGCAATGCCTGTAGGCTGGTTCATATTTTTACAGGAATCGTACGTAGGCTTCACTGTACTTGTTGCATAGCTTCCTTACATGATTTTGTTACCTTTCATTTGTGAGTATCACAATCTTGCAATAAATGTTGATGATTTCACTTGATGCACTTGTCTTTGTTGTATTGTTTACCTATAACGTCAACAGTCCCAGTTCACTTTTTTTCTGAATGGTTTTAAGACTTATTGATGAGTACACAGGATTTGATGACATTTGAAAAGTACACAAGATTTGATGACTCATTTTGATCGATAGCTACACAGAAAATGATGACACGTTTGAAAGGTACTCTGCTTAGGGTAGCATGAATTCTTGTTTTTTAAGTGGTGTTGATCTTCTGTCTTCATTGTAACATTAAGAAGTCGGACCTATATCTCTACTCTCATATCTACTTGTTCTCTTTTTGGCAGTCTGTCTAAACACCCCTGGTTTGCTTGTCATCATAAAACTAGACATCTATGGTTTGCCCATTGTCAATATGGTGAATATATTACCAGGCCTCCGGCTGTCATCTTTTTCTTTTTAACGACTTCTGAAGAACTGGAGGACCTAGGGTCATGATATTTGGCCAGTCGGTATTTTTTTTTTTAATTACAGTAATGAGGTCAAAATTCAAGTGCTAGTCAGGGGTCAAAGGCCAACATGGGTTAAAAGCTTTAAACAATCTGCTTCTCAAGTTTCATAAGGCCCAGGGTCATGATATTTGGCCAGTAGGTACCTGTTATGGAGTGCTATAATATTTCCTCACTAAAATGACCTTGACCTACTTTCAAGGTCACAGGGGTCAAATATGGTAAAAATTCAGACACCAATATCCTAAGAACCATTTAGACTAGAGTCATGATATTTGGGTATGTTATGAAGACTAGCAGTGCAAATCTTTTTTTCTTTATTACAGTAATGAGGTCAAATGTCAACTTTAAGTGCTAGTCAGTGCAAATCTTGGGGTCAAAGGCCAACATTGGTTAAAAGCTTTAAACAATCTTCTCAAGATCCATAAGGCCCAGGGTCATGATATTTGGCCAGTAGGTACCTGGGATGGAATGCTATAAAGTTTCTTGATTAAAATGACCTTGACCTCCTTTCAAGGTCACAGGGGTCAAATATGTTAAAAATTTCAAACACCAATATACTAAGAACCATTTAGACTAGAGGCATGATACTTGGGTATGTTAAAAAGACCAGCGGTGCAGAGCTTTTTCTTTATTACAGTAATGAGGTCAACTTTAAGTGCTAGTCACAGAGGTCAAAGGTCAACTAGGGTTAAAAACTTTAACAATCTTCTTCCAAGTTCCATAAGGCCCAGGGTCATGATATTTGGCCAGTAAGTCCTGGGATGGAGTGCTATTAAGTTTCCTCATTAAAATGACATTGACCTACTTTCAAGGTCACAGGGGTCAAATATGTAAAAAAAAACAAAAAAACAATATCCTAAGAACCATTTAGACTAGAGTCATGATACTTGGGTATGTTAAAAAGTCCAGCAGTGCGAATCTTGTTTTTAACTACAGTAATGAGGTCAAATATCAACTTTAAGTGCTAGTCCAGAGTCAAAGGTCAACATGGTTTAAAAGCTTTAACAATCTTCTCAAGTTCCATAAGGCCCAGAGTTATGATATTTGGCCAGTAGGTACCTGGTATGGAGTGCTATAAAACTTCCTCACTAAAATGACCTTGACCTACTTTCGAGGTCACATGGGTCAAATATGTTAAAAATTCAAACAACAATATCTTAAGAACTTTTAAGGTCAAAGGTCAACTTTAAGTGCTAGCTGGAGTCAAAGGTCAACATGGGTTAAAAGCTTAAAAATTTAAATGTAAAATTTCAACAACAATATCTTAAGAACTGTTTAAGAGATGTTAAAATGTCTTGTGTTCTAGTTACTAAATTTGGTCTGAAGTAAATATGTCAGTTTCATGTAACAAAAGAAAAACAGGTGAGCGCTACAGGCCTCTGGGCCTCTTGTTATTCTTCCATGTCCAGGCAATGGCATTGAAGTAAAATTATAACAATTGAAAATGAGTCTCATCTTACGACACCCTCTTCAACTGTTACGAATCCCCTCAACAATGTCAGGTCCTGCCCACTTTAACTACAAGACATTCTAAATTTAAACTTGGAGTGGAGCTTAGTGGATATCTCCACACATGCAGTGACTTCAGTGTCGTATGCCTGATTAAATAGAGTCTCCATTTTGGTATACAAAACCAGGTCTTAAGTCCATAATTGAAACAGCGGTCAAGATAAGCTCTGGAAATCTGTATTTAGCAACTTAAGTTCAAGGTAAAAGGTCAAATGGGGGAATGCGTCCCCATTTCCACGACTGAAACTTTGCTTTCTCATGATGTACCTACATACATAGTCTGAAGTCTACACATGAAAAAGTGACAGAGATATGCTCCAGAATAATGTATCTTGGAACTTCGGGTCAAGGTCAAAGGTCAAATAGAGATGGTGGTGTTCCAATTTCCATACAAAAAAAACAGTCTCTCTTCATGATGAACCCATATACACGTACCAAGTCCAGAGTCAATGCATGTAATACATGGAAACCTGTTTTAGGTAACCAAAGTCAAGGTTAAAGGTCAAAAAGAGGTTGTGGTGATCCAATTTTTGTATGTGGCACATACAAAGTCTGTATAGTCCATACAAGAAACGGTGGCCGAGAGATGCTCTGGAAACTGGGACAGATGTAGTGTACTATATATATACATTACACTCTGTCCAATACAAAATGTTGTCTAAATCAGCAAGATAATTTGGTTTTTACAATGAAAATGTAAAACAAGCAAGAAAACTGTAGATACCATGAACACTCTTTAAATTGACCAAATAATGGTGTTTGGACAGAGCACACTGTACCCCTGCAGCTGTGTTCAAAGCCTGGGTATATGTGTAAAAGATGTGGATTAATTAGGTTGCCTTACAAGCGTCAGCTGTCGGGAATTTCCCTTTAGCTCAGCGGTAGAGCATTGGGCTGGAGATCCAAGGGTCACGGGTTCGAGCCACAGCGACGGCACTATCTTTATCACTATTCCTCGTCCTATTACAAATTGGTGCCGTTGACCCTCCCCGTTCAAGGTAGGAGAACCCCGGGCAGGGAGTCAAAGAACCTGGGTTGGTGTTTGAAAAAAGGGGGGAATAGTGTAAAGGATGTGGATTAATAAACCTGCCTTACATGCGTCAGCTGTAGGGAATTTCCCTTTAGCTCAGCGGTAGAGCATCGGGCTGGAGAGCCAAGGGTCGCAGGTTCGAGCCCCGACGACGGCACTATCTTAATCACTATTCCTCGTCCTATTACATAAGTATATACGTATATCAGTTCAACAGCATAGTCTCTAAATAAAGACAAAACACCTGATTACCTTGGCTAATATTTATTGCTAGCACAATCCTACTGGTCACATTATACAAACACTCGTTCACCCTTACACCATATATATATATATACTTAGTCTCCATTCTCATCAGCATAAACAAAAAATAATATCAACCTCAAGTAACAGAATTAATAACAGGGATACATGCACCAATGTTTCCGATATTAAGTAGCAAACATTTATTTTTTAAATTCAAAAGAGACTTGAAAAATAACTTTTTTTCTTCACAATATTGATCATTCCAGTACTACATGTACTTGTTTAGTATGACAATTCAAAACCATCTACTTTCATAAAAGCTTGGAAAACCTAATACAAATTTTGTTTCTTTGTCAATTACAGTAAGGTGGCAAGAATGAAGAATATATTACAACAATAATCGCAGTTAAAATAATGTAATATTTCTACCGTAATAATATTTGACTAGATGTTGTTAAACAATGCTAAAATCTTGTTCCATCGCAATAAATACCACTTTTGTGGTGAAGCACTATTAGCAGTATAGGTTCTCTGTCAAAAATGTGAAATAAAAATGATATACATTTAATATTCTGTTTACGTAATTCATAAATATTGTATGCTTTCAGATTTGCTCCTGGAACAAATCTTGCAGGGTATAAATTTTGCACAAAATCATAAATGTTGAAAAATCCTGCCTAACTTTTTATATCAGAAGCGCAATGAATTAAGCAAATTCTGTTTTAGCAAACTTAAAAATCTAAGAGCTATAGTATAGGTTACAAGCCCCTGTGATTACAGTAGATATTATAAGCCCCTGTGATGGGTATAATATTAAGATTTTACCGAAAATACATACAATGTAATAAATTCACGACATTCATATGCTTACTACTCGGGTAGCCCCCCGGTACTTTAGCCTTGTCTGTAATAAAGATGTATTGACGGACAAAACTAGTACCTGTACTACATGTTTCTAGTACACATCAGTTCATTTGGCATTGAAATGAATTTGATATTGATATGATAAATAGCAACACAGTCGACAAACTGATAATCAGCTTTGATTCAGAAAATTCTTTTACCCCACATCATTTATCAAAATGTAAAATATGAAGGAATGCATGTCAATTCCATGGTAAATAATGGTATGCATGGATGGGTATATATAGAAGAAATCATTTAATAAACGTAAATGGTCACAAATATATGAACAGATACTCTCTATATACAACACAGGATTTCACTCTACTGACTATGTATACAGTCATTACCACCATGTATATCACAAGAGATCCAAAAACTTCGCATCAATGTATGACTTTAATTCATAACAGACTATATAAACACCAAATGAGCCAAATGAAACTCTGGAAGAACCAACCATTTTAAGATATTCTTTCAATATTACAATTTGAATAATAATTATTTGAATATATTCTGTTTTCCAGAAAGGATAAAAGTATGCCAGACACAGTATGTTTTGCTTAATATTACTTGTCATTTGTCAGCGCGAGACATGATGTTAATCGGAATGTACATCCTTAGGGCTATTCCAGTAAAAATCTACCAGACCCGAGTCCCTAAGATAAAAAGAAATTTCCATGGTCAGGTTCCTGCCTACAACTTCCATATGTAAATAATTAATTTGATTTTAAGGGTGGTGCTCCCATATCAAAACCTGAAGTTCTGGGGGCGGGATAGATTTTTTACTGAAATAGCCCTCATACATTTGTTTGTTTTGTTGAAATCAAAGCAGTTTCATATAAAATTTGTGCAGTTTTAACGTCCAGATGCAGGGTTGGTTCTGTATTCTGGTATACACTACCAAAATGCTGGAATACATATTAAATACAGGTACAATGATAATTTGTTCAATATTCTAAATTGCTGTGCCTAATTGATGTGGAACCTCATCGCATATCTTCAGAGGAGAACATACCCTGGAAAGAGAAACAAGGCAAACATACTGTAAAGCTGCCAATCTTAAACCACAGAAGTTATATAGAAACCCTGTAATACATTAGATCTCACTTGTATGAAATCCTGTAATTAATCAGGTCTCACTTGTATGAAATCCTGTATTGAATCAGGTCTAACTTGTATGAAATCCTGTAATAAATCAAGTCAAACTTGTATGAAATCCTGTATCAGCCTCATTTGTATGAAATATTTTTTGGTAGTGGTAACATTATAAACACACTAAGAGCTTTTCTATATATATATAAATATATGGGAGCACATCTTATATATATATATATATAATATGTAATTAAAGTTCCTGCATGCATCCCCCTCTAAAATTTATTTACGGGTATATTTGCTTTCAATTTCATTTTCTTGTCATAGAAGCCTTTTGCTTGGCTGTAATTTATAGTTATCAGACTCTGGCGCTTGCTCAGTTACAAACAAAAGACTTGGTCACTGATCAACAAACGTCGTAGGCATAAGGTTGCGTTGATACAGTCTACAGGGGATCTANAGTTTCCACCCTTCGTAATACACATGTTTTTCTTGTCGTATTTTCGTGTCGTCATTTCCGTATTGCGTATCGGGCATTCCATTACCGTGGTGTAAATTATAGTAACACCGGGTAAACAATAGTACACGTGCGTGACGTGATATGTCAACACCTGATATCTAGACTTAACTTGGAAATGTGTTATCACATGTACTTCAGAAATAAAGCTTATGATACAAAGACATTAATTAACTCACGGGAAAACACTGACATAGGATCAGACGACTTCAAGAAGGTCGTATATGAGGCGCCTGGAATGCAGACTGATATGTTTTGTTTACCGACCTCACCTGTACGTATCACGTGCATAATTAGTTCAAAAGCTCTTAGTCGCTATGACTTTTGTTGTCGAGCGAGTTACCCTCTGTCAGATAAATCGGTTCACAAATGCAATTACAATAACTCTGTGAAAATAGTGGTTTGTAAAATATCAAGATCCCTATAAAATGCAAGTGCATGTGCGTGCACGTAATAACGGCATACCATGCGATAGCCTATGGTTACATATGTACCTGACATGTGTTATTATACCATGCGTAGACGAGAGTAAATTTTTTTCCATAAAAGAACAGTAAATTGACAACTAAATATAGGAATTTAATTTATTTCCGTCGTTTTTGGTATATTAAATGAAATAAGTGTCATTGTATAAATTCTATCCCTCTGCAAAAAGTTCCGATTTTTTTCAAGGTAGACAACTCTCATCAGGATCAAAATAATTGTAAAATGTAAAATAAATTAATCATAAAGACTTTGTGTGTATTTGGTTCAATTTTTCACTCTTTTTGTATGTAACTATGTGTCCTGTTTGATTTTGGCTTGTATTTAGTAACTTTTATCCATATAGTTTCAATAAAAAACGCTTTTTGTAACATGTTGGAGATATTTTATGATAAATAAAATATTTGTAGGGTTGATTAGCAATGTTTCTTTTCATTATTTTATTGTTGTAATAGTTTTGAACAATGCCACACGATCAAAAAATGTGAAAGTTTAGAATTTGACAAAAATTCAATTTTTCGGTATTTTTTACAAATAAATCCCCAGTTTATCGGAATGCTTAGATTTTCATAAAATCATCTCTACATAGTGACATAACCATCATATGAAACTTTCATTGAATTCTGATGGCTAATTGCGAAAGGGTGGAGCCTCCTTAAACCACTTAAAATGAGATCTTAAAAGTAACTTCATACTAATTCTTATGTCAGTTGTTAGCTTTCACAACCAACACAATCATCAATTTTAGTGGTCACAATCATTACATGCAATTTTTGCCATGTGTCAAAATCTCTGATTTTCATTTTTTTACAATTAAAGAATGTGAAAATTACTTTATAATAAAACTTGGCCATTATTGAATTGTTTCTTAGACTGTGGCTCAAGTTTGGATTTAAATATTTACAAAACCCTCTCAAGTTTATCCAGATTGGTAATTAGGTAGTTAAGTGGTGGTACTGACCTTTGCTCGTCGGAGAATGGAGTCTTTACTGGCGTCGTAGGGGGCATCTTTACTGGGGATTTCTAGAACAGCTGGCAACGGCTCATTATGTGTGTCTATCACAAACCGGATTTCCTCAGCTATCTGAAAATATAATCAAAAAAATTTCATTTGCTTCATACAAAAAATAAAAAATAAAAAAAAACCCAAAGTCTTGTTTATTTACTGCTTCCTGCATGAAGTGTACACTTACTTGTGTTTAAGGGTATGTACATGTACCCCATTTTTCAAAAGAGTTCTATTCTAACAAATCTGTAAAATATCCTTTATAAATGTTTATTTTTATTTGGTGCAAGAAATATTGGTGATTCCTTTCAAAAGTATACAAGGAATGTCAGCTTGAATTTGTTAGCACTCGTGTATGGATATAGTTCTGAACTATTACAAATAAAATTGTTAAAAGTTTTAAATGAATTTTACTTTAAACAAAAATCATGTATATTGTGTAAATTAGCATGCAAGCATCAGATAATGATTAAAATTGACCTATATCGTATCAACATATGCACTCCTGTAATCCTTTCAAATCATACAGAACTCTTTGGAAAGGAGATTTTTGGCAAAATAAGGTAGCAGGTAGCCTTATTAAGGAACATTATATCAGGTTCCATAACTCTTCACTTACTGTCTGATTGATCAGAATAATGGCTATATCGTCCCTCTTCAGAAAACCACGAAATGTTTCTTCTATGTCATGTCGACTGGTGTCTGTAGAAATTTCCAAGAAAAAGTCACATTGAAGAAAATGGAATTAAAATTCTCACAGATTGTAATAATTAAAACAAATGTACACTCACAGTATCTTTTTTATATTCTCTTAAGTCCTTGGTGCACAAAACAATTTACCCATAAAAGTGAAAACACCAGGGCTCACACTGTTGGTAACCAAAGTAGCCATTGGCTATTTTTATTTCCAATTGGCTACTAAAAAAAGATGATGTGGCTACTAAATTGGCTACTAGATTTTTTTTAAATGTGGAAAATCTGGATCTTTGTCCTTGAAAACGAAATGTCTACTTGTGTGTATGGTGGCAGACACCAATTATATATGTATACATAATCAGGGCCGTCACAGTTTTGAGCCTGCTGTACGTACAACTGCGAGGCAATGCTACCAGAATCACACTTGGCTACTTTTCCGTCTATTGATTTTTTAAGTCCAGATTCCCTAGTGGGTGAGCTCTGACACACTTGTCATGCACACTGAATGTGTCCTTACTTTTATCCACCACAAGGAAGTTTGGCTCTCTCTTCTTGTTAAGCTCACCCACACCACCAAGGAGGAACCCCGTACATGTATCCTGTAAATGTAAACAAATAAAATTTCATTCATAAAAGCTTATAAAGTATAATATAGTTTCTGGAATCTTTCCATATATTATTCATGCTTTTTGCTCCGACTTCCCTGTCCTTTCATCCTCAATATCCAGGGGCTATTTGTGCTCACTTTCGCTCTCTGCAGCCTTGGAATAGCAAAATTGAAGGCTCATCAGTGTGTACCACCTTGTGGGTGAGACAAGAAGACTAGTTTGATCCTTTGATGTACATTTCGTGGTCACGTAGCGGTAATTTTATTTTTTACCCGAGACCAATCAAACATCTTTCTTTGTGCCTTCAATTTTGCTCTGACATATTCCAGGGGTGCAGAGAGCGAAAGTGAGCGAAAGTGAGCGTAACTCCTGGATATCGCGGATGCTGTCCTTTGAGTATTTGACAAATGATTGACCCCTAATTATGTATATTTGTCTATCAAGATATTCAGTTCAAAACTTGTGAGATGTACATGTAGTATGGAAATTGATTTCTTAGAATATCTGTTCAATTTGTATGTACCATTTTAATTAAACGTTTAACGATAGAAACTGTTTCCCTCCAATCCATGTATGCTACAAGGCAAGTAAACCTATCATCTGAATGTCCCAAAAACTTTCCTACACTACATATGATCATACACTACACATGATCATACACTACATATGATTGCAGCCCAGTGTTAAATACAATGTATACGGGAACATGTATTAGTTATACAATGTACATATATAAATATATACTATGACGTAATACACTGTGCTGTATGTCTTGTCTATGTCCTGTTTCATAAATGTCTGTGGGCGTGTCAGAATCTGTTTGTGTACTTGACTGGACACCGGATGATTGACCAGTCGACAGGTGACCTCACTGCACGGATATTTCACGCGAATTTCCTGTCACCACAACATGCATCGTATATAAAGTCCAAGGGCCCCAGGACACGGGTCTGCAATATTCACTGACGTCCTGCGATTGATGTTAGTATCTATATATAAATAAACGTACTTTGTATTCTATACGACAGCTGTTCCCGGTATGTATTACTGTATTTAATTACCTATAATTATCTTTATATGTAAGACATATCACTGTCGATATATTCTTTTCTATTTCGTTTATATGTTCCGTTCATATACTCTGGTTATACATTCCGTAGTATTTTATGTTGGTGCAAAGTAATTTCATATGTATTGTCTTGTAGGTTTTCTTTGTATGTCCTCATCGTTAGTCCGCAAATTATATGAAAGATCATCAAATTCATATATGGAGTTTGCCTTATGTTTCCAAAATCCTGACACAAGGCTAAATGATGATAGATATACATTTGTACCTATAACATGTAATTATGTATCTTCAGAATTAATCTTGTTGCTTTTGTATCAGGCAAGCACAATATTCCAAGTTCTGAAATTATGTGTAAACAGCATCAATCAGGGGCAGTAATATAATCTCAGGGTTGTAACCAAACCAATTTTACCACTAACCCATAAAATTTTGAATAGAAATTTTCAGGTATCGAATGTTCATATACATACATATTTATCAAAAACTTGAAATGGAAATTATTTCTGGGGGGCTCTATTATTTTATTACGCTAAAAATGTTTCCAGAAAGACATTTTTCGGCAATAATAATTGCTACAAATCAAAGCAGTCAGATCGCGAGCACTTGGGTGTTCATTTTTATTCCAGGTTGTATTTGCAAAGCAGGACATATCAATCCTTGTAAATTGGGATATTCTTTGAATGGCTGCCCCTTATAAAAGAGATGATCCCCAAAACTACAGTACATGTAGCAAGGCCTACTGTACTGTAGACTGCAGTTGTTTATTTGTGATATGATTAAAATGTACATTAATACATATTATCTTGCAGTTCATCAGTTTAAATGTAATGTTCGTGGTTGGACTTAAGTTTTATATTCATTGTTTAAGGACAGATATGAAAATTTGGTCAAAAATCCATTTCCTGGTGATGGTGACAACACAGGCATGTGTTATCTCTTGTGACCTGCAAACTGCCAGCCGGCAGCAAGTACATTCATCACCTTCATAAATACAGTTCCTGCCAAAGTCTTCCTCAGAAATGTCGCCAACGTTCCAGACACGCATGTTCTTACTGTTGTAACTGTTAATTATTTGTCATACGTTACCTCGTCGCCAATAACAGCTATCAGTTTTCCTTTCACACCGCTGTGGGACATTTTGACAACTTGCAAATCATGTGATTATGATAGTGGTTTAAAACAGACAAATCAAATACGGAGAAGGAGTTTTTCCGGATTTCTATAAGAAAAATATACATAATAAAATATCTTAAAATTAACATTTAAATGACAAAATAACCATATGTTTCTACTTTAACATATTTGAAATGAAATTCTATAAAAACAAATAATTTTGGTATTTCTGTATTTTTACGGTATATAAAATAAAAAAAAACACGTCGGATATTATATCCAGCAATCTTTTTATTATCTAATCCTAGATTCTTTCGGAACTCTCTTTATTTTCTGATAATCTCAGAGGTTTACGAAGGTCAACAAGGATTCTGCTTTACGTGTCCCTGCGGTTTGACAGGTGCTCCGCAGAAAGATGACGAAAGGAAGATTACATGGACATGTTAGATAATTGGTATGCTATAATCATGTTCTCTTATGTTTTTCCTTTGAATGTCTTATGAATATCGCAGGCATAGGAGCTCACGCCCCTAATATCCGACCTAAGGCTTCCACAGTAACTCTGGAAAATGATTTGTAAAATGGATTCAACAACAGGAGTTTGACGTTATGTCAATATTATATAATATTTTAATTTAAGATAAACACCACACGTACTATGTGGGTTTTTTAAAAGTTAAGGGGTATTTTTTAATCTAGACAATACTATGCTGATCTAACCGTCAAACTCCTGTGATTCAACAGTTGCGAAATGAAAGAAAAACTGAAACTGACTGTAAAGCAGTAGATTGGTCCCGTGGATTGGTCCGTCTGGAGTCCCCAAGGGACCTGTCTTAGGCCCACTGCTCTTCTTGATCTTCATCAACTACTTGCCATCATCAGTCTCATCAACTACACGACTTTTCGCAGATGACTGCCTGATATACAGGAGGATCAAGTCGCCAGAGCTTGTCAGGCCATCCTACAGATAAACCTCAACAAGCTTCAACATTGGGAGGACCAATGGCTAATGCTGTTCAAACCAGATAAGTGTGAAGTGCTGCAGGTTACAAACCAGAAGACCCCACTGCTTGCTGACTACTCGATCCATGGCCAGGTACTGAACACGGTTGACTCTGCAAAATACTTCAGCTTGACATTTCACAAGAGTCTCAGCTGGGACAAGCACATAGACAAGATCACCAAGAAGGCGAACTCCACCTAGGCTTTCCTAGGCAGAAATATCAGCCCAACCAACATCAGAAACAGTGCTACTCCACGCTAGTGTGACCCACCATTGAATACACCTCTAGCGTGGGGAGTCCAGCTATAAGAAGAACATCACCAAAATTGAGGATGTGCAGCGTAGGGCAGCTAGATTCGCTACTGGAGATTACCAGCGCATAAGCAGTATAACATCTATGCTACAGCAACTCCAGTGGCAGTCACTCCAGAAAAAGAAGAAGAAGAACCTGTCTATTTCTTGTGTTTGTGCATCATAGTGTGACAGTTAAGATACATGACCCTCATTATTGCCTGCATTTATGTGTAACTGCACATGTGTGATTGAGCAGATGAAATGGGACAAGTGTATGCTGGATATTTCCTATGTCAGGCTAATTAAAAGTTGTTCAAGACTCAATTTCAATAATTACCGGAACAAGGATGTTAAGCCCCATAATGGTCAGTTCTTCTGCCAGAGAAACCCATCTTATGTTTGTCAAAAACTGCAGACCCCATATACTACATGTATGTTTTAAGCCATGGTAAAATTCTGATTATTTCTTCCAAAGCTGTTTATTCTGAACGGCTAGAATAGCCCAAGTTTCTATTGTTATTAAGGTTTTAGACAGTTAAAATTTCACTTTATATGTATACCATAGAAGAAGAAGTTTTAAAACATAACCAATTATTTATCTGCCGGTACATGTGTCAGTAAGACTTGCCTCTTCTTGCAGTGTATGCAATAAACACAACAGGATAAATGCCATGGGACTAGACTGGGATTCAGACAGGACCTCAATACTCTAGAATTAAACGGTTTTCACCACCGTTTTTTACATTTTGTAAAAAAAAACCACGAAACCTGTAATATACTAAAATAAATACAGAATCATCCATCAACACGCATTCAGAAGTGTCCTGTTATCTAGGTATAGGCAATCAAAGGTGACCGCTCCTTACTGGTGCGAATTTTAATGAGCTGACGGGTCATGTGGTACTTGCATTTTGTGGCACGTCTGGGTCACTGGTCCATATAACAGTAGCTAGGGTTCAGGAGCTACACCCCTTCAATATATTTCTGATTTGTTTCAATTGACACGTCTGACATTGTGATTCTTGGCATGAACTACATATACATACTTAATACAATTTAGGTTGAAGATAGGACGAAGACAAATCACTATATTTACGTAAACAAAATACCTCGGAGGACGATTCTGATATAGCAAGGACGTAAGATGTATATAAGATACACATAGCACAGCGGCTACACAGAATGAAAACTCCATATATCACTTAATTGATTTAAAACAAAATGATATGACATAAGAGCCAGTTTAATCATGTGACTTTTCAGAGTCATATATTTGCAATGTAATCTTCTGAAATGTTCTGAAATCTGCTGATAAATCGTATGTATTCCTCCTGTATGTATACATGTATACTTAATATCCAATGTAACGTTACATATCCACGTCTAAAAGTGAAATTTTACCAAACAGCTTTTGCATCTGAGTTTGATGTAGTATTAAAGCATGTAGACATGGAATGCATAAACGTTCATTCAATTTAGTTTTGTCATAATCGCGAACGTAGATCACTTGAAAAGTAAAAACACCGCACAATACACAACTATTTTATGTCTAGCGTCAATCGAACTGTCACTGTCACGATTAAATGTGAATAACATGATAGTTTAAAATCGTCGAAATATTGCTTTAGATGTCGACTGAAATCGGGATACGAAAATCAGAATGGTCCTTCCCCACTTCGAGATTTTTTTTTCTTTTCATTTGAATTAGCAAATATTTTTCTATCTAAAGAGTATTGAAATATATGGAAAAGTGAACTGTTCTGAGCCATTATTTGATATTTAGGTGTGTATTACTATCTCTCGGCTAAAAGTTACGGTGTACGTTGAATGTGGTTGATGCAGGCGCAGAATTAGATTTCCGTGATTCAGGATGGAATGTATAACTTCTCTTAATTTATGTCTTTGTTTGTCAATTGATTGTTTAACCCATACGACATAATTATCGTATTGGTTGCTGTCATATTACTTACACTGTTTTGTAGATAACATATAAATATGTTAAGGGGGCGTGTCAGAATGGGTACACGTCTATAGTGGGTGTCGTAAAATTCATGCCACTATGACATCACAGATCACGTGACCTTTTACCGAGTTCAAAATATGCATATTCACTAGGCTGATATAGATGAGGCATCACCTGGCCTGTCTATCATCTGAGTACCGAAAGAGACGTGGTCTCGGTCACTACACATATTATTGCATCAAATGACCGTAAAATATGAAATTATGTAAAATAGTGGCCAAAATCCTTTAAGCTTGATTACTGCTAACCAACTGCGCTACCTGGCCACCAAACCCAGTCCTGCTTATATCGTATTTCATAATTAGCATGAATCAAACCTTTCATGTTTTTCCAAGTCTCTTTCATATATATAATAATCTAATATTTACCTAATGATTTCACTTTTATTTGACTTCTATATATTTTTTTTCTTTGTAGGTGATGACAGGACTCATTGAAAATATCCAGTGTGTTTGAAAAGCCTGAAACTAAAATATCAGTATCAGATTTTGACACAGTTATCTGTACATAAAAAATGTCCCTAATAGAAGGCGTAGGGGATGAAGTAACACTTCTATTTGCCTTTGGGGCAATTATTTTCATCATCATCGTAGCCTGGATTTCTACCAATATCCAGGAAATTCCTTTCTTCAGCGTTATAATTGTCGAGTTGACACAACGCAGGCGCCAAAGAGCCAATGCCAATGTACCAGCAGCAGATAATGAAACAACTACTTTACCGACAGATACCGCTTTGCCAGATTCAACCAACGAAACCTCTTCATTCGAAGGATCAGCGCAGTCAGGTGTTGAGCCTACTACAGGAGAACATTTGTCGGCATCATGTTCAAGTGGTACTAGAGCCGGACAGGAAGCAAACGTCACGGAGGAGACAGAGGTGGAAACGACTGTGAGGTTTGTTAATGTTTTGGATAACGATGAAGGTGAGATCCCAGATGCAGTCCTGCATAATATCCATGGTCAACGAAGGAGAGAGGAATCTGGAAACGAAGTTCCGCCAATTCAGGAAAATGTTGAAAGTCTGGAACAGAGTGTTGATGTGACTCAAAGTGAAAGTCAACTGATTCCTGACGTACACGGGGATAATTTGTTTGAAACTGAGCTACGTAGGAGGAGAGTTGCTTTCTTTGACCAGAAGTTGAACAGCAATGGACAAGATGCAGCTGAAACAAGGGCAGACAACTCAAATGATATTAGTGTATCGGGAGGAGATAACCTAGTTAAGTCCAACTCTGCTGATGAACAGGAATCTAGTTCAGCTGTTTGTGATAAAACTGTAACTGGTTGTGATAATTTACCTAACTTATCCCAGGAGGCAACTTCTTCTAGTAGTGCTAGCCAATCGGAGGAAAGATTACATAGTGTCAACCAATCAGAAGAAGCTAATCTGGAGGATGAGTTGAATGTTGGAGACGGAAGAATAAGGATTCGACTCAAATACCTGAATGACACACAGCGGCATGTCGTAGCATCACCGACAGATACTGTTGGACAATTTCGAAGGTAAATTTGGTAATTTTTCCAATAAGAATTAATATGAAACTATTAAAATTGTATGATGGACATTAACTCGTTAATTCAGATGATAATGCAATTCACAACAATTTATCTGCACAATTTTAAGTGGCAAGATAGGATTGCCAATTGAGACTCTTTTTTAAATCAGTAATCAATACTTCAAGCAAATTCATTGTATTCAGTTTAAGCCTACTGTATAAATGTTACTGTCCGTACTATTTGGAAGTGTTATTGTTATTGCAATTTTTCGAACAAACAAGAAATCAAGAAGTGTTTACTTTTAATGTAATTATAATATATATACATTTATCACATACTATTGTCTTTCAGACTGAACTTTGCTACAGAACTTGAGGATAACAAAGTTGTTCGTTTTATTTTCAATGGCCGAGATTTACGCAGTGACACTATGACCTTGGACTCGTACAACGTGGTAGACAACAGTGTCCTGCACTGCCTGGTCACACAGATCAACCGCGAAACTGCGCCCCCTCGTGTGGACACGGAGGGTGGGTTTGACATGGGGACGATCATGTTGCCCTTATTTGGTGTTATCTTGTGCATCATGTGGTACCTGCGCTTCGAATACAGACCTTTCTTCTCCGCTACATCTACAATATCCTTGTTTGGAATTACCTCCCTTTATGTTGCTGCTGTCCTGGCATCGTGGGAAAGTCATCGGCGTGGTCAAGCACACGACCACATAGACTGAACTGAGATGTGTAGTGTTGAATTTTCTGTAAACTTAATTCTGTCCTTATACCCCTACATCACAATATAGGCCAAATAAATATATATGTGTGTTTAAGGTGTTATACAACCACACAAAAATAGCAATTACTTCCTCGTCTCTCTTGTACACTGAATTTTCTGCCTGCTTGACTTCAGGATATACCAGGGTAGTTATAATATTTATTTAATAATAAATCTAGTCTACACTGACATATTCCGTCTTTGCGTATTGCAGAGTTATCTTCTCTTGAGAGCAGGTATTGATTGTTACGTCATTGGTTTGTGTGAGAAAAATATGTCGTTTTCTCAAAAATTGATGACATTACTCTCACAAACAAATGACGTAACAATCAATACCTGCTCTCAAGAGAAGATAACTCTGCAATACGCAAAGACGCTATACACTCGATTACATCAGTTCCTGCAAACTGGAATTATATTTCATGAATATATTATTGAACATGAAAAGTTCCTATGATGTTGACAACAGTTTTCTATGCTGTCGACAACAAAACATGTTGGTGGAATTATGCAAATTTTCTGCAAACGAGGCATAATTGTGTAATCTTATCAACGGTGAATTAATGTGAGCGGAACCACATCAGAAAATTACTTACAGGAATAAAAATTCTCAAAGATTTAGTTTTTGTCAAAATTTCTTATAACTGTCATGTCAAATAATGATGTTGATGATTCAATTAATCGTACGATGACCAACTTGCCATAATGGCAAGAGGTTATATACAGAAGAAATACATGTGCATTGATGATAATTTCCTTTTTCACAAAAATATTGCCAGTGGTGTTTGATCCTCAGACCTCTTAAGCACTATCTGTCCGACATGTATTTCTTAAGTTCTAGTATGTATATATACTGTCGACAACACTATTGGGAATAGATTCAAAGTGCTCTAACTCAGCAAAAAGGCCACCAATTTAGAACTGTGATTGAAGGAATAATATTCTATATTCAATATAAAGGAAATTTATAGCATTTATTTAACAAGGAAATAACATTTGAAGGCCTGAAGGTATATATAAACAGTCACACAGTGTATATCTTGATGTCGTTGTCTCTAGTTTTGTTTTTATTTTCTGATGAAAAGGCTCATGTTCCAATTTGATTTGTGGCCAATTTTAATTTTACTATAAGATAATGATGGATTCATTACAATAAATGTGGTGAATAATTTGAAGCAAATCAAATATTTGATGCATGTAGAAAAATGATAGACAAGTATACGTGTAGTAATTTTTTTATTGCCTTTGATATGTGAATAACAGATAATTTGATAATTAATGGCACAGGCATGTGCGAGTCAGAACCTGAAATAAGTGTTTTACTGAATTCCGTTTCTTCAAAAAGGTATCAGCACAGCATTCTGATGGGAAAGAAACCTATATGTATTTGATAAACCAGTAGATATACCGTTTAAACGTAGAGCTGTACATGAAGTGTTAAATTATCAAGGTACATACAAAATAATGGTGAAGTTCGGTTCAAAACGGGGCTAAATCAGATGTTTGTTTTGTTATGCAAATATTTAAAAGTTTATTTGAAATTTGAGAAAATTGAAACGTTTCTCACAATTTTCTGAAAGCTTCTTAACATGTAACGCACTCGGAGGAAGATAACTTGGTAGTCCCCATTCGCCTGTCAGTAAGGGTAGTTAAGCCAAGAGCATTGGTAGTCTGCCTTTACTTGTAGTTAAGGGTAGTCTCCCTTTGCCTTTGAGCAATGACTGATTTCCTGTGAAAGCTGAATGTGTTCAACTGCCTGGCTGTGAGGTTTATAGCAGAAATACTATTGATTGTTGATTGTGATGAAAAGATTTTTTTTTATCTAGATGTTTTAATATTCAGTGTATGAAATTAATATATGACTAATAAATATGATATTCACCTACCGGTAATTGGTTCCATTTGTTTTCATTTCAATTAGATAACAAAACTGAATGGCTGTTACACCTACCAGAATGTGCATTAAACTAATGGCTAAACTTCCAATGGATCAGTACTACCATACTGTATGTCATGCATGAATGAACTTATCAAAACTCGGTGAATATATTATTCCTTTAAGGTAATAGGATTGTGTCTCCATTTCTCAGTAGAATTTCTTCAAATTTTGTAGTCATATTGGTTTGAAGGAAAGAAAATTTTCTGCCTCGAAAAAAATATAAGTTGTCATAATTTTAAGGAATTTAAATGGAAATTTATGTAAAAAGGAATGACTTGAAAAAAAATGAAAGACAATATTTTGCAAAATAATGTCAATAAAAATGATACTACCATAGATAAGTATTGCATAAATGTATATCAATTTAATAAATGCTGAAATTATGTGAAATAAATTATCTATAAACGATTAAAAATGGACATTTTATAATAAAACCATATGCACATAGTAATTGCAGGTAAGAGTTATCTTCCTTGAAAAACTTCACAGTAGTGAAATAGGTAGCCGGTTTCCTGAAGTACAGAAAAATGGATACATGTAACTCATTGTTTAAACAAAAACCTGAATTAATGCCTGCATTGCTTTGAAATACTTTAATGTTGAGAGAAAACACTGTTCGGTCAATAATAAACATACAATATTCATCAGTTTAATATTAAACATTAGAATATGCGGAAATTGTGATACTGTCTCCCTACATTGGATTTTCAACTAGGGATGTACTTCCTACTTCCGTTTATCAATACACTCCTATGACCTTAATTAGGGAAGCTACAATTGTCACAATTAAACGAAACTAGATTAATTCAAATAAACTCCCAATGATGGGCTTCATGAATACCCCTCATGAAGCTTATTTATTAAGCAGTGGCTGAGTTATGTTGCGGAAACCATTATTTCATTACTTAGGTCAAGGTCAACGGTCAAATTAAGGTCACGGTGAATTCATTTTAGGATGCAACACACCACCTTTCCATGTTGTACCTATATACAAAGTCTGATGTGCGTGCCACAGGTCAAGGCTTGTAGACGGTCATTTTTATTGAGTTAATAGGTGCTCATTTCTACAGATAATTCAGAGTCAAGGTCATGATTAGTAAAGACCATGCAAGGTGGTTATTCCTAACGTGAAACGACAAGGTCATGGCTCAATTAAAGAGTTACAGAAAGGTCATGGTTCATAGAGTAAAGGTCAAGGTATTTGTTTATAGGATAAAGATCAATGTCATGGGTCATACACCAAATTACATTTTTTTTGTTCATAAACTGGTAGCCAAGGTCTTTGTCAGTATAGTTAACTCTTTCACCACCGTGGACTGTAATGGACTCATCCAGATCAATGCATGGTAGAGTTTACTTAAGGGGTGAAAGGGTTAAGGTAGCAGTAGACGTGAATAATAGGTTTTATATTTTAATGTTTTTACGCAACTGACATTAATACAATAATTAATGCTTTAGTTTACAAATATATACATTATGTGTAGGTGTGTAGGTGTGTAGTGCAGTATGAATCTGCTATCCGTACATATCTCGGTCATAGCCTTTATTATTAAGAATGAATTGAGAATCAGGCAATTTCCTGTCTGAAGGTAACTTCTATCAGATAGAGGGCAGATAGCGAATGGTCACCTAAGATCACATTTTATAAAGTGCATAAAAACAAGACGAACACATAACTACATGTTCCATCAACATCTTTTGTTATTTTTATTCTGTTTTATCAAATTTCACAAATTTTTAATGCTTAAGAGTACAGATCAACAGTTAATGTTAAACAGATACTACCACATCTAAAATTAGTTTTCACCACACGGAGAGCCAACATACATTCTTAAGCCACATTTATATATGTATTGATAAGAACACAAAGGAATCATTTGTATAAGGTCCTACTGAGCTAGAACTAATCACATGACCACCGCTTCTAGTTGATGTGGTAAACTAGACTGGACACACACACACACACTCACACGTGTAGATTCAGCAGAAATATACAGAGAATTTATATTCACAACGGTGTAAAAGTCGAATACCACACAATATACATCTCATGCCAAAATATAAATTTTAATTTCCTAAAAAATACTTCTTTATTATTATCAGCATCTCCAGCAATTTTATAGATATACTATGTGTGTATGTGGTTTCTGATGAATTTGGTGCATGATAATGCCATCAGACAACCTGCCTCCCTGTTGCCGACAATGGACTCTCTATGAATGACAATCGGATTAGCCTACTGCAATGTCAGACTGGAAGGTTCTATTACAAGTCCAGGGGAAACAATCAGGTTTCACATTTACAACAAATTACAATTGACCCATGCCACTTTAACATTACAGAATGGTTTGTACGATATAAAAAACGGTAACAGACCCTTAAAAGGGCATTTAAGTTATATGCGTTCTTCATCTTATTGGTACAACATTAGGTGACCTGCATAAAGTCAATAACATCCCAATTCTAACGATGTTGCATTGCTTGGAAGGTTGGGTGGGTTGAACTGACCATCAAAAAAAATAATTCTTCACAAAATATTTTATTAACCGAGTTCAGCTCCTTAAAAATTAAAAAAAAAAATCACGACATTTACAGAAAAAAAACTGGTTGTGTTAAATTGTAGTTCAAATCTAGTGTACATCCTACATAAATATATTGTGGTAGGCCTGCTCAATATCTCTTACACTGTACAACTTGTACCACTGAAATCATTCACCTCTCTAAAACAGGAGAGTTCCAAGGTAACACTGACAACTGGAGATCTAAGACATATCACACACTCACAGTCATACTTTACAACACAGATAGGGAAATGTCCGTATGGATCTATCAAGGATACACAACCCTTGTTTCACAGGGAAATACACAACAGATTTCACGTACAATAACTAAAGTCACATCCATACCTGCTTACCTACCTACAACCTGCCATCAATTAAAGGTTACAACAGAAACCTAAAAATATCTGTGACGTCAATTTATTTCATAAATATTGATCTTTTTGGAGAAAAGGCAAATACTTTAATCTGAACTGAAGAAAACCACATCTTATGCCTATGTTTTAAATTTTTCACATTTTTTTGCAAGATGTTCTTGATTAAAAGTACTTGTCAGTAAATATTCCAAATAGATTCTCGTACTTTCTTGTATGATCACTTTCCAGTCAAAATTTAAGGATAAAACCACCATACAGTTTACCTTTGCTTTATTTTTTTAAGGAGTTTTCTGCCATGAATTACATTCAATCAACATTTTTTCATGATTTGCTAATTGTTATCAACGGAAGTCTTTTAGTGAGCGGTTTAAAAACAAGCCATCCAAATTTAACAAATTCAGTCTTGCTGTTCATAAGCCTGAAAGCTTGAATTGAGAGTGATTGTTGACATATATACTTGTGTATGTTTCCTGTACATGTATACCAACACTGTGATAGACATTTAGTCATATATCACAGTATCTTATTATGTTGGAACTCTTCAGATAGGACATGATAAGTAAAATAACAGGTATCCTTAACTCTAAAATTGACATTTTAGTTTCGGGGAACCAGGGGATCTGCTATCATTTTCAGTTTAGCTTAACTTTATTTATCCAATGCATTTTACAAAGTCCATCCTTTATCTGCAGACGTGTAATAAGCCTTCAGACCTATGGCGCTTGTGTAGATAATAGATCATAACATTCAATTTTAGCCTTTCAAGAAAACAAAAGCAATATCCAAACTACAAGAGATATATTGACCAACAACTTGGTGCTACTGGTCCGTCTACAACATAAATGAAAACTTGTGTACATTCATATGCAAATTGATTTTTTCACAGTTGCTTAAAAAAAATTGCACATTTTTAGGTATAGATAATCATATATATATATATTGACTCACACATGTGCCCACATAAATAAAAGCGCTATGATACAGCCAGAACTATGGTGAGATTCCTAATGACAATGATCCAACAGACATAAATATTTGTATTAATATAATAATAAATAAATTGCACACTGCGTGCATTGGACAGGAGTTATAACCTATACAAATTATCACAAAAATTACGACAAACCTGAAAAGTTTCTTTAAGGAGGAAAAAAAAAGACGGTATTAAGTACCGTAGTTCTGGACGTTTAGGGGCTACAGTTTGACTTGACCTGTGGCGGCTAAGGTCACATTTTGACCACTAGGGCGTTGCAGTTGTCCTGAGAGGTTGTACATGTAGATTCAAAGGTGTGTCAATAGAGCAAATACATAAAGTGTTACACATACACCCACTCACACATACACAACTTATTTTTACTTTTGTTAAATCCTCGAGAGAAAACACTGAAAGAGACCAGATACATTTAACAAATTTACGACCGACTGAACTCACTCACCCCTGAAGATACACATTTGAACTCTTCAAATTCAAAGGCCGGAAGAGTTCATTATGAAAAGTTAGGGGTGAATAAGTTGATGATGGGAATGGCACAATCTTATGATACATTGCAAGGACAGAGGTAAGTTAGGTAGGTGTTTGTAAGGATGGCAGTTGCAGTTTTGAACTTAACTTAAAAACAAGGTCAAATAACGGTAAAAACAATGCGCATACAAAAAATTCAAATTTGGAGGAAGGTAAAGTGTAATTTTGGGCGAGTTTTTCATATTATCCCAACAATAATCTGTGAACACATCAAAGCCGGTCGTTGAAATGCAAAGTTGAGAGAATATGACTGTACGTCTACAATCCTCGATCATTGTGACCAGCAATATTTAATTAACAATATAAATCTACAGATGGATGACAATTAGGGCAAAAAAACATTGACAGACACATTTCTACATATACCCTGAATTCTTTTAGTCCTCTACATCAAAATTAGTGTTTGTGAATGTTTTTTCATTCATACACAAGGCAATTCTAATAATGACTCGACGTTCCTGAATTAGTTCGTCACACAGACAAACGGTTACACCGATCATGCACTCTACCATTGATGTTTTTTCTGGTGTTCAAATCCATTAAGCAATAAAACCATCTACCACCTAGACTAAATTGAACATACCTCAATATAACCTTTTTTTCTCTCTTAAAAACATTTTAAAACTCATTTACCTCTAAAGACACCTTTGAACTCTTCCAATTCAAAAGTTGGAATAGTTCATTATGAAATTTCAGGGGTGAATGAGTTAAATGTTTCACTTAATATATTATTATTACCTACTCTCTTTATATTGCCAAAATTTGACTGGACAAAAATATAGCAGTAAGGTTTTACTGTACAGGATCTTTCAGGACAGTATAAATAAGATATAGCCACCAACTTGATACCTGTAGCTTTCATTCTTCAATCGGAGGGTGAAATCTGCTAGTTTTAAGTTAGTTGTTTTATCTTTGTTTTTTCATCTTTTCTCATGGATCTCAATTGTTTTTAATTTTATCAGATGTTTTATTTAACTTGTAAACACTGACTTACCATAATTGACTAAAATATGGTTTAATTACAAAAGTTCAGCTTGCTTTACCACACGTGTTGGTATACAACACATCATGTATTTTACTGCTTACCATGCAAGATTGTACCAGCAAAATTATTTGAAAATGGGAAACCCTGAAAGTAGGTACATGTACATGCAAACGTTTCATGTTATACTGAAAGTTTCATCAATATATATGATTTAAATTAACGAACATCCAGATTGCATTGCCATAGGTTTGAAAGTAGTCATAATTTGGTTTCCTTAGTTTAAGACTTGGTGAAGCGATTCCTAAGTTTGATAGACGTCCGTTAGGGTAAATGCACTTTGCTACATCCCACGAATAAACACAAGACTCAATTATCCTCCTCAGTCGCTGTTTCCGACACAGATGCTCCAATTACAGTCCCTGGAGGAGAGTGGCTGGATAAAGGTGGCACCACTGTTGATGATGAACTAACTGAGGTCACAGACGATGAACTAGATGATGATACAGTCACTGCTGGTGATGGAGATGCTGATGAAGTTGATGCTGATGAAGTATTTGATGAAACTGTCGATGAGTGCAATATAAGTTCTTTCCATCGGGATTCAAAGAATTTCCGCAGTGTGTGTCCCCCTCGACCGACCTCAGACTCGTCCTCATTAAAAGTTTTACAGTTTTCAAATATGAGTCTACAATCAGCTGCAAATTCTGCCCTTGACTTGTACCTGTAAAAGTTATGAAATCATATATAAATAATGACAGAATTTAAAAAAAAAAAAAACTCTTTGATATTTGTATCAATAAAAAAAACACAGAAAATATTCATACCTATATAATCAACACATCCTAACATTTAGCTCGCCATAAACAGCATGTGAAACAGCAGTGTTAAAAATGCCTTGTAAAAATGTTGGGTATGAAGTGTTAATCTGCTAGAGATGCTTTCTGCCCCATTTCTTTTTTTAAATCCTGTCAAATAACTCACCATGAAGAAATACTCTATGTGGAACTCTAAATTATGATTATCACAATTGTTACACATCAAAATAGTACATCAATTACATTGGATAGAACTAAAGATATACAACTGAAAGTGGAAGTGGAAGACTTAATTAAAATCACCTTCCACATAGATATTAGTCCTCCCTGTGACTCAGAGAACTAAACAACCATTAAATGCTAAATAAGCAACTAGTTGTCCAGACTTAAGTATGAACAGGGCAATGCCTCTGTAATCAAGATATCTGTAGGTTATCTCAGTCAATGGTGAGTATCTGTATGCTTATCTCAGTTAATGGTGATTATCTGTATGATTACCTCAGTCAATGGTGATTATCTGTTTGCTTATCTCAGTTAATGGTGATTATCTGTATGCTTATCTCAATTAATGGTGATTATGTTTGCTTATCTCAGTCAATGGTGATTATCTGTATGCTTATCTCAGTCAATGGTGATTATCTGTATGCTTATCTCAATTAATGGTGATTATCTGTATGCTTATCTCAGTTAATGGTGATTATCTGTATGCTTATCTCAGTTAATGGTGATAAACTCTGCAAAATTTCAAGGAAATCAAACGGAAGGCAAAGTCTTGTCTAGATTTTCAGACACAGTCAACAGACAGACAATTTACAGTATCTCCATCACCAAGGTTTGTGTAAAAATGAAGTTCATGGGTTGTTTGGTGTATTTACGGTACATTGTAAAGATAAACCTTACTTACACAGAGTCCCTGAGCTTGTTTTTTATTGTACTGAAGTCCATGGGCTGTTTGATATATTTACGGTACGTTGGGAACTGTTTGAAGTTAACAGGTTTTAGGAATGGCCAGCCATCTTCATGCTTTTCCATTTCTGTCAGAACCAACCTGAGGGAGAAAATTAATTTACAAGGTAATAGCAGTTTTTTAAAAAGTGTTTCGAAATGAAATCAATATGCAAGTAAAAAGATAAGAAGGGAGTTCTAAAAAAATGTACACAATATAGAATTTAATCACAAGAGAACACCTTTTTTTTTTTTTAATTGATTTGATTAACCTTCTGATGGTTTTGTTTTATTTAACAGTAAAATCCAAGTCTATGGAAATCTCCATTATAGCCAAAAGGAGAATTCACAAAAACTGAGAATAAGAATATACACATATTTTGTATATGGTTAAAAAGATATGGTTATTGTCAATATGAAAACCTGGTATATTCACCAGTGTCAGCTTCGATTTAAATTTCCAGCTGACAGTTAGAAATTTGTCCCAAGTCTTCACTATTTATTACCTGCACAACGTCATATCATCTGACTGCTCTGCTGCTGCCTTCTTCCTCTCATTTTCCTTGTTGTTGTTTCGTTTCTTTTCCGATGCCGGCATCTCCACCTGTTTCGTTGATGCGTCAGAGTCACGCCTTTGTGCAGGAGTGGTGTTACCGATGTCCAGTTTCTTCGGACTTTTCGGGCTTTTCCTTGTTCGTTTTCGTCCATTCTAATTAAAAAATATGGGTGTTGACTATGTATATATACTCTTACTCCATCGTTGACAAAAATGATAAAAAAAAAATATGTTCCATAATTCTATTAATAGCACAGCACAGTGGATCCAACTTATTGTGATATTCAATTATTTGTCAGAGAAAAATATTAAAATAGCTAGGATATTATAATAGAAATGACAAGCTATTTAAGTTTATTTTAAGTTGCCTTGAACTGGAATTTTGATTCCCTTCTATTTAAAGGCCTATGATGAAGCATAGAGAAAGAAATTTAGGAAATAAAAATATAATCTTTTTTTCTTTTTTTCTCTCTCCTTGTAAATATGTTTAGTGATTTATATCAGTGTTTTATCAACTTTCAATTATACTCGTAATGACTGGTTCCATCAGTTTCACCAAATGAACGTACAGACAACAGGCAACATGCCATTATATATCACATTAATCAATATCTGCCAAAAACTACTGAATGCTTTCAAAAATGATGAAAATGGTGAAGGGGAGAAAACTCATGCTCTCACCATATTGGATGAACAGGCTGGACACACCCATTTCCTGGGCATGCGAGGTAGGGGTGGGTCAAGACAGTCGAGGTGGATGGCTCGAGGACAGTGATGGCACTCTGCGATCTTACCAGTCTTCTTTCCACACACAATACAACACGGCACACCAGACGCCTGCAGAGAGCGAGCAAGGTCATCAAAGGTTCAAGGTCATAACATGGAAGAAAATCCCTACTGGATCATGTTTACATCGGGGTCATGTTGCTAGGGAGACAGAGGTAGGTCAGAGTCAGTCATGATGCTGGGAAGACAGAGGAAGGTCCTAGACAATCATGTTGCTAGGGAGATAGTGGAAGGTCAGAGTCAGTCATGATGCTTGGGAGATAGAGGAAGGTCAGAGACAGTCATGATGCTGGGGAGACAGAGGAAGGTCAGAGTCAGTCATGTTGCTAGGGAGATAGTGGAAGTTCAGAGTCAGTCATGTTGCTAGGGAGATAGTGGAAGGTCAGAGTCAGTCATGATGCTGGGGAGACAGGAAAGGTCGAAGTCTGTCATGTTGCTAAGGAAATAGGGGAAGGTCATAGACAACCATGTTGCTAGGGAGATAGTGGAAGGTCAGAGTCAGTCATGATGCTGGGGAGATAGGGGAAGGTCAGAGTCAGTCATGATGGTGGGGAGACAGGAAAGGTCGAAGTCTGTCATGATGCTGGGGAGATAGGGGAAAGTCAGTGTCAGTCATGATGCTGGGGAGACAGGAAAGGTCGAAGTCTGTCATGATGCTGGGGAGACAGGGGAAGGTGAAAGTCAGTCATGATGCTGGGGAGACAGAGGAAAGTCAGAGTCAGTCATGATGCTGGGGAGACAGGGGAAGGTGAGAGTCAGTCATGATGCTGGGGAAACAGAGGAAGGTCCTAGACAATCATGTTGCTGGGGAGATAGAGGAAGGTCAGAGTCAGTCATGATGCTGGGGAGACAGAGGAAGGTCAGAGTCGGTCATGATGCTGGGGAGACAGGGGAAGGTCAGAGTCTGTCATGATGCTGGGGAGACAGAGGAAGGTCAGAGTCTGTCATGATGCTGGGGAGACAGAGGAAGGTCAGAGTCTGTCATGATGCTGGGGAGACAGGGGAAGGTCAGAGTCAGTCGTGATGCTGGGGAGACAGAGGAAGGTCAGAGTCAGTCATGTTGCTGGGGAGACAGAGGAAGGTCAGAGTCTGTCATGATGCTGGGGAGACGGGGGAAGGTCAGAGTCAGTCATGATGCTGGGGAGACAGAGGAAGGTCACAGACAGTCATGTTGCTATGGAGACAGAGGAAGGTCAGAGTCAGTCATGATGCTGGGGAGATAGGAAAGGTCACAAGACAATCATGTTGCTAGGAGGATTGGATGTAAGGGCAGGTTGCGGGGAGCGATGGCGGTCAGATTGTGTCATGTTACTAGGAAAGGGGAAATGGAATTGACACTTGGATCAAAGTTCAAATAATCAAGGGTCAATCATAGTGTAGGTCAGACCAAGGTCAGTTTATATGTCCAGCTCTGATGAATATGTATGAATAAAAGAACTTGCATATGGGGAAAATGGCTTGGACAGGAAAAACATGTTCTGTATTTGACTTACAAACAGTGTATTAATTATAAACTTTCTTTCAACATCAGTTATTTCATTAAAACAAATTTTATTGTTTTTATTATTCCCCCAAAAAACAATACAAACTTACCTTTGATATGCACTCATAACAGTACCAGTCGCCATCAGGGATCATGTCCATCTTGGGCTGTAACAGGTAAACCAGGCACAAATAAAACCGGGTATGTACACCAATAACATGACAGAAAATATGGTTATCAGGGAATGTTTCTCTGTACGTCTGCATGTTATACTGATGTAGATCTACTGCAGAGCAAAATAAAACTGTATCCCACAACACATACATAACTCGATGCATATGAACAGTACAGTTCTGAAATACCGAAGTCAACCAAGATATACGTATATTATCGGAAGTATTATTTTGGCACTTTTCGAACTTTAAATATCGCACTAAATTATGACTGCTTTAAGTTCCTGTATATTGTTTTGTTTTATTAGGTTACATAATTCATCGATGGGCTAATCTGTTAAAATTTTATAAAACTCTAAAATTTAGGTGCACTAAAGTAAGTATGTTTAAAGTAACACTTTTTCTGTGTTTTTATTAAATTTTAAAACAATATCTCTTTAATTATTGAGAAAGTCGATCAACCACTACACATCAGTTGGTTATTTCTCTATGATGATGATATCGTACCTTGAAGCAGTAGGTATGGTAACCCTGGTCACAGCCGTCACATAGCAACAGTTCAGCCTCGTTGTCATCCTTACGGCAGATCTGACAAAGCTGAAATATTCAAATGTCCCTTATGTTAGGTGGGTAGTTTATATTGTCTTACTCTAAATCCTGATGTTTCTCTGCAGCACCTTACGAACAGGACAACAATACAGCTTTATTATTTAGAGGTCAGTTAAGACCGGTCACACTTCATGCCAATGACCTTTCACTTTGTTGTCCTGTTTTAGATAGGCTTAAGTGATAAAAGGCCCACAGCAATGTTAACACTTCACATTTAACCCAGCCTTACCCTTAAACTTTAACCCTGCCTTACATTTGACCTTTAACCCAACCAAACCAATTGACCTTTAAACCAGGCTTTGACCTGTCCTTTAACCCTGCCTTACCACTTCAGTTCTAACCCTGCCTTACACTTGACCTTACACTTGACCTTTGACCCAGCCTTACCACTTGACCTTTAACCAAGCTTTCCCACTTGACCTTTGACCCAGGTTTATCCGACATAATCCCAGCCTTACCACTTTCATGATGGATTTTTCCCAGGAGATCGAGGTGCTGAGTTGACGAACACACAAGGTCAGCTGTGCTGACGAGGTTGCCTTGGCAACGGCTGACCGCCACATAGCTAGACCTGGTGGCACATCCTCAGGTCGCTCAGGCGTATCCTGGTTCACAGAATCGTTGTCGTCGTCCTCCTCCTGCGTGTGGCTGTTCCGTCGCTCAGACCGGGAGTGTTCGGCCAGACTGGCCAGGTTGATTGTGACTCTGCAAATTTCAGGCAAAGACAATAAATATCTCTGTTTCTGACTATGCTGCTTCAACATCACAGTAAATCAAGAAATAATGTGACTCTACTAATGTGTGGTGAAGACAATGCAACGAATGCAAAATTAATCAACATTATGAAATTCAATGTTTACAACAACAAAAGTTGATACTATTTCCCGTAAAAACATGAGTGAAACATGGGAACGTAAACTAGAGCGTGGAGATTGGCTGTACGCCGTAGCATTTGGTGTAACAACTTACGCCTTTGTGAGTGGGGGTTTGATATAGCGACGTTCAATGTTCGGCTCCAGACTCAGCAGCTTCTCTCTAGCAGCGTCCAGTGGATAGCGTTCGTTTTCCTTGAGGTCCGTCTTGGTCCTGTCCACAACGGTCAGGTCTGAATCGTCCTCAACTCGGCTCGGCACCTTCCATCCCTGTTAGAATTTGTTTTTTGTAAAGATATGCAAAAAATTAAGATACTATCCAAAAGATGAGGATATTATCCAAACACAAAAGCAAAATTAATACACAATGTACTATCAACCATTCTAAAATCATATTTTATTAAAAATAATATAATAATAATATAAGAGTATTGAATTTAATTGTCTATTATAAAACATTTAAATAAATAGGAACAAATAATTAATATTCTAACAATTCCAAACGACTCTTTGAGTTTCATTACACATCATCAATCAATTATAGGAATTAGATAAAATTTCAATATTTAAGAAAATTTGGTCCGATTTGTTCCAACAGGTGGAGCTGATTATCATTCCAATTACCCAGTATGATGAACTGTTCACAAAGCATGCTCAAATCGAAAATGAAATCGTAACAAAATCAGCAAAATAAAAAAAAAATAAGAAACAAAAAACAGAAAAGAAATTTTGTGGGTGAAGAATTAAATCAAATCAATTCACAGAACCAAAAAAAAGCAGTGGAACTTAAATGTTCACAAACCATGCAAGAACCCAGGCCGTTTAACACAACATCAATCTAGATTTAGTTCAAGCCTATACAAATATCTGTGTCCTGTTCTATATCTTAAATATCCTTGTGGATGAAGGTCGAAGAATCGTTTTCTCAAAGGAAATTAGTCTGTTTTTACACAGAAACAAGAGGTTGATTGGCGTGAACATTCTCCTGAGTAAAAGATACTTGATTTTGTCGAGTAAATCTAACGTCACATGAGTAAAAGATCTGTAGGTCAACAGTACCCCAGTTTGGAGCACAATGAACAAAATATGGTATCATAAAGATTTAACCTAAATCTACCAGTAATTCAGTAAGGAAATGTCGATTGCAGGTTTGCTAATTGACCTCGTGTAAATCCCTCTGGGGATGGGCTGGGGCTGAAGGTGGGGCTGGGGGTGGGGTGGGGATGGGAGGGGGATGGAGGTGGGGAAGGGGTCAGCCCCTCATTGAGTACACAATATTTGTGGGGGTTGGGGTAAGGTAGGGTTAGCCCTTTCTTGAGTCTACATTATGATCACCGTCATCTAAAGAAGGGAGTCTTTTGAAGATTATGCACCCTGTGACCCTTAATGGCCCAGCCCTCTCCACCCCTTACACCAATGTAACTTTGGAGTTCTAAAAATAATCGGTTTTCTAAAAATGTAATGGGTATTGGCAGGTACAAATAATTAATGTCTGACAATTATCAAAAACACACTGATATCTTGTTAAACTATGGCCAATCAACGTGGTAGTTCACAAAACAACAACTGTTAACCTGATCTAGTACACTAAATATTAGTTGACAACATCAAGACTATGTTTCACAACATCAAAGGCGACATTTAATGGAAACACACGTGACAGGATGTGTTACTCAGGTGTGTGGTACACAGGTGTGTAATACTCAGGTGTGTGATACTCAGGTGTCTGGTACACAGGTGTGTGATACTCAGGAGTGTGTTACTCAGGTGTGTGATACTCAGGTGTGAGATACTCAGGAGTGTGTTACTCAGGTGTGTGATACTCAGGTGTGTGATATTCAGGAGTGTGTTACACAGGTGTGTGATACTCAGGTATGTGTTACTCAGGTGTGTGATACTCAGGTGTGAGATACTCAGGAGTGTGTTACTCAGGTGTGTGATACTCAGGTGTGAGATACTCAGGAGTGTGTTACTCAGGTGTGTGATACTCAGGTGTGTGATACTCAGGAATGTGTTACTCAGGTTTGTGGTACATGTGTGCAGGTATGTGATACTCAGGTGTGTGATACTCAGAAATGTGATACTCGGGTGTGTGGTACACAGGTGTGTTATACTCAGGTGTGTGATACTGAGAAATGTGATACTCGGGTGTGTGATACTCAGGAGTGTGGTACACTGGTGTGTGATACTCAGAATTAGAAATTTTGTTTTGCCGATTCAATATTTGAATGATTTTCCATTTATAGCCTTAATTCTCAGGATTCATTTTTCACACTCTCATGTTTGAGATATGATGGCCTCCTTTTCAGTAACAAATTTCAGAAATAAATGTTTTCAGTGGCTGTATTTTCATGAATACATATTGGCCATGAAATTAATATAAATTAGAACCATATGAAAATCTTGACAGTATTTATGCTTCTCTTTGGGAACACTATGGATTACTATTGGTTTAATGTCTACGAGGATAGGACCGTTCACATACCTCACATGTTAGGATCATGCAGGGCGGCACACACAGCTAGGAAAACCAAATAACTACAAACTCCCGACAAAATGTTGTGTGCAGCATGCAAGTGCTTTCTCCACTACCGAGGTTATTAAACAAACCTTGACCTGTAGACTTGCTGAAGCTACGCGTTCCACCAGATTCTCCACTTCTTCCAGGAGTGAAAGCTCCACCTGGTGGGCAATTTCTGGTAACCATTCCTTCTGTGGCGGCGGCAGCTCCTCCTTTGTTTTCTTCTTCTTCGATTTTTCCTCGTCTTCAGCTTTCTTTTCGTCCTTTTCTTCCTTCTTCTTTTCCTGGTTGTTTTCATCTTTCTTCTCTTCTGTTTCTTCTTCTTCTTCCTCCTCCTCCTCCTCCTCTTCCTCCTCTTCTGAGGAGTCAGACTCGAGGGATACAACTAAACACAATAATATGTTCATGTAAATAAATTTGAGGATTTTTATCCGTATTTAGAATTACCATATCTATCCCTCAATAAACCCAATGCAAGCCTCATAATAAACCCACTCGTGTTACAGTTCAGGAGAATATATTCGCTGCTGTGTTCTTTGAACAGGTTTCAAAGTAAAATAAATCCCCGAATTCAGTATGGCAGCAGACCATTTCTAGTAAGAAAACAACATACACCTAACAACCACCAAATGTATATTTGACACTGAATCTGCTCGCTTCAATATTGAATTGTCTTTTTAACATTATGATAGTATACACCAGATTCTGTTTAAATCTAATTCTAAAATGGCCCTTAGCACTTCCTAAAGACTATGTTAGAATGGCACAGTGCTGCACACGATGATAAATGTTAGAAAGATACATTTCAATTTCTATATTTACGTTCAAAACAAAGATCATTGTATTTCATCTTTTTGTGTATGATACCTTTTAATAATAATACTAATAATTTGAGGTTCTTATATACAGCTTTATCAAAACCTAGATCGTAGGTCGTCTCAAAGCAGTTCACAAATTATTATCTGTGGTTATAGGGCCAATATCTTTCTCAACTCCCTGGGGAGCATACAGCCGGTGCTGCCATTTCAGCTAGCATTCAACTATTCTAGCACTGCCCAACTCATTTACAGCTGAGTAGACTGGACCAAGCGGAATAAAGAATCTTGCTCAAAGATACAACACAGTGCCGTGGCGTGACTCGAACCCCCAACCCTTTGGTCACGAGCCCGGCGTCCTACCACTAGACTACCGTACCTCTTCTTTTCACCAAATGGTGGAACAGTCAATTTTGCAAGAACAATGTAAAGTTTTCTGTAGTTACCATATCCATCAAGTAAGAGATACTAATAGGAAACCATTCAGCATTTTCCCCATCATAATTTGATTTCCACGTCATGCCAGAAAGAACAGTGTGACAGAAAGACCCTAACAGTTTCTGGTAGGTATATTCGCTACTGCACAATGGTAACTTAAACATAGTTGTTTAAACATATATCCTTCTGTTTCGTTCAAAAGGATTCTGTATATTATTTGATTTGTACGATAGAAAACTGATCGCAAGTGAACATTTCCATACTTACTTTCCTTGTTACCCTTGGTGCAGGAGTCACAGGCGTAGTCCATGAATTTCTGGAAGGACTTCTGGAGATTCTTCTCACGGACTCCACGAGGATGGCAGTAACGCTGTAACGTCCTCAGCTGCTCGGGTTCTGTTACCCGCCACCAACTTTTCTTCATTTCTGAAAAGAAAATACTCTTAAATAAACCTCTTTATGAAACATAGTTTTGTTTTGATCATTACCCATACTTATCATAAACTGCAATTATGTTACCGAACTGAATCTCCACCCTCTGGCCATTCAAAACGAAATAACCAAGTGCTAAATTCACCTTTATACTCCCACCATCACAGGGTCTTGACATACATCACTTTTTTCATCCAGAGTTATAAAATTACTTCTTATCCCACATAGACCACATATTTCCTTTTGACGGTCAATACAGAGATGTTAAGGGACAGGAGTAAGAGAACTGCTATATAGCTATAGAGTCTATACGTAACATACGTTCATAAATATGAATTTTAGAAATTTTGCTTTGTGAAAACTTGAAAAGAGAAAATAGCAGACTTATTCCATATAATGCTTAAGACAAAGAGTAAACTGCATCATATATAATCACAAAGAACATTTCCACTTTGGAGGGTTATTTTCCCTTGGGGAGTATGCTCCCTTACTCAACAAAAGATAAGACAACAAAAAAGAGGTTTTACTGGCTTAGAGTTGCTTCCCTTGTCAAGGCGTTCATCTCTCATTTGGATGCTATGCATTTGTACTATCTGAATATTAACATTGATAAGGTGTGGGCTGGGCGGGGCAAAAAGTCCTTAGTTTGATCCCAGTACTTTTTTATCTTGATTTCAAAATTTGAAAAAAACTTATAATTCTGGAATATGAATGGCAAGGAATTATAAGGCATATTTCTGCAGAAAAGGGATGTGATTTATATATAAATATGAACAGGATGATACATCTTCAAAATCCAATACATATATATATATAAATCAATTAAAATGTCAGTAAACTTGAGCGGTTGTAAGTGAAGGGCCTCACCTTCTGGTATGGGCTGCCTTTCTCCCTGGAGATCCTTGAGGATGGCCTCAGCAGACTCCTGCTGCTGGGCCCCTATGGCCCACATATCTGCCTCCATTTTGGGTGTGTGAGGCACCTTGAAGGAGGATTCGTTAAGTTTCGAGGGTGAATCACAGCTTGTGTCGCTGTAGGCTGTGGTGGCACTGTAGTTGTTGGGACTGTAAAGTTGACCCATCTGGAATGAGGAAAAGGAAGGGTTGTGGAGGGGGAAGGCACGCAGGGACATGGGCGAGAAAAACGGTGACGCCCCTGAGAACGGACTCGTACTCAGGCCAACCTGGGGCGAGCCTCCCTGAGTCATACTGAGGTCATCACAAGGCATTCTGGGTAAGATGCTGAACCATGGTTTTTGTTCGCTACCTTCTGGTGAGGAGCCTAAGGTTTGGATCATCTGATCTGGGGAGACTGGAAAAAGAGGGCTCTGGAGGAAGTGATTGTTCTGGTTGGTCAAGTGAGAGTGGTCCTTCTTCAGTAGCGTGTCAATGCTGAGGAAACTGGATTTGCCCTCGGTGTGGGACGGGGTGCTGCTCTTATGGTGCTGGTGAGCAGGGCGGGGACTGGATCCCCCGGGGGACAGGCTCGGGGTTGAGGCATTGGAACCCAGGGCACTGTTCAGGGATGGACTGAATGGGGGGAAAAACAGTGAAGGTGCTGATGAATATGGCGTGATCAGAGGTGAAGGGGAGGTAAGCAAGCTGTTGTTCACAACCGATTTAGAATCGTCACTTTTACTGTCACTCTTGGAGGGCGATATGGCAGAAGAAGCACTCACATTACTACACAAGTCACTGAGTTTAGAGGATGATGGCGACTGTAGAAATATATTCCCAGAACTGTTAAGAGACGAGTCCAATTTATTATTGCACACAGAGGTAGAAGGAGTTATCTCCCCATTACAAGTCGTCTGCTTGTGTTTGTCCATTTTCCATGAGGTAGGAAATAACGCCGATGTCACAATAGCTGCCTCCCCAGTCTCCGACTTACAATCCACCTTTTCCTCATCAAGCTCCATCTTAGTTGGTGTTGAGAGAGGACAGCTTTTATCCAAGCCTTCCTCCTTGACGGTGTCCCAAACGTTACGGTCCTCCTTTCGTTCTGATTTCACAACAGCCACTTCCTTTTTAATGTCTTGTTCCTCCGACTTGATTGTCGTCGTTTCTTCTAGACCCGTTTCCTCCTTAACGCTACTTCCACTTAATTTAGAACTTTCACAATCCATTTTTTCTTCCTCTTTTATTTTTTCATCTTCCATTTTTATTTCAACTTTCTCCTCCTTGAGTTCTTTCGTTTCCTCGTTTAGATCCTCGTCCTCCACGGACTTGCCCGTCTCCAGGCCTTCCACGTAGACTCCGCCGGCGCATGGCAGTACCCAGTACTTGCGTCGATATCGGTCCGAGCCAACCAGTATTGCACGTAGTTTGTGGGAAGACTTGAACACTTTTGCTCGGTACTGAGCATGTTGCTGAAAGAACATGAAACAACGGTACATTTATGAGCGTTGAAACCAAAGTCTTGTGTACATTTATAAGCCATCAAAAAACTCCTTGCCTGCCTGAGCAGGTGTTTTAATCAGACTTCAATCTATGTTAACCTGTTTTGTTTTAATATATCTTGTCAATGAAATATTTCTTCCCACATTTAAGAACCAATATTTATCAGATATATTTCACTGAGATGATTAAATTACAAATTGTATTGCAATGTAATCTTGCATACAAAAATATTAAAATCTAAATAAACAATTACATGTATTTCTAAACTAACCAAAAGTTAAACTTGAATTCATCTGAAATCTTGCTGAAGTCTTCATCGAGAGATACCTACCTTTTGTAACTTTTCAATCTGTTTATCACATTCCTCTACCGACAATGGTTCTTCCTCCTGGAGAGAAAGATATGTAATTATTACAGTCTATACTGATCAGGTCATTATGACTGACCAACATGAAACAACACAGGCAAGTACGGTCAAACAGTTATGAATGGGTAAGTTAACTCATTCAACCCTGAAGACACATTTGAACTCTTCCAATTCAAAGGTTGGGATAGTCCATTAAGAAATTTAAGGGGTGAATGAGTTAAGTGAGGTAAGAGACACTGGACTTTAGAATAGCTATATATGATAAGTACCATTGCAATCTTCTCAGAAGATCAATCCTGGTGTTTTAGAGAATCATTCAGATAACTTTATGTTTTGAATTCAACAACCAAGCAAATTTTTCCTATATTGAAATCCACAAATTTAATTTTGATATATCTATTAAAGTGAAATGTGAGCCTAGCATTGCGAAAAACTCGGAGCAACTTGTTTAAGTATCACTTTGGTTTTCCTTACATCCACGTCCGTCTCTTGACAGCCTGACTGGGCGTCATCATCACTGTCGTTACCACTCTCCTCCTCTTTTTCTTCTTCATCGTCACTACAGCGCTTGTTGATGCCCGAAGTGTTCTGCGACTCCTCGCCCTCTTGACCTGGAGCTGAGGAATCTAGGTCGGACACAGGTTTGGAAACTGGCTGGTTAAACTTCTTAGTCTGTAGGACGCGGAGTCGGCGGAGCTTGCCCTCGACAACCCACTTGTCACGACGGATATCCCCCATACGGTCCAAGTGCTTCTCTATCTCCCTATGTACATATGAATTTATTGTATTACTGAAATATTTGAAGGGAGATAACTCTGACAAAAATTTCAATTTCAATTCTAAAATATACTTTTAATATTAAATACTGAAAGTGTTGGTGACTCAAACTTTACTGGTATGTTTCCTTAACTTTGTTGATAATCTGTATGAAGACCCATTAGTGTCAAACTTTACTTACATAACAAAACAATGTCAATTTTGTTTAAATCATTTCTAAAAAAAACAACAACACTTTTTCTGATCCCTAAAACTGTTTATCTTGTTTTCAGTTTTAATCATTAAATGATTGTTCAAAGTGAATTGATTCCAAAAACTTACGAAGAAATGGACTTTCCACAAAGCAGTTCATTACACAGAAATGCTAAAATGGAAGCTTTCCTGATGTGATCTAGTGACTCGAGGGGTAACTGTGACAACCATTCGCTCATCTACAACACAGCAAATAAATATTATATGACAAATTATGCAATAATAAAACAACTTTTCAATACCACCATACATATCAAACATCAATTTATCAACCAAGTTTACTGCAGAGCAATTCAATTCCATGGATTGAACATATAACAGTTTGTTCCTGGAATTTACTTGCGCAGTTTTAATCATGAACAACAACTGACTCTCTATCAGAAGTTCAATATGTCATTTTTCTAGAGACTTAATTAACTTGTTTTACAATGTACTAATGACCGATTTTACTTCTAAATATCTTTTTCAGTTGAATCGTACTTCATACTCCACAAATTCTACTGCCTAATCACCTCATTGCTACCACCATTCCTTGCCACGACAAATATTCGTAGAACCTCGGAGACGATGGAGTCGGTGATCTCCATGTCCACGATTTTCTGCCCAAGCTTGGTGACAGCCTCCTTGGGGTTGGGGACACCAGGGTCGCCGAGGGCATAACGTAGGAGGTGGGTGACAAGGGCCACATAGTCCTCACTGTCCTCCTCCGTTTTACCCAGAATGCCATCCTGGAGGGCCTTCAGTGACGGCAGTGTCTCTTTGTCTGCAAAGGGCGGTGAATAACAAGGTTATTCATATTTGTCATTTAAGTACAAACAAATAACAGTTCAACATGTTAAGTACATTACATCCTTGAATTGTTCAATTACTGGTAGAATAATTGGTTTATAATCAAACACTCGTGTCAGAGCAAACACTCGCAATCTTTGATTGTGTAGTCTTAGGACAAAATATGATAAATGTGTTTCCACTTTCAGCTCTCAAAACAATGGGCAGGTATTTCTAAACATCACATAGAAAATTTTATTGGTTGTGTAAAAAGAACTTCTCATAGTACAATGGGCAGGTAGATAGGAAAAACTTCAAATTTTGCAAAATACTTTTTAACACCTTAAGAGAGTAACAGAGCTTGTTTACAACTAGCAAATTGAAAACACAAGATAATGGTACACATTTATACTTACATAAGGAAGGCACAGTGGAAAACAGATTTGATTGGCCTTATGCTTGTTATTCAACCAAGATTTCCTAACCTTCAAATACAGTTGTTTGAATAAAGGACTGGAATGAGGGTACTTACCGTATCCCAGGGCATCAGCAAAGTTATGGAGGAACTCCAACACCATGAGGATGTCGGCAAAGGCAGCACTGTCTGTTTGGATTCCTGGTATCCGTGGATACTCCGGTAAAGGCTGCAGAGAAAGATACAACACACATAATTATATGGGTAAATTCATGGTATTTTTTTTTAATAACTTTATCTTTGTTGACAATTTCAAAAATCATAAAATTCAAAAAAAATAATCATAGGTACAGTGTATAAGGATCCGAGGACGAAACACTCAAAAGATTTTCCTCAATTTAAAAGATAAATTCAAAACATGAAAAAAGACATCAAGACAAATTCCTTTTGAAGCAAACAATACCAGCACTGTTGGATGTATATCCCCTTAATCTTTGCTAATATGAAAATGAAATTGAAATATTTTTTAAATGCCTGGTTCTAAAGTAAACAAATTCATTTCTTCAAATCTTTACAATTGAGATAAAAAAAAAAAGTATGAATGCGTTACTGTATATACCAGGAAACCTTCGCCCAGTCAGATTGTTTGCACAGTGTAAAGTTTTGCCTTTCACAAGTAATAAAACATTGGGTATGCTGTCAACATATATCCTCTCTCATGATGCATTTGCCCTCATTGCGGAGAGCAAAAAAAGTGAAAAATTGAACTGTAGTGAAAATTTCCCGAGATACAGTAGTTTATAACAAGAATTTACATCAGTGCCATTCCTCTTGATGTCTGACACTGTAACTTACCCGACTGTCTCGTAGCTCCATGTCTTCTGTAGGTTTTTTCAGCTCCCGTGCCATCGTGAGTTCCCAACGCTTTTGTTCCTGCACAGAAATTTGTCCATTATCTACCATTTCCTATATATAATTTCCAATTTGGAAATAACTGATTATCTTACCCAAGATGAACACTAAAAATATTTGGAGCAAATGAATGACGTGATTTTAACAGTTTTTGGAAAAAAGATTCTTCGCTACTCACCATCTTGCGCTCCCTGACCATACGTTTCTCTACAACCTTCTCTTCTTTCAGACGATCCCTCTCCTTTAAAAAGAAAAATAACTTTTGATTAAATTATGAAATTATCCATATTTCCCATATTCATAGATAATCTTGAAGCATGCAAAAAATATTTCAATAAATCCAGGTACATGTACAAAGCATTTTCAAATCAATTATTTTTTCTACAGATGTTACCTTGAAGCACTATTTTGAATTTTTATACATAGAATAACAACCTTATAGAGTTTCAATTAGAAACATTCCAGAAAGTATATCTGAGAGATAAACATCCCAAAGTGTAATACATAAAAGAATTATGTAAAAAATTGATGAAATTTTCTTAATCCTGATGCATATGAACCACTTAACGAAATTTTCTTATACAGTTATTTTTGACACCCCTCCCTAATAAAGTATGACATACAGCCCACTTTCCTAATCTAGATTTAATTGAAAGTACCCGTTTACCACTAGGACATATAGATATTTATCACTGTGAAAAATGAACAAAACAAGTTCTATTGCACTTCAGTTAGAATGTGATACTAAAATGACTATAGTATAAACTAGCTAGGCCTTACTGCCTGTTTCTTCTGGGCTTCCATAGCCTTGACCAGTAGGATGTGCTGCCTCTTCCTCTCTCGCTCCTGGAAAACAGGGACATAACACTTATATAAACTTACATGACAAAAGAGAGTCCAAAGTTATCTGGACATACAAGGGTCAGTGCATGCACTGCTCACAAAGGAATATGTCTGGACAAACAAGGTTCTACAGTACACACAAACCAAAGTGTCCAGACTAACAAGGTTCTACATTACACACAAACCAAAGTGTCCAGACTAACAAGTTTCTACATTTCACACAGACCAAAGTGTCCAGATTAACAAGGTTCTACAGTACACACAAACCAAAGTGTCCAGACTAACAAGGTTCTACTATACACACAGACCAAAGTTTCCAGACTAACAAGGTTCTACAGTACACGCAAACCGAAGTGTCCAGACTAACAAGTTTCTACATTACACACAAACCGAAGGGTCCAGACTAACAAGGTTCTACTATACACACAGACCAAAGTTTCCAGACTAACAAGGTTCTACAGTACACGCAAACCGAAGTGTCCAGACTAACAAGGTTCTACTATACACACAGACCAAAGTTTCCAGACTAACAAGGTTCTACTATACACACAGACCAAAGTTTCCAGACTAACAAGGTTCTACTATACACACAGACCAAAGTGTCCAGACTAACAAGGTTCTACTATACACAAACCAAAGTGTCCAGACTAACAAGGTTCTACAGTACACACAAACCAAAGTGTCCAGACTAACAAGGTTCTACATTACACACAAACCAAAGTGTCCAGACTAACAAGGTTCTACTACACACAAACCAAAGTGTCCAGACTAACAAGGGTCTACTATACACACAAACCAAAGTGTCCAGACTAACAAGTTTCTACATTACACACAAACCGAAGCGTCCAGACTAACAAGGTTCTACAGTACACACAACCCGAAGTGTCCAGACTAACAAGGTTCTACAGTACACGCAAACCGAAGTGTCCAGACTAACAAGGTTCTACCATACACACAGACCAAAGTGTCCAGACTAACAAGTTTCTACTATACACAAACCAAAGTGTCCAGACTAACAAGGTTCTACTACACACAAACCAAAGTGTCCAGACTAACAAGTTTCTACATTACACACAAACCGAAGTGCCCAGACTAACAAGGTTCTACAGTACACCCAAACCGAAGTGTCCAGACTAACAAGGTTCTACAGTCCACACAAACCGAAGTGTCCAGACTAACAAGGTTCTACCATACACACAGACCAAAGTGTCCAGACTAACAAGTTTCTACTATACACAAACCAAAGTGTCCAGACTAACAAGGTTCTACTATACACACAGACCAATGTGTCCAGACTAACACAGTTCTACTATACACACAGACCAATGTGTCCAGACTAATAAAGTTCTACTGTCCATGAGCAAATATTAAAATGTGTAGATGGGGTTCATTTCACATGTTGATTAAACCAACAAAATTTATATTATTTGGCAGAAATCTCTAAGAAATAAGTTGATTCTATAAAAATTTACATCATCAATTGATAATGTCTATATGTATTATAGACCCATGGACCAACAATAAAAAGTGTGTTCACAAATCCTTGAATACAAATCTTACCTGTTCTTTCATCATTACAGACTGTTGTCTTTTCATTTCTCTCTCCTGGAAAGAAATAGTTAATACTGAACAAAACCGTTTCAGGTACATATATTACAAAAACACTAACAAGACAAACATTTAATCCTTTTCAATTTCACGAGAACTCAAATTGATATTTTTTTAACTTCAAAATTGCTGTAAAGAAACCAATTTAGTTTGTCTTTTCCATATTCTTGCGATAATTTCATACTTATAACAGTATAAGTTGGTGAGCAAGATAGCATGCATCATGCCTTTTATATTTAGCACATATATATTCAAAATCATGTTTAGCCAAAACAGTAAATTGTAATAAATAAACAGTTGTATTAAAAATTCATTTAATGTTTACTAATAATTACTTTTTCAAATATAAAATTGTTGTAATTGTGTTTTGTTTTTTTAAATTATTTTTATCATATAATTAAACCAGGAGTCCCTTATCTTTTCACAATTTTTTACTTTTTGATAATGAAATACTATGAATCAAAATACATGTTACAACAATGCCTCCTAGATGTATCTCCTTTAGTAGTAAAACAGTCCAGCCAATTTTGAACCAAAAGAAAGAAAAAATTGACAAAAAAATACTTTGTTAATTAAGAAGATAATACCTACTTAATCATGCCGATACATGGTAAAGGCAGGCAACTACATTATACAATGTAATCAGTTACAGAACAAAATTCTCAAAAAAGATTCTTCTGTAATACTGCACTAAATTCCATTATTTGGTAATTTAATCAATTATTAAATACTGAAAAGCTTAGTGAACACGGATGCATGACAAAGAAATTTTCGTCGATATTTTATAATAACATGACAGGCAGCCATTACTTGAGTTAAGTGTCAAGTAAGAAAAAAAGTTGTAGATCAAGCTAAGTGGTTATAATGTGGAACTAATACCACAGCTTACATGGTTATCACAGAAAAAAAGGCAGGATAGTTGGTTAAACAAGCCCACTATACCACATTTCCGGGTCCCCAAAAGTACTATACACAGGGGACTTCAAGGATTCTACAAGGGGGTCCTGTCTCCATGGATACCACACAGTTTTTCTCATGGCTGTTCAATAGTTTTGGATTGAAGACAAGAACTGATTCACATTTTGAAATTCTAATGTCCATTACAAACACATTGAAATACTCTACAAAGACACAGTTTTGCTACTTGATGCCCAGATAACTTAAATTAAGCCTGTGAAAACCATAAGCTGTTCATAATACAAATAGTTCAACTGTAAATACTAAAACAGTTTTTAAAATGTATGTTGCTATTTTTAGTTGGTAATTTTTTACATTGGATTCTCCCTATATATATTGATAATAGTTTGTTTTTCGAAAAATTATTTATTTTGTATTCATTCGTTTACATTCAAGACAAACTTTAACCAATTATCTTTATCTTCCTTATAACAATATAAAACATGTTATACATTCAACAACAAGAAACAACTTTTACAATTGACTGAAAAAAGATAAATACAAAGACCTTCATATGTCACAAAAAAAATCTATCACTACTTTGAAAAATAAATCTTTAACATAGATGAATATTACTTTAAAAAAATAAAAATCTTTCACTTTTAAAAATTACATTGAAAACCCAGGCTCACTTGTCCAAAGTGTTGTTTATCTTAAGTTATTAACAAAGTCGTGGAGTTTATATTTTTCAAGAATTTTTCATGTCGTGAAGATTGTGGGAAAAAATCTGCAAAATATAGGCGTACAAATCCCAATGTGCTGTTTGTTTGTCGTTAAGATAAACAGTTTTTGAAGATCAGTGTCCTGTTGAACATTTTGATAAAATCTTTACATACACAATATATCAGTTAATCTATCAAATAAAAAATAAGTAAATAAAATATTCACAGCAAATAACAAAAACGAGAACAAATATCACAGAGCTGAACACACAAGCTTATAACAATAAACACAGATATTGGTATTTGACGATTTTGTTGAATCAAAAGCATGTTCGTCTCTTTAAAAGCTGAAACTTACTTCAGTTTGTCACAGAAGTTATTAAGAGCATTGCAGACTTCCCTGTCTAAAGGGGAAAAGGAACTACAGGTGCACTAACTAACTATAAAACGTCAAAAATACCTATAACCCTAAGTACAGTATGGCCTATTTTGATAAAAATATATAAGAAGTACCAAGATTACACTGTGCAAAATTCTCCACAAAGAAGAGCAAAACTAAAGATATCTTGTAAATCATGGAAAACCGCATCCAATAGGACAGACTATAAGATCACAGCTCCTGCAGCTGTCCGTTACTGTGGAATAGAACTGATCAAATGATGATGAAATAAAGACAATATAAAGTTGAAACCCTGGACCATCTCAACTCTTGAAATATACTGAAATCTGAAACTTTCATTTACTTCAATTTGTATTACTTAGATTTCCCTTTACATTGGGGTTTTCCTCTTCTTTGAGATTTCATCAAATTAACCCTTTCACCACTGTAGACCATAATGGACTTGCCAAGATCAATGTGTGGTAGAGTCTACTAAAGTTACATAGCGGTGAAGGGTTAAATATTTCATTTTCTTCTTGGAGATTCTTCTCTAGTATGGAATTTTTGTCAGAAAGATTTCTTTACTCTAAGATTTTCATCTACTTGGGAATATGTCTAATTTTCAGATTTTCTGTTTCCTAAGAGATTTCTTTCCTCCAAGAATTTCATCTTCTTGTGAATTTTTCTCTATTTTGAGATTTTGTCATACATGTAGAACAGGTTCACAACTATTCCTATTATCTGGCATCCTGACAGACTTATCTAGTAATCACCAAATACTGCAAAGTCCTATTGCATGGATGGGCAATATAAAACAGTCCACACCCTCCCCCCGAATTACACAAATCAGCGTGATCAAATGTGATACGATTTAAAAGAACAGATAGAAGATCCGAAAAACATTAAAAAAAATAGTTAAGTTCACTATCCACAATGTAAATTCAGAGTTTTCTTCAAAAGTTCTGTTATACAAAATACCCCGATGAAACTGTTTTCTGGACTCGGTCATGTGGCAGCCATGTGTGATATATATATATACATGTAGGTAAGAGATTACAGATATATTGATATATACATATATATGTTTCACCATATCAGTCTTTCAGTCTGAAGAATCTCCTAGAAGAGATGAAAGTACTAAAGACTCGTTGTTGAGAAGTTTTCTTTTTGTAATATGTTTATATATATTTGTATATATACATCAATAAGGTCAGAAGAGTACACATCAGGCAGACAGAGTTCACCTATAACAAGCTTAAAGGAGGTAAGCAAATATTGATAGTATAAATACACCAAAAGAATGACTTACTGGTACAGTTAATACACTGTAGCTACACGATGCAAGAAACATTAGCGTCTAATAATTACAGAACACGGTTTCCTCCCAAAAGCTCATAGTTTTATTGAAATTTGCCAAAACATTTCATCACAATTTAATACTACTTGCACTTGGTTCCATCTAAATATATCAATAGTTTCTTTAACCCTTTCACCACTATAGACCAAAATGGATTCATCCATATCAATGCATGGTAGAGTCTACTAAAGTTACATATGGGTGAAAGGGTTAAAGAAAGACCCTCATTCATTTAAAATGCAACGTTCGTTTATTAATTTACCGCTAATTGGGTTAATAACGGTGTTCCCAAACCTAATTTCTGACATCGCTGGCTGTGTCATCGTAAAAAACACGAGCAGACGTCGACACAAGATCTGTCGACAGTTATGGAAGGCAAATCCTGTAAGTGATGAACTTTTGAGAGGGGACTATATTGAAGCGAGGATAGATACATGTAATGGGCGTAAAGAGGTCAAACTTACTCTCTCCATATGATACCAGAGAAGGTTGGACTGCAATTTTATATAAGGTATAAAACATTTCAGCAGGCGGCAGACACAACCCTATAGTTAATCTTATAAAACCGTGAAGTGATACACAACTCGACAAATCACATGTGCATGTGTTACGGTAAAGATTGGTTGTTAGTTAAATATTGTTAAATGTTTATGTGCATTTCATTTGCATAAATTCCATTCTTTCAAAATCAAAATCCACCAATTACAACTCTTAAAGATCAAGAATGAATTAAGATGGGTACACTTTCATTTTGTAGCTTATCTTACTAACTCAACTAAACATCAAACGAAATTAGGAAACAGCCCGTTAGAGCCTATCAAAGTTCTCTACAACCGTGTATTCTCGGATGTAAATACCTTTTTTTAATTTTTTTATTGTTTGGTCAAATTATATAAATCCTATATACGTTTTCTTTAGAAATGTTCAACAGAGAGAATTAACATGCAGAGACAGTCGACGTGTTGATAAACTACCATGCAGAAACACAAATTTGATTTTAAAAAAATGTATCTCCCTGATCAGTGTTAACAGGAAGAAAAAATTGCATCGGGTAGACAGGGATTTGAACCTTGAACCTATGAACTTTAGACCGACGCTCTAACTGACTGAGCTACCTGGTCGCGGCAACTGAACCTGTCCAGACACACAACGTAAGAATATGCTTGTATTTTGAATATGTTCCATCTTTTTAAGAATACGCTTGTAGTTTTAAAATAAATTCTGTCTATTAATCTGAAAAATCGTTTTGGAATAGTGACAATTAAATGAAAATTAATTATTTGGATATCTAAATCAAACCTTGACAAGATTCCCTCCGTAATAACCACCCAAATACTATTAAGAAGTTGGTCTCGTTCCGCTGTATCTAATGATTATAAACCTAGTTTAAATTAAAACATTTCCCATCTTCATTATTGATAAGGAAATGTTCTAATGAATTCATTGGGGAAAAAATAAATATAATTAGGAATGATTAGAGTAAAATTCTTCAAAAGAATATTTGAAGAAAAATATGACCCTGAAAATGAAAATCTGTTAAATTTCCTTTAACAAGCAAAACAAATGGTTAACAGCTTTTGGCTTTCACAGGCAACTTAGGCAGTAAAAAACAGATCGCTTCATTTTTTTCTGTAAATTTGACTTTTTCTACTGAACAGAAAAATAAAATTTTAGCTACTAGCTCAACTTGTCTTCCTAAAGGACAAATTACTCCAGACCCATAGGGCCTGTATAGCTCACCTGGTTCTTTTTTATATCGTAACTAAATAAGAAAAAGATATATTTTTGCTATCTAGTTAGTGACCATGATGGCCATCTCAGATTTCTTGTTGACCAAAAAATTCTAAAAAACAACAACATTTAGTAAGGCAATGACATGTTGTCCATCAGTTTCTTATGACTGAGCTGGTGGAATTGAGAATTAATTGCAAACATCTTGGCCATTCGAAGGACAAGGTGGCCATTTTGAATTTAGATTTACCAGTAATCTGAAAAATATCAGCATTACTCATACCTGTGGGTTTGGTCACTATCGGCCTTGTGAGAGAGAAGAAGTGTTCAAGTCTAGCCTATCAGAGGACAGACGGCCATCTTGGAAATCAGCCCTTAAAATAACAACTAATCGTGTTGCACCAATTCTGGTAAACATTCACCTATTAGAACTGGAAAAGAATTAATAATGTTTTTGCCCCTTTTCCCCCCATTTTGGCTTCTTTTACACAAACAATGAATTTTCTCGGCCCATGGATACTTCATATAATAAAAATGAGGTTTCAAATAAATTCATTCAAACTTTATAAGTAGCTTTAAAAGATTTATTCTGTATTTCACCATGGGGGAAGGACACAACCTTCTATTATAAAATAATGAATTCCTTTAATTCATGGATACTCCATCCAAAATAAGGTTAAAATCCCTTCACCCATACTGAGGGAATAGTCTTTTAAATAATTATCCTTATTTCTACATTTTTGGCTCCACTCAACTGTCCCAAGGGTAGCCACAACTTTCGTTAACACAATGTTGGATTCTATTTGGTCCCAGATGTAAAATTTTGTACAATGCCTTAACCATTCTGGACTAATAATCGTTAAGAGGAAAAGTTGATGATGGAATATGAACCCTTGCATAAGCTCATGTAAAGTAATGACAGACCATTGATAACAGATGACAGACACTACGCTATGATGTAAGCTCACTTGGCCCTTCAAGCCTGATGAACTAATGATAATCTAAGCTTCTCCACTGAAACATTTTTACAGTAACCAAATACTTTTCAACAATAAAACAAAGATATTCTCCAACTGCAACTACCTAAACAAGATGAGAGTTCACCAAATGTAGCAAAAAAAACCTTCTACAAACAGGCACGATGATTGGGCCGTCGAAGCCGATGAAGGAGACACAGCACTGCTGACATACGGTATGTGGTATGTAGATTGTAATAAATGTCTGGACATTTGCTCTGATGTCTAGGAACTTCTAGACAAAAAATCACTCCCAAGCCATATTTATATTTCTAGTTTTTGTAAATTTGCCATAACTTCAAGCTTGTACCATATTTTATTCCATTTTCAGTTTATTTGTTAATTTTCACATGCCATTTTTTTTTTTTTTTATAAAACGATGGTGTTCATTTTCTGCTCATAGAAGTTTCAGAGGAAAAATCAAAACTGCATGCCATGTTTTTTTATTTCACATTTCATTTTGGTATTAATTTTACATAACTTGTGACCAAGTTCAAGGACAGTGTGAGATTTTGTGTTGTCAGGGTCAGAGGGACGTGAAGTTTTTGTTAGACATAACTCGATTGATTCACACCCTTGCATCATGTGCTTAGCCTATACTGTGATTACTAACCTCGAGAATCTGTTGTGCTCTCATTTCCCGCTCCATCCTCATCTGTTCGTGTCGCTGCATTTTCTCCTGTTCCCGCATCATATTCAGCTGTTCTTTCTGTTTCTTCTGTTCTATGGCTAAAATACAACAGACCCGTAACCAAAACATTAAAACATACTTTTAAAGCACCTTTTAATCGTATCACTGTGATTTTCCATTTTTTTTTCTCTCACAATGGTTCGAATATTATTTCCATATTCAAAGTTCATGAAGAAAATTTCCACACAAATATGAGCTATTTCCTACAGAACAGATCTGATTGTCCAAAAATAATATCTCATAAGTTCTTTAACTATGAGTAAAATTTGTATACACACTAGAAATAAACTGTTCTGGGATATATCTGGGCCGTTTTCGTTTTAACGGTTGAGTCGTTTATTAAATAAGGTCGGACCTAGAAATCTGATGCTGCTTTCAGGCGAGCCTTAAGGTCATAGGAGTGTATTGATAAACGGAAGTAGGAAGTACATCCCTAGTTGAAAACCAAAGGTAGGGAGACAGCATCACAATTTCCGCATATTCTAATGTTTAATATTAAATTGATGAATATTGTATGTTTATTATTGACAGAACAGTGTTTTCTCTCAATATTAAAGTATTTCAAAGCAATGCAGGCATTAATTCAGGTTTTTTTTTTTATCAATGAGCCACATGTATCCATTTTTCTGTACTTGAGGAAACCGGCTACCTATTTCACTACTGTGAAATTTTTCAAGAAAGATAACTCTTACCTGCAATTACTATGTGCATATGGTTTTATTATAAAATGTCTATTTTTAATCATTTATAGATAGTTTATTTGACATAATTTCAGCATTTATTAAATTAATATACATTAATGCAATACTTATATATGGCAGTATCATTTTGATTGACATTATTTTGCAAAAAATTGTGTCTTTCATTTTTTCTCTCAAAAGTCACTCCTTTTTACATAAATTTCCATTTAAATTCCTTAAAATTCTGACAACCTATATTTTTTTTGTGGCAGAATTTTTTCTTTACTTCAAAGCAGTATGACTACAAAACTTGAAGAAATTCTACTGAGAAATGGCGACACAATCCTATTACCTTAATAAAGCCTTGCAAGGCCTGCATTAACATTTGCAGGTCCGCCAGGATTTATACCCGAAATTGTTACATTTAATAAACGAACAGGCTCATGTTTTCATGCGAGTTCCTAAGAGGAGACAACTCTGTATTCCAATACTTCACGAATATCGATTCCAACACAATACAAGGAAGATAAAGCAGCTGTTGTTTCTCTTGAAAAAATAATCATCATATCGGAAGGACAATATTGAAAAGAAGTATTCACAACAATTCACTCATTTGAAAAAGCTCTTCTATATATAGTCATTTTAAGGGAAAGTTTTATCTACAGAATTCTGAAATATTCTCATTATTTTTAAGTATTTCATCAATTCTTTTTACTACAATATAAAAATGTTCACAAAATAGCTTTGCTTGAATTACCTTTGATATGTTTGACTTTGCTTGCCATTTCTCTTTGGCGATCTTTTTCGACCTTCTTCTGCACCTTGTAATCTGAAGCTCGCCTGGACATCTCTACTATGAACAAGTAACGGACAAGCTAACATTAGTGTGATCTTATGGTAAATCTCTATCAAGAAGCTGGTTTCTTTTACATGCCGTTTGCCATCTACAAAAATTGAATTTTTGCTTGTATTTTCAACTTTTTTTTTTTTAAATAATGGAAATAAATCAATTAAAATTAAATATAATGAGAATATTCCAGGATTATATAAATAATACTTTCCCTTAAAATGACTACACAGAGAAGTACTTTTTCAAATTAATGAACTGTTGTGAATACTTCTTTTCGAGATTTGTTTAGATGAAGCGTTTGGATGACACTGATTTTAAATACTGACCTTGTTGGTCCATCTTGCGTTTCAGTTTCTGGTCCATCATTTGTTTGGCCAGCTGTAGCTGTTTGTTCTGTTTCTCCATGCGCTTGCGGCCACGTTGCTGTTTGTACCGTAACATTTTCTGACGTTTACTCTCGACTAATGCCATCCTCTCCACCACTTCCTCATTTGTCAGCTTCACAACCCCCTGTAACCATGGAAACGGAATACGAATATAGAGCTTCATCATCTTTCTTTCAAAAATAATATGGTATCAGTGTATTTAATCTAATCTAATTTTGCCCAATTTTTTCACTTCTTACTTTCAAATCCTGAACATTCTCATGAACAAATGTATTTGCAGTTGATTTTTTTTTTACCCTTTGGTATTCATATTGAAAACTAGAAAATGTCTGTAAGACATGAATGCCCCCACTCATGGATGGGATGGGACACGACAGGACGGGATGGGACATGACAGGACGGGATGGGACGGACATAGGCAACACTATATGCCCCCCCCCCCCAATTTTATGGCGGGGGCATGAAACACCAACTAGGATCACTTCTGCTTCTTCTGGTATATAATGGACACGAACAATAACATAACAATACGATCGATCATTGTATTTGGAGATCTATAATTATGTATATAAATGAACTCGCTAACGATGACAGTATCACGACACCAAATTGGTTAATGATTTTCTATAAATAACATGTTGAGCTTGGCCTTGACCCTGTAATCCTGAAACATGAACTCATCTGCATGATAAACTGTTAATGAATTGGTTGATGATTTTCTATATACAAATTTGTATAGCAACTGTGACCTTGGCCTTGACCTTGGAACCCTGAAACACAAGGATGTCAGAGGTATACCAATATTTGACCTTTGTATAAAGTTTGGCCAAAATCCGTGAAAGAATGCATTTGCAAAGTGTTGAAATTGAATCAGTTGATGTTTTCTATACAGTGGATCCCGCTTATTATGATATGCTATTTGACAGAGAAAAATATCATAATATCCGATCAAGCTGTTTTCGATCGGTTTTATGTTGTCTGAACTGGAAGTGAGATGTCCTATATCAATCAGACATAGATTGATGTGGAAACATGGAAAAATATAAATACAAAATGATAACTTAATAATTGAAATAATTTGTTCATTGTTATTTATATCAGCGTGTTGGAAACATTCGAGAAGTTTTCGTTTTGCCGTCGTCAGTATGTAAATTCTACTTTCACTTTCAAATAACTTCGAGCATATTCCTAAGAACTATCTTTCTACTACATTCTACACTTGTAGCTAACGATATCGTAATGTTACAGTCAATAGGATGAAGAAGTGATATAAATAGTCATGATTTACGTATTTTGCAATGAGAAGTTGAGTAACATTTTGTCCCGTAAGCGTAAAAATATTTTGCCACGCTATGTCAATTACGATCACGTGACAATCATATGCCTCGCAAGTCGTGCGGTGAAATCAACTTGCAAAGAAACAATAGCAATTAAATATACAACAAAATGTTCCCTTTTTAACAATAATCAAATATGGTATTTAACGAAAATGGTGTAAATTGTCGTAAGTTGTTTACGACAATAACGTTAACTTTGGATCGATTTCCGGCACCATGCTGTCAGGTCGATATGTCCCAAATTTGACACTTTTTCAACGGAAACACGGGGAAATCGACTTCTATTGCAATTAAGAAACTATTGCTTAAAGATTAAAAACACAGGTCTTCCTTCTGAAGTAATATTTTCATTGAAATCAGCATGATTTTCTCACATGACGTGTCAAGGTAACCGTGAATATTTGTGAAAGGCATGCTCATTGTCTTATCGGAATTTGTGTTTGGTAGGCCTAATTATTTTAATTTGATATAAAGTCCTACAGCAATTAACTGCACCAAATGTTTTGTTAAGACTAAAGTGTATGACTAGCAAGCGATGGTCGATCTATTGTTTTACGCCGACTAGGGTGAAGCGAGGTGTGAAAAATTTACCTTGAGTGTCCAGATGATTACTTCAGGCGATGTACAGTTAGCCGGACCTATTGCGTAATTGTCCAAGTGTTTCACACCGACAACTTACCTGAGATTTTACCTTATAAAATCCATTCACGGCAGAAAAAAATAATATATTAAGCAGGGTCCTACCCTTGACCATATCATAATACACAATATTTCTTTGCTTAGTTAAAGAAGGAAAATCGGTAAATGGGAAAAATATCATAATAACCGATATATCATAATAACCGATATCAAAATAAGTGGGTTCCACTGTATATAGCAACAGTGACCATGGCCCTTGACCATTGAACCCTGAAACACAAAGATGTCCGAAGTATGCCCATACTTTGTATAAAGTTTGACCAAAATCTGTCAAAGAATGAAGTTGCTAAGTGTTTACATTGAATCGGGATGGACGCGACGGGACGGGTGTTGACGTTGAATCGGGACGGGACGGGACCGACATGGGCAACATTATATGCCCCCCCCCCCCCCATTTTATGGCGAGGGCATAAAAATACAATTTTTCTTAAACACTGAGCTTTTGATAATATCTCTGGCCAGTTTTTCTGATAGTTTGACTGTAGTGTTTGGACCAGCTTGTTTTTCAGTACTTACATTGTGACCATGGCGGGTCTCGTAGAAGTCTCCAACATTGACTTTGGTGTTGAAGGAGAAATTCTCACGCCCCATTCCCGTGATTGAATGGCGATCTACATACTGAAATTGATGGAGGCAAACAAAATCAAGTTAAATGATGTTTGAAATATTCATTCATTCCCTTTGGGTCACTGGTTTGTCACACAGATTTTTCTAAAAAAAAATAACAACATTATAATTCTAGGAGAATCAGCAAAAAAAAGAAACTTAAACCAGATATTTCAGGTCAAAATTTCAAAAAAACTACCTACTATACAGTCTTTTAAGAACAGAAGTCAGAAGGTGATTTGTATGAGTTAAGACGCTTTCAAACGTTATAGACCTTAAATCAACCAGGGCTAAATTTTAACACATTTCAACATTTTTTTTCTTTCTACTTACACGCATCACATCTGGAATAGTTTTCATCTTCTTGCCACACGGAGCGAAGTATAGAACCTCGCCAATGAAGCCACGCTTGCCGATGGCCAGGATTGTCGTCTGTCTACGCCAGCCAGCATCCATGGGGATTTTCAACTCTTTCTCATCCATCTGGACACGTGGACGTTTGATCGGAGTTTCATTTTCTACGGGATAAAAATTCATGTATAATTCAGTTTTGAAAAATAGAACAGGAAAATGCTATGTTAATAAAATTGTCTTTCAAACTAAATATCATCCCTTGAAAAAGTCTAAAAGAATAAACATTTGTTATCTTATCGAAAAGTGCAAAGGCGTATTAAATCAATCGGAACTTGATTATTTATGGGATTATTACCTACTAATTATATATGACTATTTTAAATGACCACAACTCACACTTAAGATTAAAATGGGAAGGGAAATAATTAACACAACTGCCCTGTTCATGAGCAATATGCATGTAAAAGAATATGATGTCGCCACTTCCGAAACAAAGACTATACACTACTAAAGAGGGAATAAGAAATTTTTAAAAGCTTTTGGCTATTTTCAGTACAACAAGTTCTTTTATGGCTGGCTTCCTGAAATAGCCACAACTTGTCTCTTGGATAATTTAAAAACAAAAGATATATGTTGACTTCAGTTGCCACTGTATAGATAAGATATTCAACATACTGTCTGAAGAGTCCTCGGCACTGCGTTTCGCTCCCTTGCTCAAGTCAAGCTCATGGGCCTCGCCCTCCGAGTCAATGACCATCTTAAGCCGTGGTTCACCATCAGAGTCGGTTTCGTTGATGCCACTGTCGTCCTCATCAAAACTCTCGTTCATCAAGTCAGAATCGTTGTCCTCAGAAAGTCCCGAACTCTCCTCGGACATGAGTTTAGACTTGACTGGGCTGCCCTTGGACGTGGAAGGATGAGCGTCTAGATCGGATACGTCTAATCGCGATGCTGATGAATTACCCGGTGATGCAGTTGATTTACTACTGACCTGTAAAATAACCACACGTTATAAAACCATTATCAATTATCTCATTTCTGACTACAGGTGAACTTCATAAAAGTCTTTCCTGACACATACTAACTGCTTGTATTGCTGTTATGGCTTAAGAAAAAAGTCTGCGTGACCGCCTCTGGCAGACATTGAGTGAGGGTGGTTGAGAAGGGTGTGTTGGGGGTAGTGATGACCTCTATGAGACGTTGAGAGGTATTTTTATATAATGCTGGTGGAGATGACTCTCAGTGTTAAGGGGCAGGTTGTACCCTCTGTGTGGGTGACGTACCTCTTTAGGCTGTGAGGGTGGCGAGATAGCAGACCGATGCCGAGCCTCCTTTTCTCGGCCTCCAGCAGCAGCGTTTGCCCGTGCCTGCTTCACGCTGGCCTCCAGCAGTTTCTGAACCTTGGCTGATGCTTCCTTCTCCTTTTCTGCCTGGGTGCGCTTCATCATCTTCAACTGGAGCTGCTGCTGTTTCAGATTCTCCTCCAGCTGTCGCTTCAAATACTCCTGCTGTTTCTTGTACTCCTGCAACAGTCAAATTATTACAGCAAACATCAATTTACAAATTCTATCACTAAAGTAAAAGGATAACCAAAGTGATCAAGGTATACTCAGAGTTAAGGAAGTCTACCAAACATTACCTTATTTATTCAAATATTTTCCCCCGCCCCCTTCCCAAATCAATAATGAAATAATGTCTGTTGTAATTGGAACATGTCAGGTTAAATGTTTAAGTAGAAGCAGATATTTCAGAAAGTAAATCAAGAATTATATATGTCGGGATCAAGTTAATTCAGTTATGTTAAGTAAGCAGAAGTCATATTCAAATTATTCCTGTACCTTGATGACCTCCATCTGCTGTGGAGTGGGCGTCGGCTCATGTTTGGGAGGGCGGCCCCGCCCTCTTTTCATTGGCTGCATGATTGAGGGTTTAATGTTTTGAATTGGCTTGTTCTGGACACGTTGTCGGATCTGGTCTGCTATAAGCCTCTTCTTGGTACCGTCGATGTGTATATTCGGTGAACCCGTGTTCCTACCATCAATTGAACTGTTTCCCCCTTCATCATTGGAATCCTGGGGAAAAGAAAATGTTCAATGGAGATAAAGTCACTGGGTCAATTCTCTCCGATAAATGTTGGCGGTATCATTTTTTGGGATTTATTTTTTAATTTCTAGTGGCAATAACCCACAATCTTTTATCTAGGATTTCTCTGTTTCAAGCATCCATTGCTTAATTACATGCTATTGAAATTGCAAATTTCCAACTTCTTATTATTTCAGAGAGGAATGAGTGTTTTAGAGTATTTCATCTGAGGGTGAATACTTTGAATAACAATTGTATTTACCCGTAATATACATTTTTAATAGTTATATGAATATTACCGACTCAAATTTCACCTTCATGTCTCTTTAAAGCAATATTGTTTAATACAAAAGAGTTTGGTAATCTCCCTTTAAAGAAGTGATTCACCGAGTGTTACCACGGTAACCAATACACATATGACATTGTTTACATGCTAGGTTTAGCATCCCATAACATTAACAGCTAAGGTCATTTAAAGATATGCTTCTGTATAATGTATGCATGTGTGCTGGAAGCAGTACGTTGGTGCATCACCTGTTTGACAGATTCTTGAACCCACACATACAACCACACCTGTGTTTAAATACATCAAATAGCCGACAGATTTTGCATCATCTCAATCCCAATTACCTAAAGGACTCTTTACTTTACAATCAACAAAGTAAAAATCTTGTGCCCTAGAGATGTAATACTTACCACGTCTTTATCGATTCCCAGTCGCCCATTTCCGGCGATATCCTCCTCATCACTGCTGAGACAGGGACTGGCCAGAGACCCATTGGAGGGGTTGTCACTTTCATACATTGCGGCACCATTTTCTAGTGTCTGCAGTTCATCAAAATCATAAAATAAATATTCATCACATTTCCACAATTTTTCACTCATATCCATTAACATCAGTGTATACAACGTTAGAAATTGGTTTACTTAACCAGGGCAAAGTTAGGGGATTGGGATGATAATTTGACCCCATTAACTTGAAACCTAAGTGTCCATCTCAGATTCTTAATGACCTAAAGGATTTTTAATAACTTTTCACCCCCTGTACCCATCTCCCTCCAAGAAAACTACAATTCTCTTTTCTACAACATTGCATTCCCTTGGCCGAGGGAAGATCCAGGGAGGGCTTTCTGGCTCTGCCCAGATAATCAACATTTTGATTACCTTTAATAGATCCTTATGTTTGGTTGAAGGCGATAGGGATACAGCTGCGGATGAAGATGAGGTTGCCGAGGGCGTCGGTGAGGATGAGGCTGACTGGGACACCGTGCCATTGGCTGAACTTTTCTGTGAGGTGCTCTGTGCAAGTAAAGAGGTAGTGTACGTCTTGGACGACAAATGTTTGGATGATTTCTTGAATTTTCCCGATAACAGACTGACACCCGTCGACCCGGAGACCATAGTTGTGGGCGTTGGTCTACGGCTGCTGGAGCTGGTGCTTACTGTTGAGGTGTTTGCTATGGTGGTCGTGGCCTTGGTTACGGTCGTCTTGGACGAGGATGATCGGGATGACTTGGATGATCGTGATGATGATTTTGACTTTGGTGAATGTTTTGATGGCGATGATTTTGAACTTGAACCTGAAGGCAAATATTTCACATTGTGTAAATACAAAGATTTCAATGTGAATTTTAATATCCTTATAAAGGGAAATCTTCAATATGAACAAATTTTCGATCTTGCAACTAGTACAGCTGAATATTATCTTATATAGTCTGTTCATTATGTATTTTTATCTATTTCATCACTCAAATTGTTTGAAAAGAAATATAAGCAACTGTAATTCTATGTTTTACCGGTACAAATGACATTGCAGAAAATTCTGATGCACTGAGGTGAAACAATCAATTGCTAACTGCTTGAGAAAAGTTGGATTTCTGTTTTCCTAGATTTGAAACCTGTCTTATCTGACACCCAACAACATATTGGCCAGACTAACCTGCTTAATCTGACACCTTGTGGGACACAACAAAACAGTGAGATTAGACAGATGTTGGAATACACAGTTATTGTCAGGTGTAGTTTCCCTTAGAAATTGGATTACAGCATTATGTCAGATAGGACAAGATATCAGATTACTCAGGGTTCAGTTTAGACAGGTTTCACGAAAAGTAAATTCATAATTTTTTTTAAAAAAATCAGGAAAACATGAAAATTGTGACAAAATTAATATGTTATTTTCAGCAACTAATCCTCTGTATGAAATACTGTCATGCGTTCTCACTTGAACCGTTTATGTTTAGAACATAATAATTCCTATACACCAGCTCTGATGACATCAGGACAAATTGAGGGCAAATATTCATGCAAACATTTTATGAAAAGAAAAAGAAAAAAATAATATTTTAAGCAAAACAAATCCACAGTCATCCATCTCATCGTTTTCATTCTGAGGTTAAATCGGAAAACTTGGAAATAAAGTTGGCACGTACAAGGTTCCTTTGCTTTAACACCACACATGCAGTACGAAAGTAATATTCTTAAAGCTTTGTTCTACTTCAAACTTGTCAGGAAAAAAGGAAATGAATCCCACAAGATTTCTATAAAACTGTACTGCAAAAACCATATTGACAGCTGTTAATAAACTTGACACACGATGTATTGATAAAATATCAAAAAAACCCAAAAAAAACAGTTACGCCTACTACCATGCAGGTTAAAAGATACAAAAGATCACTAGTCAAAGGGGAGACAACTGCTTACTATTATGAATGGTTTCAGACTTATTGGTATCGGGTATTGCGATATTCAACGGAGCCCCATTAGGACTCACGCCCAGACTCAGAATAGGACTCTGTAATATTGCAGTTCCTAAAATAAACATCACAAGAGTATCTGTCAATAAACAACTCAATGACAATAAGGTGTGTTTTTCATAGAAGCACAGCAACAATTGTTTTAGGTGTGTGGAGTAAAAACTTTAATCAGTCCTTGAAAGAGTAAGTAATAAATTTCTTTTGACTTTTCCCTACCTATATTGTTTCAATTTACTGAATTTTAAGAATAACTATTATATCTATCATACTTACAGTTTTACTGTTACTTTTGTTTCAAAATTCTAATTAATGGTCACACGAAAACATTGTCTAGACTAGAAACGTTGTTGTCAAGTCAACTGTACAAGATATCAACTTTGCTTCAGTTTGTGGGGATGGTCGATTGTGAACTGTAATTAAGTTAATGTGTTCAAATCCTCTGCAATAAACTGTTTAAAGCCCAGACACAGAAACGGATTACAAAAAATTAACATGAGTGAAATCAGAATTTTGTATTTCAAAAGTCTCAAGGATTGACAATGAAAAATTATCACTAATGTAGCATACAACTTAATTAAATGAACCTGTTATCCGGCCACTTTTGTTACCAGTTGAAAGTGGATGGAGTGAGACAACTGGATTAATGGTAGCTAGATAGTGGTACAACCTGATTTCTGATGATTGGATAGTGGTACAACCTGATTTCTGATGATTGGATAGTGGTACAACTGGATAAGTGGTGACTAGATAGTGGTACAACCTGATTACAGAGTCAGAATTACAGGACTCCCTGTATAGCTGTTAATCATGATCTCTGTAACGCTTATGATTTTTTTGGGGGAAAATTTAACACGTTTCAATATTTCTTTGCTTGACTTTTCTGCCTTACCTTCTGCTGCGCTGAAGGATGGGGGAAAGTGACCATATGCACCTTCGGCTAGTCCTCCGAACAGAGAGGATACTGGGAAGGCTGGATGGTGCTGCAGCAATGAATATGCATTCGACATGTGCGGCATGTGGGCCAAATGAGCGCCAAACGACAACCCAAACGGGGACATACCTACAAAACCAAAATGTGTAATCCAGTCCGACAGATATAGTCCATGTATGTATTTCATTTAATGGATTTGGTTAAAACATCTACAAGAAACAAGTTCGCCATGTTCATTGAATTTAAATCTCCTGTACACATTAATTATTTGATTTTTGGACTTTATTTGATAGGAAACCCACTTGTAACAATTTAGTAACTGTACAGCTATGCACTTAAGCCACCTGTTCAAATTATCTTGAGAGATTTACACACTCCACCCTTCTGACACTGAAGTGTTCTAAGTCAATTTCATGAATATAATATTGTAACTTATACAAAATTCAGTAGTAATCATTATTTATTATACCTTATATGAGAATCAAGTAATCGAATTGTTCAAGACGACATTTCCAATTCTGATTATTCCACAATTGGCACAGAATGAAGAGAAACATTCTTAATGTCAATAGTTCTCAATAGTGCAAAATTATCACCTTAGATGCCTAGGAATGATGCACCATCACACTCTAATGAATGTAATAAGCAAGAAAGTTGATCTGTGTCTTATTTTGTTCCTACCAGGATTATCTCCCCTGTACTGAACACTTACCCATCATATTGGCAGCATTATCGAAGATGTTCCTGCCAGACCCCGGAGAGTCCTTGTCACCCTTATCCATGGCGACTGACTCCCTATCAACAATCTGCAATCACACAAGAAAACAAAGGTCAATTAACACGTAATTTTAATTTTGTAAAAACCTGAAATCAAAATGAAGACTAGTTCAATAGTTCAACCAAGTTCAATGTACTAATCTGGTTACCATTATTTACTTGGCTTCACCCACAGGTACTAGCCTCGTCTGTAAATACACCTATATTATAATATTATTGTATTGACAGACGAGGCTAGTACCTGTGCTTCACCCATGAAGACACATTTGAACTCTTCCAATTCAAAGGTAAGAATATGAGTCAGGCTGAATAGACTGGTCCAGTTAGTCATTAATGTCTTAAGGATATATGCTATCTTTCATCTTCTACATATGATTTATATAAGTTGTCTCCCTTAAATGTTAATATCAATATCTGGTCTGTCAGCTGGGTATTATGAGGATTATGAGGATTATCAATTTAACGAATTTTTATTTGCCTCACATCTTCTATTATCCTAATCAATCACATATTTTAAAGATTTCTTAGGTGTGAAACTCTCATGGAATGGAGATACAGAACAATGTTATTAACTCATTCACCCCTGAAATTTCATAATGAACTACTCCAACCTTTGAATTGGAGGAGTTCAAATGTGTCTGCAGGGGTGAATGAGTTAAGGTAGCATGTATCCTTAATAATACAGTAGAAAGCCCAATTACCCCAACACCAATTATCAGAAATTTCAATTATTGGAACCTCATTTGTGTCCCCCAATAAATAAATGTAGCTTGCTTTAATACTCTGCAAGTGGTTTTCTGAATGACCACTTATCCGAGCTATTTATATGTCTCTAGTTGGGTTGGGATAAGCAGCTCTCCTCCCTTTAATCTGGACTTGACATAACCTTTATTATTTTCGTAACAAAACTTGTACACACTTATAACTCAAAATATTTTTCTGTACTCTATGAGTTTGAGGGTATATACATGTATGTATATACAAAGACCTGATTATAGGTCATACGTATATATTTGTTTCTAGGTCTATATTTAAAACATCACATGCACACCATTCTACACCTAGTGGCTGTGTCCCTGATGGCAAAGTCATGTACACACAGCACATATATAAGATTCCATCTGTATACATGTTTATATGATAATTAACAATGGGTATAGATTACAAGTCGAGGGTTGTGTGTCTCAAAGATACTGTCGCCATTACAAGTACCGGTGCAGTGGTGTGTCTACAGGTCTCGAAGTAACACTGTCCCCACACACCAGCCACATGTACCACACTTGTGTGTACTGACTGTGTACATGTACACGATTAATCTAAACTGCCTGTATGATATCCAATAGTATAGTATTAAATGTGTACGGTTATACTATATCCACTAAGCCAGGAGCCCAGTGGTTTAACAGACACATTTCACTGAAATCAATGCCGGTGGAGAACGAGTCTTCATATCAATGACTATACAGATCAATTTAGTGCTGGTCCTACCTATAGTACTGCAGCAGGCCTGATCGACCATTATATCAACACCAACTAAAGCTCATCTGTATGGATACGAGACAGTGGTTTTAACAGATTATATGTTGTAGAAGGAAGATGCCATGAGTCTCTGCCCCATAGATCTGGGTGAAAGCCCAGCAGTGTATAAGAGATACAACAACCGGCCAATTATGAGACCAAGAAACTCAAGATAATATTACATGGATGCATTTATTTTGTAAACATGTTTGAGTCTGGTGTAGAAGATCATACAGATCCTGTATTGGAAAATGAACTAAATTAAATATTATAAATACGGTGCTCGAGACAAAAATACACTACCGACTCTTCCTCCATTTCCCCCGATTTCTTTATTCATCAAAACGATCAGACACCACATGATAAATTCTTCCTCTTTTGCAAGTTTCTTCATTTCTAGAAACTCATAATGCAGGTTCCTAGATATTGATATTTCATTTGGTTTGCTAATCAGTTTAAATAATTCATCTGCACTGCAAAATCATCTCCTTACCTTGATCAGTAAACACCTCAAAACTGCAGGAATATATTACACCGCTATTTAAAAAAAAAGAGGAAGATCCCAATGTATATTTAAATGAACACCGGAGTTATAGGATATTTAAAGGAGCATTAACAGAAGACACATCCCAGACTGCCATTAATCACTCTATTTTTTATTTATTTTCAAATTTTCAGTGTCGATTACTTATTTAGGACCCAAATGCTCCACATTACCTCCTACGATCATTAAAAGCACACACAAGTTTTCACAAACAGATGTGGGCAAAATAGGTACATCATCAAATGTCATTTGACAGATGATGCTTCACTGTCCCTAGCATAAAGTAATTATTTGGGATCATAAAGAGGAAATTTAGGCCTGTGAAGTATCTTTTTTGGACTATTTAGGCTTATTTGGAATAAGCAATTGCTTATTTTTGGATTATCAGGATTTAATTTTGGTCTATAAAGTTCATATCTGCACCTAACAAGAGCTTATTTAAGACATTATCAAGTGCTTACTTTGGACTATAAAATGCTTATTTGGAATTGTCAAGAGCTTATTTAGGATTAGAAAGTGCTTATTTCGGGAATAAGCTTATTTGGAGATGTACATCCCACACATGAACTGAACTGCACTAGGTTTTTTGTAACACGATAACCAGACCACAGAGGCCAGTATGCATGCATGATGTATATACAGTAATATGGGTCAAAATCTTACAGATCTATTTAGACAACTTTTCACTCACATGTGTATAAGTGTGCTGTTGGTGGCTACAGCTTTAAATCTGTATTTATGTTGAATGACTGAAAACAATTCTTCCGGTTTGTAATCTTTTTTTTCCTTTTTCTTTCTTACAAATATGTTTAATGACCACTGTGCATTCTAGTCCCTTCCAAACAAGGAGAGGCTTAGGCTATAGGCTGTATACACATGTACACAAACATTTGTAATCAAGTTCATTACAAGGTGCCACTATAGAGTGTTTAAATCAAACTGAATAATCCAGTAACCTTTTAAGATATTCAACTAGGTCTCCCATATATATATATACACACATTTATATTTTATTCAGACATGTGGACATTTCTGATACCAGGTGTCGTACAATCTTCATCAACAATTCTACACCTTATTTATCAGATCCGTCCCCCATGAAGACGTGGACGTTCCATCAAATGTCAACCTCTCACCCATGCAATGGACAGTTCCTGTTTAATCCATCTGAAAATTCTCAAGACGCCGAGGAGGACGAGAAATTGATTTATCCTTCCTATCTAATGAAAATATTACATTAGGCAACCTACAATGGGCTCTGAGACGGCCAACTGAAAAAAGCGAGCTTCACAATCATCCGAAATACCAGATGGTTAGCAACAATACAGGATAATACACAAATATCTGTTACCATTGAAACTCAATGGTTAGCAACAACAAAGAGGATTGCAACCATAAAACTCAATGGTTAGCAACAATACAAAACAATAAACAAATATCTGTTACCATTGAAACTTAATGGTTAGCAACAATACAGGATAATACACAAATATCTGTTACCATTGAAACTCAATGGTTAGCAACAATACAGGACAATAAACAAATATCTGTTACCATTGAAACTTTATGGTTAGCAACAATACAGGATAATACACAAATATCTGTTACCATTGAAACTCAATGGTTAGCAACAACAAGGAGGATTGCAACCATAAAACTCAATGGTTAGCAACAATACAAAACAATAAACAAATATCTGTTACCATTGAAACTTTATGGTTAGCAACAATACAGGATAATACACAAATATCTGTTACCATTGAAACTCAATGGTTAGCAGCAACACAGAAGATTGCAACCATAAAACTCAATGGTTAGCACTTTAAAGATGTTAGCAACAATAAAGACATTTGCAACCATAAAACTCAATGGTTAGCATTTTAAAGATGTTAGCAACCATAAAACTCAATGGTTAGCAACAATTAAGATGTCTAGAACCATAAAACTCAATGGTCACAAAATCAATGACTTCAACCATGCATTCAAATGATTTAGTTAGCAAAACAGATTAAGACAACCATAAAATTCAATGTGTACAGGGACCAACATCAATGTCTTTCCCACAAAAATTCAAAGGAAGTGGTTAAAGAATGAAACAAATTAAAAAGAACTCTGAACTTTGAAATTTAAAATTTTATTTTTTTAAATCTGATTTCAAGATGAACCAATTGTAAATAATCAGGTCAACAGCTGAAAGGGGACAGATTCTGATTATAAGCTTACTGTCTTTCTCCGTGTCTTAAGGGTAATGAAAGCATCCCAAAAACTTAGCCATCGTCTGTATTTTTTTTACACTACTTGGACATGGGATGCCCTTTCTAGGTCTGTCACACACAGCCTTTACACTTCTGGTTAAAACCAATTTGCCCTCAATGAGGACCAGCCAGGTCTGACTATGGCTGCCCGGCACACTTGATTCAGGGTGAGCGAGTTGCTACAGTGGTACGGCTCTAAGTAATCCCTATCCTAATCAATAATGATAATGCTGTAGATTCATCTCCAAATATTTCATTGTGTTCTCTAGCAGAAAAAAATGTCCATTTTAGATACTGTATCTATCTTCATGCGTTTCCTATCGAAACATTTCCTTTCAAAATTGGATCTTTTACTGGGTCCCGAGGGCCCTATAACAGCTTATAAAGCCAATTTTTGCGTTACTACGAAAGATTTAAAATCTTAAAGTGGGCCATTTTAACTGCAGTGTCCCAAATAAATTGTATCAATGACCTTCAAAACACAATTCAAGGTCAAATTCAATCTGATCATCCCTGCAATGCCCTGAATTCATTCCAAAAAGTGATACATAGTAATTATGATTCTCCATAACCTTACTCAAGGACCCTTAAAACATATTGAACATTCGGTCATCATCATGTGTCATATCTGTTTGGCTGATATGAATATTCATCGGCCACCTGTCATGATGCGTGAATTGGATGCTGTCACCTTGCTAATAAGACAATAATG